AGAGACTGAGAAGCCAAAACCTTATATATATTGTGGTGTTGTCTTTTGATATAATTTTTTTGGTTTTTGCTCCTTTTGTATGAAAATGCAATCATTCTCTGGTTCTGGGCTGGTACAAGACAAATTTTATGGAAAAACAATTGTCTGCCGGAAATTTTAACCTCTAAAAAAGGTGAGGTACAAAATTAAGCACGAGCAAGATCCCTCAACGAGGCCCGTGGACAACGTTATGGTCTTTGCTCCCTAGACAATCATCTATTCAAGGCGTGATACATATGTTTATTATGAACATGAAATACACAATATTAACATTGTGTTATCTGCATGAAGTTCCGGAACATATGGAAACACTTAATATTGAAAAATGAGCGAACTCTTGACTTGGTAAGGGCAAGTTAATGTAGTCTTGTTTTTTTCTACAAAGAAAACCCAGCATCCTAATATTTTTAACAAACTACCTATCTTTACGCTTAGAAGCTTAATCTAATCATGCAAACTTATGTGTATGATGCTGTTTGCTTTTGTATACTCAGGTTGCCTCCTCTATGGGCTATTATGGCCATAGTCGTTCTTGGTTTCAATGAATTTATGCTCCTTTTAAAGTAATTATGGTCGTTCAGAGTACTGAGTTTGTGCACACATTTGTTAACTACTTGGAAGTCCCAACTGTCTTGCCCATCTGTTAACCACTGTGCCTTTTCTCTTCAAATGAAACAGGAACACTCTCTATCTCATGGTTCTTTTTGTTGCATTTGTACTTACAAAGGCCTTATGGTACAGATGGACATTGCGGGAGAGTTCCGACATGGAACTGCAAGTATATGAAAATGAATTTTTTCTCTCGGTTTCTCTCTTTTCGTGCGGAGCTCAATTACTGAGTAATCTGTGTGATATAATATCTCATCATCGGATGGTGGTATCGAATACTCAAGCCCTCCCTTGAGACAAAGGCGACCTACAGACGTTTAAGAAGTCGAGCGGTCCTGACTCGTGGAATGGTGCATGCTCTCTGTTGTCTGAACCATGCGTATCACATTAGAATTACTACGCACCTACGCTGTTGTGCGATGGTTTTCTTTCTTTTTTATTTTATTTCTTGTTGGCACTTGATGAAATAAATGGGGCTAGCTGAAATACAGTGGTCCAAATAGTTATGTTTCTGGGTGAAGGTACGTAGAAATTAGAATGTAAAATCTGTGCACTATTTTACCCCAAAAATAAATAAATAAATAAAATCTGTGCACAACATATTTCTTTATATTAATTATGAAATATCATTTCGTCTGCTTTCTTGAGAACTTTTTGTCTAATTATAGCTTCCGCAATCATGTTTCTTATTTTTTAGTTAAAATTTGGCTAAAAAAGCACAAAAGCTATTTATGAGCTATTTATAAAATTTGAACTCTAATCATATTCCCTAGTTTAGGAAGTCATAAATACTATAATTATTTTTTTAATTTAATATAATTGGTCCATCTCAATAAAAAAAATATACTAAAAAATAGTTAACATTCATTAAAAGTTTTAAAATATGCACAAAACAAAGGAGTATTAAATTATAGGGAGTCATTAGAAGTCCTCTCTTTCCTCTCAAGATTTAGTAGCTCCTAGAAGTCTTCTTATTTTATGAGGTGGATAGAGAGCATAGTTGGAATTGTATTTTTCCAATTCCTCACAAAATTTTGTCTAAAGAGATGGTTTAGGAAGCCCATTGCATATGCTTTTATTCGTCTAGTTATTATGCAACTGAGCATGGAAGTTTCTCTGGACTAACACAGCTCAAATTTCAGACTGATTTGAATATTTATCCATGTAGTGGGTCTTCACTTGCTTCACTGGTCATTTTCCGATTAAGTATATTTGCATATTTTGACAAATTGCTTTATACGATTGAATATTTTCTTATTTTGTATGCTGAATATTGGATTTGGCCTTGAGTTTGAACTGATACATGTTTTGGCGTTGAATTTGAATGTGATTTTGAGTTTTGCCGGATGTGTCACACATACTGCATGTGGCGATGACCATTTGTTGTTTGGATATTTTGTCGGTGTGCGGTGTCCTGGATATCTTGTGTTTGTCTTGTGAGCGATATCCATTATGTATTGTCTGCTGATCGAGCAGTGTCTCCATTAACCTCATCAACCCCATCAACCCTAAATCCCACCCGCTTCCTCCCATCCCACACTCGAGATCCACCTCCAGCCCCAGCCGAAACCCATCCCTAGCCCTTGCCCCCAAGACCCAGACCCATCCCATTCCCCAGCCCCCTATCCTCCACACGAGCCTGCACAGAGAGAGAGAGAGAGAGAGAGAGAGAGAGAGAGAGAGAGAATTTCAATTTTCTGTTTTTAATTTTATTTTTAATTTTATATTTATTTTCAATGTACAAAATGACCATTTTGCTCTCATTTTTAACGGGAAATTGGATGAAATGTTGTGCATTTAGACGGAGGGGGAAAATTGGCAAAAAAAGAAGTTCATATCCTTAATTTTCTATAATAAAAAAAAAATGAAGTAAATTGAAAGTTATGTACAAGTTTAAGGGGCAAATCTCCAGTTAACCCTAAATCAAAATCAATTTTTGATTATTTTGGCCCACCTTATGACTTCTATTTCCGCATTATTTACAATACTTTATTTTGGTTAAAAGCCACTTTTGGTTCCTGTAGTTTGGCACTTCAACAACTTTTGACCATGTAGTTTCAATTCCGTCAATTTTGACCATATAGTTTCATATTTGTAGCAATTTAAGGACAAGTTAGTATCCTGTCAATTTCTTTGACGATACAAGGGGCAATTTCGTCAACCAAAAATCTTTGAGCATAAAAGCTCGCCTGAAAGAAACTCCCCTAATTTCATATTAGGGCTTGAAATTGGTCATTTGGGTTGAGGGTTCTTTAAAAATTGGAATTAGTGATTGATTTTCGAGCCATAATATGAAATGGGGAGAATTTCAAACAAGCTTTTACGCTCAAGGGTTTTGGGTTGACGAAATTGCCCCTTGCATCGTTAAAGAAATTGACAAGAATATTAACATATCCTTGAATTGCTACAAATACGAAACTACAATGACAAAATTGACAGAATTGAAACTATATTGTTAAAAGTAATTGAAGTGTCAAACTATAGGGACCAAAAGTGATTGTTTGTTACTCCAATTTGTCAGTTAGTGGGTTGTAACTTGTTCTGGTAAGTGTTATGTCTAATAAGTAGACGTGTCTATTTTAGATTGTCACATGCATTGGTATCTCGTGTCAGTTTGTAATTAGGACTTTGCCCTCCATGAAAAGGGGGGCTTATTCGCATTAGGAACTTTTAATTCAGAGTCCTGAAGTTGTTCGACATTTGAAGATAACAGAGTATACGTAGGCTCATAGTGACAACCATAAACTGTCTACATGACTTCTTATCCGGAAAATCATGTCAATACATATTTTTTGATTTTACATATATATGTAATTTAAAATTAATTGGATATTGGATTATATATAGGTGGTGTCATGATATAGGTCGCGAGAAAGCTGCAAACAAACCTTTACTGAAAACAGTTTTTCAGGTACCCTTGAACCATGTCTATATCTCTACTGTTTATTCAGCATTTAATGTCGGTTCATGAAATTCTGGTTTTGAATGTATATGGGTCATGATGCGCTTATTTAGCCCCCGTAAAACGACATTACCGTTTGTTATACGCGATAAATAAGGTCTGGGCATACTTTTTCAGCTTATTAAAAGGATCTATCCAATTATGTTGCTCTCGTTTTCCTATTAGAGCACTTCCACCTCAGAATGTAAGGACAAGACAAAGGTAAAGCAAGGTTTGTCACTATCCATATGAATAGTGGCAGCCCTTGTCTTTTTGTTTTCACCGCAAAGGGCAAGGGCAATTACTGTTCACTTTAATTTATTTTCTATTTTTTATACTTAAACCGTTAATTTTGATATATTTAAACCATGGTTGTCCACGCGCCTCCGGCTTCGATGGAATAGGTTATTTGTATTTTTACACAAATAGAATTTAGTGAATGAGAAAATTATTTGGTGTGGAAAGTGAAAAATATTTTAAGGAGAAGAATTTGTATGAAAATTTGTTGTGGAAAGTGAAAAATATTGGAAGTTTTTTTTTTAAAAATCTAATTTTGTTTCTAATTTACAAAGCATTGTTCTTCATTTGTTTCACTGTAAAAAAACAGAGACTTGGAAAACCTAATACCATTTAAGTGTTGTTAATTTTACCCTCTTAATTTAATGTTATCTTATTATTCAAAAACATGTGTTAAAATTGAATATATATTGGTGGAGAAAGATATGAGGGAAGTACATACACTGTTAGATGCTTAAGATCATTTTCTCGGGTTGTAGTAGCTTCACGTGATCTGATTATATTTTCTTGTTTTCAGTCATCCCCCTTCTCACTCTCTCTCTCTCTCTCTCTCTCTCTTCAAAGTAGTCATGCCAGGCTGTTTATATTGCTGGACTTGCAACACTCTCCCAACCATATATATTAGATTGTTTGTTCTGAAGAACCAAGCTTATGTTCCTTATTTAAGAGCTCCATCTTCTGTACTTCCACCAGCTGAAAGTTAATTTTGTCAAAAAATAAAACTTCTCCTGAAATTTGTCAAAAAAGATAAAACTTCTCCTAGGTGATAGTACTTATGGCGCGATAATAAGTAAATTTTTTATTATCCTTCAACTGCTTGCAAGGAAGCAACCAAATGCTATGAGTATGATGTAAAGTTCTTAATATTTGATTGGCCACTGGTTTTGGCTTGACTACTAAAACTTGGATGCATTTTTCACATGTTACTCTGTCCACTGGTTTTGGCTTGACTACTAAAACTAGCGAGTAGCGTCTCAGAGTTGAGGGATTCTTAAGGTGTATATGTGTGCTTATTTTGTGGGTTTACTATGCATATATAGGAAGTTTAATTGTTGGTGTTGTATGGGCTTGTACTGTTTTTAGTACTGGCTTTATTTCTGTCTTGATCTTGCCTATGAATGACAGATATGACATGGAGGCCATCTACTTTGACGAAGGTGTAGGGAACTCAAAACGACAATTGTTGGAGTCAAAAGCATTGGATGTATGGCTACTTTCTGTCTCTCTAATTTAACAGAGGTTTTAGTTAGGTTTTCAGTTTCTTAGACAATTCTTCGAAAATAGGGAAGTTATAATTAGTAGTGGTTTTTTCATTTTTAGAAGCCTCCGAATTAATTTGTATACCACATTACTGTTGACCCCAATCTCAAAATGAAGGGCATGATAATGAAGTTTATTGGCAACATAAATTTTCTCCTTCTGGTAGTCCTGTCAAAAAATTATGTTTAAAATAAGCTGCCAAACATCATTACTGAAGCTCAACTCCATCTAATTACATACGAGAAGTTTAAAGTGACTATAGAGCTTGCTTTTAATTTAATACTCAAACAGTAACATTGCCCAATCTTTAGAGTTCAGATTCTCTTCAAACCCAGACTAATTAATGTGCAGGATGGATTTCGTATCGTCAGTTTTGAGAATTCATAGCAGCTACTGATTCCAATTATCATGCTTATTTGAGCTTAAATCTTGTTTTCCTATGAATTTTCCAGTTTGTTTACCCTGCATACACGACCATACTGGGACACCTGCGTTCTAAAGCACTTAAAGATTTTAAAGTGAGGCTGGAGCAATCGTTAAAACAAAGGAGGAGAATTTGCTTCATCTGTTCGCACCTCTAATCAGTCTTCCACGCTTGAGTTTGACAAAGGATGTGCAGGTAATAGAATTTGTGCAGGTAATTAATATGCTTGTCAACCAAAAAAATCATTTTTTATTACTTATCTTTTATGCTCTTTCAGATGCTGCCATACAACAAGCTGATTGGGATGCTTCGAGAGTCAGGGAAAAACTTAAACGTGATATAGATGCTCATGCATCATCCGTTCGTAGTGCAAAGTTGTCAGAACTGAATATCAATCATGAGGTAGTTTTCTGATAATGGAGTAAAGTCTTGGTTATACGCCGGATGATACTTTTAAAGTTATGCTCATATTATTTGTTATTCAAAATACTCAATGCAAATACCCTTTAATTTTGCAGAAACAACTTTCTGCATCTTTAACTGGACCTGTAGAGGCACTACTTGAAACTGGTGGAAAAGACACATGGACTTCAACAAGAAAACTCCTTAATCATGAAACTGAAGTTGCAGTATCAGAGTTCTCAGCCGCAGTTGCTGGTTTTGAGTTGGACAAAGATACATCTACCAAAATGATGCAAAATTTAAGGGATTATGCAAGAAATGTGGTTGAGAAAAAAGCACGAGAAGAGGCTGCAAACATTGTGATCCACATGAAGGTTAGTTCATTTTCTGTTTGCATTTTGCTTCTTAATTTGTCTTCTTGGCACAGCATATCTGATATTTTTGGAATGTATGCATAGTTGCTTTTTCTTTTTGTTACATTATTAAAAGAAATTGAGCCATGATACTACTCCTAAATTTCTAATACTCGCTTTTTTTTTCCTTTTTTTTTACTACTAAAAAAAATTAGGGAATTTAGTTTAGGTCAGAAAAAACTTTTTGAAATTTGAAGATATAATAACCATATTTTATTTTCTGAGTGTAATCACATGTCATGTTTGATTAGTTTCAAGTCACAACCCTACCCTTCGTTTGGATGAAGGAATTGAAAATTACAAAAAATTCTAAAATGACGAAATTTAGATTTCCATTGTTTGAATTTCTGGCAATTGAATATTTCAGTGTGTGGATTTATGTACATGGAATTTTGTAAATGACACTATGAAAATTGTGAAATGACGCCTATTTTTGTGGAAATTAAACTCAGGAATTTGATGCCTCAGTTTCCACGATTTTTTACACATGTCATTTTATAAATTCCACGCTTAAAAGTTGGGAATTGAAGAGGAGAAATTGACAATTCCCAACTTTTAACTAAATTCTGAGTTATTTTATCTCATCCAAACGGAGGGTAAGTTTCAACTTCGACCTAAAACTTAAAAAAAGTAATAATTTAATTGATTTCTATAATTGAAAACATGTTCATTCAGAGTACCCAATTGCAGACCAATTTTGAATAAAGTTACCTAGAACTAGAAAGAAGTTCGAGTTTGTTTTTTCTTTGTTGTTACAAGGCAAGTCCTTTCGGTTTGGTAAAGACCATTTAGCCAGGTTACACAACACATGGTTGCAGTTCAAGTTGGGGTTTCTTGTAAATCTAGCTTAGAAGCCAAGTAGACCTGGTAAACGAGGAATCAAACTATAGCATCATATTCATCTCAATGGACTTTTTTTTTTCTTTTTTTGGCGTGGAAAATTAGTGATAAAATTGATGAGAGGAAGAGTTACAACAGGTCGGCAAGCAAGGCATCCTGAATAAAATCAGGAGGCTGCTCCCAAAAACAAGCATTCTGAATAGAAAGCGCAAAACGAGCCAAACAATGTACTACGTTATTGCCATATATGATTGAACAAAAAGGATTATGTATGTTTCCATAATGATACATTACATCTAATCAAAATATGATTGAACAAAAAGGATTTACCTTGCGTTTGGATGGAGGAAAATAACTCGGGATTTAGCTAAAAATCAAGAATTGAAGAGAAGAAATTAATATTTCCATTGTTTGGCAACTTGAACATGGAACTTATTAAATGAAGCTCGGGGAAACTAAATGACACACAATATAGTTAAGTGATTCCTATTATTGAATTAATCCTTTGGACCTGCAATGCAAGTTGATGTGTAATATAATATGCTGGTTGGCTTTTGTATTATAAAGAAGAAAGTGGCTTTTGTTTTTGCTAAATGGGGTTATTTAGGCAGTTATTTCAGTCCCAGTAACAACATAGAGGATCAAATGGGGTTTTCCTCCGCAACTCCAAATTTGGTTATTTTTAAGTTGTAATTAACTTGTTATAACGCCAGCTAGCTGTTTGCTTTTTCTATTTTGGGTAAAAAAAACCAGTGGTCATGACCCATTCTAATTAAGCCACTGAAGAAATCCCAAGATGCTAAAATTTTTTCTAATCTTTACTCAACATCAGGCATTGCTGAACAATTGACATCAGAAGTTGACTGCTTTTTATATTGCACGCAGTAGCTATTAAGAAACTAAAACAGCTATTAAAGGTGAAGAAATTACAAGAACGCAGATTAGCATGTAATTCTGTTTTAACCCTTTAACAGATCTCTTTGGGAACAAAAATGCCGCTCTGTTAATAGGTTCACAGAAAACAGAACAAGATTCGATTTCATGACCCTCTCTTGTTACGTAGTTTAGTGATGGTCAGGTCTGCTCCTCCAAACCCATCCATTGTTGCATTTGCTGAAGGGAACTCAGCTCGAGCCGTCAAACTATAGGGATTAAGAAAAATAAATAATATTAATTAGCCAACTAAACAGAGATGGTGAATAAGAAATCAAACTATAGCATCATCTCAGTGGACTTTGGTCACAGCATGCACATTTCCGTAATGATACTTCAAAGCAGAAAATGCAGGATTTGTTCTGAGCAATTCTAAAATTAAGCATGCAAGATGTGCTAGCTGGTATGTTCATTTTCATTCCTTTTGTTTGCACTTTAACCAATTATTCCAATTTTCTAATCAAGTGCTGAGGATGAAATAAGTCATACCTAGTATTTTTATATTTGGAAAGGACTAACACCAAACTTTTTTTCTCCCAACCTAAGTGGCACGGTTTCATACTGAAACCATCCTTTCGAAACATGCATGCAGACTGGTATCATACTGAAATAAATAAGCCTTCACCTGCTTCTTAAAACAACACATGGCATGCCCACTCGCTCAGCTCCTGTTACACCAGACTGGCTTCCTGCTATAAGAACACAATCGCATACTGGTAGTCCAGCATTTTCTGCCCCAGCCCGCAAGGTAGCAATGACCTTCTCTAAGCTGGAAAACAATTAAAAAGTCAAATAGAGGTTGGAATCAGTACAAGCAGAAAAGTAATTTGGTGATAGAACAGACAATATATTACCCTAATCAATCATATGAGCAAGTATTAATGGGCCATCTGATGGAGGCTAAAATACTCAAATTGAGATCAAGATAAGTCATTGCTAAAAAGAAAAATAATAATAAAAGACATGAACTTGCTCAGCATTTCCTACCATAGAAGCAAAAATTAACTATTAAATATATTCATATCATACGGTGCATTATTTCAGGTCTTCAACGCTAATGTAAGCAGAATCAGACATAAAAGTGACAAGTTTCTCTTTTAAACCCAGAACATTAGAAACCCCATAAAACAAAAATAATAGATAGACACTAACCAATCCTTGAAGGGATCACATTAGCTAACCTTTCAGATGGGGTAGTATCAATCTCTACATTCAGCTTTAGCAATGATGCAACCTCCTCTGCAATCCTTTGTTTCTCAGCAGAAACTGACCCAGAAAGCAAGAAGAGAGCCCTTTAGTACCCAACCTTCTGCACTGAAAAAATGTATATCACAAAACATATACATGACTATTATCGCGAGATAAAGAGCCTACCTGCTTTTATTGCCTCCTTAGCTAGTTGCTCATCCATACCAGAAGAAAAGTCGTTACTATTTGCTAATTGGCCATACAAACTCTGATCAACCTCCTTATCTCCAATGATCTTTAGCTTTGAAATTCTTTCCTGGCCAAGCTTTTCAGCAATTGATCTAACATTTATAAAGAGACAATTGGAGTATTAGCTTAGTCCTAAACCATGCATAAAGCATACTGAACTAGAACTGGTAGGATGGTGGTAAGGATTAATAGATAGTATTTGAAGTCCATCAAAAGAGACTAAATTCATTAAAGTATTTATTAAGCAGTAGAAAATCATATCTTCATGAAGGCTATGAATGGAACTTTATAAACTACTCAGTTTGTCTCAGTTTGCCTGAGACAAGGTGATCCCTCATGAGCAGGGTCTTGAGCCTGTTGCAAACCTCATTGGATAAACTTGTGGATTTGTTTTATATCTATGTTGTAGCAAGGGTAAAAGTTATAAATCGATAAACCTTTTTAGGCTAGCAGCAAGACACTAAGTAACTAGTCGCATTTGTCAGTTTAATCTGTGCTAAAAGCTAAAAATTCCCAGCAGCCCTTGGTAGCCAAAGCGCAATTGTTTACCTTTAAGAAAAAAGTTATCCAGCTTGTACACGTACGTATGTATGTGTATATGTTATAGTATTTAAGTAGTAAACAAGATGACGTCTCCAAAAGCAACAATGGAAAATTGTATATACGGTCAGGCGACTTTAGAAACAGAAATTTGGAAGAAAAACAATTTGCACTTATAGTCATAGCAGCAGTGCATTTATAACGTCTCCAAAAGCCAGAGCATGTTGGTAATCGTCTAGAAACTTATGAACAAAGATAAACATAAGAACAAGAAGAAAAATTGTTTGTCATTACCTGGCAATTTCATCCCCGCTCTTACTATAGGCTGTCAGAATGACCACAGGTATTCCTTCGTTGTATGCATCATCGATAAATCTGCAAATGAAAGGAGAAAACGAATGTAACTGTTAAATACTCATGGAGAAAAAAGAAATTCACGAATATATGAAACCTCATGAAAACTCAAGTGAAATTATTATAGTATGGTTATTCTTACTTTCTCTAGATTTGGGGTCAGTTCATCTGGACCATAAACCAAAGTAATTTCAAATCATTTTGATTAGTCATCGAGAAGAATAAGACGCCTGACATGTCTAACACGTTGTCTTAGCCAAACTTCTGAGAATAAAAGTCTGGTAGAGAGTTTTAGAAATAATATAACAGCACTTTGATATGTAGTGGTGGCCAAGCCAGCTTCAATTTCATATCGTTCCTTTGACAACATTTTAGCAGGATCTTTTAGCATTTCCAAATGTTGATCGTGACATTAGGAAAATTTTATGCTCCATGTATTTGAATATTTTGAGAACCAATAAAAAGGTTTAGCACATGGTTTTGGTCTAAGCTATTCATATCTGAAGAAGTAAAATATCATGTCGAAATATAGTATCAGTAGTATATTTGGTATATGATCATAAAACTTATAAAATATGAAAGAGAAAAATAAGGTAGTATACAGCATAAATCCCATTGTGACTAATATTTTACGAATTCGAACAATAATTATGATATTCCAGATAATTCTTCACTGCAATAACCTTCAATTTAAGTCTGAGAAAGCAACACTAACCACAGAACCACATTATATTCCTATGATCTTAGAGAATTAATTCGAAATTTAATACAGACTTTTTAAGTTTCAAATGGATTAGTGATTTGGAGGGAATACAAAATTAGATGCATAATTTACAATTAACTAGGATGAGAAAACTTACTCTTCAACTCCAGGTCGTAAAGGTAAACTTTCTGACATCAAAAACTCATCCATAGCAATTTTCTGTAAAAAACAAACCAATTATTATTAGCTACTTTCATTATAAATAGGGCAGAGCTAAAAGATTGTGTGATCATATCTCAGTAAATTTGAAGCTTTGCTTGATTTAACTACATGCTTAGCCATTCTTTCATCACTGGAATAATTATTTGAACTGAGATAATACCCGAACATCCATACAACACATAATGTAGGTCCAACATCCGGAATAATAGTGTTATATTCCGTTCGTCAGATTAAACAAAATAAGCTATCAAGTGAAACCAGACTTTGTAGTTATCTCAGAGAAGCTATTTCTCTTGTGTAAAAATGATATAATTTATAGGTTCAAGAGGAACATAAAAATTCTAATTCTTAATTTTTCCTAAGCTACTTTAAAGTTATGGTTATCTATATTCAGTCTGCAACTTATCTATATAAAAATAAGGTTCTGTTGTTTTTAAATCAGGATTGCAACTTACCTACCCTGGAAAAATATACAAACAGTTCTCTTAAAATAGGAAGGGGATTATAACCGAAAGCAGATTTCTTATCAGACCTGCAATTATAAATTCCGCCATATTTTCGTTTCCTCCATAGTATATGCAACTATTTGATCAAAATGGTGATTCAAACACTATAACTTCCATTTGTGCATATCCTACTTGCCGATGGAATCCTCAACATTAAGGAAGCTTTGAAACAATCAGTGATCAAAAGTTTATCAACCTGGTAAACTTGAACCCATGCAGCCCAAGTAAAGCTAAGTAAATCCTAGTAACATACCTTTTGTGTTAATGATCTAAGTCTAGACTTGAATCTCAGTTGTTAGATCAGATATCAATATGAGATGCATCCCTAAAACCTAACTTAAGCCCTTAATTAGACGTCATCTTAGATATGAAATACCTTGTTTTGCAGAACCTTTTTCACAAATGACGCCTTCTCACTTGTGGGCAATGAACTAGGCCAACCAGTCTGCAAGACAGATCATTGATTTAAAAGAAAAAGATACATAATGAAGGAAATTTTCAAAGAACTACCTTAAGCATTCATACTTTTCAAAGACAACAAAAGAGTAACACACCCGATTGAAATACAAATTCAGCATCTTTTCCTCATCACCAGCACTCTTCCTGAAAAATTAGCATAAACTACTGTGAACAACCTTAGGCATAAAAGTTGATAAGACCTTAATTAATCCAAACATTTTCAATTCTTTTTTTCAAACCAAATAAGAAGAAAACAAGATAAGGCATAATTGTGCAGCCAAAAAGCAATCTAAGGCAGAGCCTTGTGATTTTCCATATGCACACACGGCAATGTTATTCAACTCACTCATATGTGAAAAAAAAAAGCTTGAAGCAAGTCAAGATTTCAAGCTGACAAGTTAAATAAATAACTTAAAGAAATAAAAGGACCATGTTTACAAAGAATCTTTTACACAATTTTTTTTTTCACACCTCAGGAGGTCCAGATAAACAGGTTCTGTCCAACTTGCACAGTCAAGCCCAAGCTTTCGAAATGCTGACAATATATCACAAGAAAACACGGTGAGATAAACGCATAAAACCCATACTCAACAATTAGCTATTGAATTCTTTTACACAATATGCATATACTGACTGCATTTGCTCACCTGCATTGAAGGTTTGTCGGTTCCCCAAGCGGTATGCATCCATAAGGACCCTGAAAGAAAGACAATGCGTCATGGAAAAGTCTTCAAGAAAATCCCAATACCTATCGAAAAAACGATGCACCAAACAATAGCTCTAAAGAAACAAGAAAACGCGAACGAGAAAACAAATTAAACAAAATGCTTGAACTCGAAGTAAGAGAAAACGAAAATGTCACCCGTCAACTTCAAGAAGAACTGCGAGTTTCTGAGATGGATTCTGGTCCTGGGAGCCGGAAATCGAGCTGAAAGTAGTGAAACGATCGCAGTGCTGACATTTTCCCGGGAAAGTCGAATTTCTCGGGAAAGAGGAGAAAAATGGAAGGGCCAAGCTGAGATTGTGCTTGGATGAAGGCCATGAAGCACACAAGTGGCTGTTGCAGGCGTTGGCGGGAAGAATGAAGGTTGAAAATGGCTGAGCTCTGAGAATTGAACAAGAAGCGAATTCCATGGCAGTTGGTCTATTGGCGTCCACGGTTTGTTGATTTTCAGCTGACTGTGGAAGGAAATATCGGCTTTATAGAAAAAGCTTTCTTTGCTCCGAAATGACTTTTATGCCCTTCTACGCGGGCCGGGTCGACCAGGGAAAAGCTCAATTGGAATTGGGCCTTGGACACAGAATGCTAAAACCGTTGCTTAACAGCCTAACCATCTAACGGAATTAGAAACTAACTAAACACGTGGTTAGCACGTGAGCTAACCACCTCCGGCTCCAGCTGTCTTAAGTTAGCAGAATATGCCAAGGTGATGATGACGTGAGCAAAAGGTCATAATTATAGAAAATAAAAATAAAATATTGTACGCAACCAACAATACTTGTCTCACTGCTCGTGTGTTGGAATATTGAATTTGTTAACGTAAAAATAAAATAAAATTTTATGGAAATTGGAAAAGTCAAAACGCATGCCGTCGTTGATCACCTGAGTTTTCGGGAGGACTTGAATGTTAATTATTTTATGAAAACTGTCCCAATCCATAGATTGAAAAAGATTTCTTGCACTGTTTTAATAGTTTTGGTCAGCAAACATTAAGTTTCTTAATTTGGAAATACACTTCTTTAATTAAAAGCCATCATTCCGGAGAGTTTAATACTTTACATGCTCACCACATCAATTCATCCATTTTGTCTTACTACAGCTTTTAACCTGCTTGCCTATGTTAACAAAAGAAAATTCTTTCATTAGTCTTTACGTTACTTATTATCACGTAGAAAGTGAGATAGAGAGAAAATTATTCGTTTCTATCCTGTTTAGACGGCCGTATCTTTTGTTTTTATCTTTTTCATTTTTTGCCAACATGGAGACTTAGCAATGGAGTACTGTCTATGACAAAGATGGGATGGCAGATGAATTCAAGGTTTAACTTTCCTTATAATTTTTTTTTAAGGAACATAAATACTTTAGAAGCTTCGACGTGAAAGATAACAAATATATATGCGTATGTATACATATTATAAACTTATATTATTAATTCGGTTAATTTTTTTATAAATATATGATTCAGGTTTACAGTCTATCAATACATTTATCTCATAAAACAAATAAAATATAGCAAAAATACATTATAACTTGGCTATATGTAACGTAAGTATGATGATTTTGATAAGTATGACTTAAACGATTCATGGTGTGTATGCTCCAACTTAGTTAGCTAGCCTACAAACGTACATTGATTTCTAAAATAAGTTATCAAGAAGATATTATGTTTCAACCCCCAAATAAAATAAATAAATAATTTCAATAATTATATATATATATAAATATCATTAATTCTTGTCGGTTGAGTACATACACTGATTGGGGGGTTGATACAACTAGCGAGCATCGATCAGAGAAATGAAAAACAACAATCGGTCAAACAATCTTGGCAGCAGCCACCAAAATCAGAATTGGCATGCCAATTAAAGGAAATGAAATCTGTGTATGAACCTACAAGTAATGTTTATAGGTTCAGATCAAAAGTCGCTTAAATGTATCTAACAAAGTTGACCTTTTTGTAAAGATTCGAATCAAGTTAATTTCTCCAGATGAAAGATTTTATTCTTCGGTTACATGCATGTGTGTATATACATGAATAATAATAATTTTATGTACAAAATCCAATTATTGAGCCTTAACTTAAGGATTTCTTTGTACAATTTAAGCATGAATATTGGACATGAATGCAGGGGGTGATGAAAATGACATTAACCACATGTACGAGACTTGGTCCAAACAGTTTATAATGAGGTAATACTAGTGAGACGGTGTTACCGGCGCGTGATGTTACTAGTTTACTAATATTATACGATACTCTAATATGTCCGTCATCTACTCATTATAACACTTAAATTAGTACTACACAGTAAGTTTTTTAAAGTGTCTACATTGCATGCCCTGAAAATTTGACAAACCGAAAACCAGTTTCTCACTCTCAATAGGAAATAAACATAGGGTTGCGGTTTGCATAATCGCCACAACTAATAAATTGCAAATTTAGTCAAAATTGTTCCTTTCAATGACTTCTCTTCCTTTAATTTAGCCAACATTTTCAAAACCATACGTCACATTATTTTTATTTCTCTTTCACTTGGTCCAAACATCTGACCCAATTGAAGACAATCATGAGATGATAGTCTCAACCTTTTTGTTCTCCACCCAAAAGTGACAAATTCATCTTTGTCAGTCAAGCACACGACTTTGACCAAAACACTCTCTTCACACTATAAGAAGGTTAATTGGCTTTAAGTCCTCAAATAAATGGATCAGAAAACACCAAGAGGAAGAAACTATACAGAAATGGAGGTTCAGAATATGATGAGTGATTCAAACAACATTAAGGAAGATGCAAATTTGCTTCCTGGGTATCGTTTTCATCCCACTGATGAAGAGCTTGTGAGGTTTTATCTTCGGAGGAAGGTGGAGAACAAACCCATTCGTCTAGAACTCATCAAACTTATTGATATTTACAAATATGACCCTTGGGATCTTCCAAGTATGCTCCTTTCCTTTTCTCTTCATTTATATTTAGATTTTATGTACACAACTGCTACTCAATGTTTGTTCATATATATGATTTTGGTTCTCCATTGTTGAAAATGCAGAAGCTAGCGGCATTGTTGGGGGCAAGGAGTGGTACTTCTTTTGCAGAAGGGGAAAGAAGTACAGAAATAGCGTAAGACCCAACCGGGTCACAAAATCAGGGTTTTGGAAAGCCACTGGCATTGATAAGCCTGTATATTCTGTTGGGACTTTCACAGTTGCATTGGCTTAAAGAAATCCCTAGTCTACTACCGGGGAAGTGCCGGAAAGGGTACCAAAACGGACTGGATGATGCACGAATTCCGCCTTCCGGCTAGTTCAAGCAAGGATGACACTTCTAACATCAAGAACTATACTCAAGAAGCTGTACGTTCTTTTTATATAACATATATGTTAAATAGCTATTAGATTCTCTCTTACTTGCCCGTTTCTTAATTATAAGATATTTGGCATGTTATGTTATCGAACTATGAATTTAGACCACACGTTCAATCCGCCTATAATCAATACTTCAGATGCATGTTTTTGTTATTCTCTATATATAAGAGATGGTATAACTAACTAGTTCTTTCATATAATTGCAGGAAGTTTGGACACTTTGCAGGATTTTGAAGCGAGATAATAATTATTCTTGCAGAAAGTATGCATCAAATTGGCAAAAGACAACTTCGAATCCAAAGCAAATTGTGGCTGACTCAAGTTCTAAACCGTGCAGTCCTGAATCAGATATAAGTTTTGGTGCTTTGGCTGCTAATAAGGATCAATTTGAAAGGAGCCCTATTGTGTATAACGGTCATATGTACGAAGGAAACCGATTTTCCGCAGGTGATCAGCTGAGCTTAAAAGGTGAAGTTGATCCAATGGTGAACTCATACATAAGCTTTTCGAATCCAAAAGAAGATGAGATGTTAACATCAGATGGAAACTGGGATGAGCTAAGACCAATGGTCGACTGTGTTCTAAATCCATCACTGCTATATAGTTGTAGGTAGTGGAAACTATGCTCTCTAACCTTGTCGTAGTTAGTGGATTAGAGACCCATAAAGCATGGGGACTACGGTAGGGTTTTGTCTTCATGTTTTTCCCTTTTCACTCTTGGATATGTTAATGCTTCTCTACATGAATAATATTATAACTTTTTTCCATTCTATTAAGATATATCTGGGGGCGGAGCTAGGTATAGACCCAAAGTTGTCATGGCCGCCTCCGTATAGCACTTTCATCATAGTAGTTTGACAACAAAAAAAAAGCCATCCTAACCTCCTTCTTGTTTAGGGGTTCTTGTGCTTTGAATATAAGATCTTTTTCAATCAAAAAAAAAAAACCACTCCTCCTTGTTCAGAAGAAATTTAAAAAAAAGTTAAAAAAAAATTATGCATCAGGGGCACACACTAATTAATTGTTATGTTGAAGTCAATGTTTTATATATGGGTGGGTGGCAAAGGTTGGCGGCTTTCTTTTTTTCCTGTTATTGGTCCTGTATTATTGGTTTTGAACTTTGATGATCATTTGGCATGTAGCTGAGAGCAGCAGTTTCAGTTGCACCCCTTTAGAATGGGAGAAGTTATTATTTATTCTTTTGACTATTCGTTTTGATTTTGTTGCGTCTAACTCAGTCGCTCTCTTTAGTTTGACTAAATTCGTTCACGCTAAGATAAAATTTCAATGGATGTTTGGTGGTGAAAAGTTACATGGGGCTATTTTCCTCCCTCTATTACTCAATCAATAGCTAGAAAACCGTGAAATGTTTGTCTCAAAGTCTGTTTTATAAAATAAGATAAGATGGAAGGAGAGAGAGAGAAGAAGAAGAAGAAGAAGATACCACACACAAATACCGGCAGATACATTAAAAATTATTCTAAATGAAACAGTAGAGTGATTAGAGTCCAACTCTCACCATTGTGAGTAAGAAGAATATATAAATAAAGCTTGGATGATTTCGTCCAAAAAAATAATAATAATAAAATAAAGCTTGAATGACATATATAATTAAAGCTTGCGTAACGTTAGATGTCACATTTACTCACCACGTTCTCTGACCATATTTATGAGACCGATTTGTATATGTGGGTTTTATTCCTGCCAGAAATGTGGTCAATAAACATGATTCATGTATATAATTTACTCATGACAGTCGCTTGACAACTTCCTTCATCAAATCAGGGTTGGCACGTTGGAAAGCGAATAGCTCGTCGAGTGAAATGAATCCGTCGTGATCCATGTCGATCTCCTCCATTCTTTTACGGACTTCGTCCGGTGAAAAAGAGCCAAGTGCCGTGAGTGCATCCGCAAGCTCAGTCAATGAAATCTTGCCATCACCATTGACATCAAAGCGCTTAAACACACGCTCACATTCAGCCTTAGCACTTTCATCAGCCATTATGTTTGAATTGTGATTCAAGTGTCAAATTTTGTTCTTGAGTTTTGGTTTCTATTGAATTTGACATGAAAACAAATAGTTTGAGAGATTTATGTGATCAATTCAGAGTTCGGTTGTCCTTGGACCCGGTATTATTGCTTAGGAAACGGATCATGACCTAAAAAGAAGGAAACCTTATTGATCTTAAGACATAATAAGGGTTAAGCATAAATTATAGGTCTTTTGTGGTCATTACAATTTGCATGACATGACCTGTTATGAATATAAATTGAAAAGAAAAGTGTTATATTTGTATAATTAACTATATGAAGGCAAAAGTTGTTGAGGGTATATAAATTTTTTTTATTTTATCCTGATTAATGGATTTTTAATTATGGCCAATCAAAGTTGAAGATTTACGCAATAAAAAGTAGCATTTGTTGAATTTACGTAAAACAAGTACTAACCTCCCCGTACACGCTTTTACACTTGCGAGAGGCTTTTTTAAAAAAATTTAAAATTTATTTTAGAATTAAAAAAGATAATAGATAGTTGTGTTCCATAAAAATAGAATCCATTATCTAATTTTTGTTTTAATTTTAATTTTTTTTAATATGAAAAAGTGTGAATTTACCATATTATCCTCATTTAATTAATAATTTCAATTTTTAATGTTTGCATTAAGCAAGGGCATTTTCTGGTATTTTGAATGTTTCACCATTCTTTGCCTTTTGCTTTATATATATAGATAGATTATATAAAGGAGTGTCTAATAACAAAATTATAATTACCAGCTCCCAAACTATGCAAAACTGGGGCTAGCTTAACAAAATAAAATGAAATATAACCTAAACAAAAAAGAAAATTACAACTCCGATCTAACACATGACACACATCAAGCATCTGAAAACCCTAATCAGCAGTCCTCTGAAATTTGATCTTGCCATCATCCACGGTGGTCGTGTGCTTCCTCTTCCTGGAAAACCCAGTTTGCTCATCTGTGAACTGAGCAGCTGTTCGAGCCCGTAGTTCTTCCAAGCTCTCACCTTCCTTTGCTCTCTCAAGAACCTGGAGTTAACAGGAAACAGTTATAGAGGCTGATTTCTACTTTAAAAAGGAGAACTCACTTGCCTCAAATACAGTCAATGCCTTACCAGATGGCGACCGTACAAATGCGTGCTTGAAAGTGCTTTAAGGGCATTTTCTGCCTCTTGCTTGGTGATGAACTCCACAAAAGCAAAGCCTCTATGCTGTCCAAACTTCATCGGCAAGCGTAAGCTTTTAATCTGTAACATAAAAAGAAATAAAGTCAATTATAGAATCACGATATATTGGTGTACTATGTGGAGATTTATCCTCATATTCACATGGCTCAACAGAATTAAACTGTGAGGCAACAACACAGGTTGTCAATCATGCTATAAAAATCATTTGCCAATTGCCCCTTTGGGGGGAACAAGGGCATGCTTGTGATGGCTAAAACGACGTCATCTTAGAGCTCAAGGGGTAACATATTTATGGTGTAAAATTAACTCTGTAGGAATTATAGTTGATAAATAAGTAAAACGAGGTTTGAAATGACATAGTTTAAGTCCAAAATACAATATCAGCATGGAAAACACAGAGGATCTGAAATCTAGTAGTTTACTTGTCAAAGTTTAGTAATTCACCTGACCAAATGGGCTAAATAGCTGTCTGAGGTCTTTCTCTGTAGCCTCAAAGGCTACATTTTTCACAAGTAATTTTGTTGAACTTTTATCCTTGTCAACTTTTTTTGGCACTTCATCTTTCTTGGCATGACAAAGTTGCAAAATAAGAGAGTGCCCATCCAAAACAGTTCCCTGGAAAATGGTAATATTTAGTTGCAGTGAATTTCCGAAATTGCTCATTTTATGCAGATAATTTTGACTAGATTCTGGCTTTACCTGTAAATCCCTGCAAACATTTGTCGCTGTCTCCAGAGAATCAAACTCTATAAAACCAAAACCCATTGAAACATTCTTCCCATTTTTCAAGTGTTTCTTTACCTGAACATAGAGATAGAGGGGATATAGAGAAGAAAAAATATATCAAGCAAATACAAGTAATGATTCTGGCCAGCTGAATTATCACCTTGACACTAAATATTTTTCCCTCCTTCACTTGTTCACTAAAATGCTTTTTCAAACTCTCATCGGAAGTCTTAAAGCTCAGGTTCTTGACATATAGAGATCGTGACTGGAGAATGTTACACAACAAAGACAGAAAAATTATTAAATTGGGTAGACAGAAAAATAGGCAAATGCAACAGAACAAGGAAAAATGGGGAAAAAGAACCCACAGGTGTCAACAATCACAAAACAAGAAAAAGCAGCATAAATCAGGAAAAAACCATATACCACCAGCGTTAAGTTTTTAACAGAAGAATCAAGTTTCGTCATGTGGCACATGCTGTGCTAACACTTAAGTTCCGCTCACATTATTGCTTGTTATACCTAATGTACAATTGCACACATTCTGTTCTTATCGTCAACAAGCCAGAATTTTGTCTTCTAGAAGTAACCTGAATGATGTTTGCATGGATTTCCCTTAGATGATTAAAACCAAATAAAATCAAAATATGAGCTTCCTATCGCAAAATAGTTGCCAAACTACACCATTTTTAAAAATGATATCGTATCATGAATTTGGTCCAGTTACTGTTATAAAAACCAAAATAAAACAAGTATGGTCACTTAGAAGCCAGCCAAAGATGCTAGTCTCCCAACAATACTAATTGTGTCTCATCATGACAAACAACAAAGAGTTGTGTGCAAAGGATTGTGAGTACAATTTCTTGAACTGCATTTAGAAAGAAAGATGTAGCATAACCAGTTTGTTTGTGATATGGTCAGATGTGTAGACAAAAAGGAAGAGGAGATAAAACTAATGGGAAAAAAGAAAAGCATATAAAAAGTAACCTCCACTCTATCAGGATCAGCATCCACATCGGATATTCCTTCCACATATTGCTCTAACATAACCTTTTTGACATCATGCTCACCAACAACGGCACTGTTGTTTTCAATGCTCTCAGTTTTTGAACTTTGACTAAGAACATTGCCAGGCGCCCATTCCAAATATAAAGGACCATCCCTGTATCATTTAAAATGGTGGGAAAATGTTTATTATGTGACATAACAGTGTAAAAATAAGAAAGTATTCCAGCTATTGGTAGAAAACAAAAACAAACAGTGAACAAGCCCATCAATTGATGATCAAACAACTGTTTCAACGAAGATCACATAAGTTTTACACAGAGTTCTCCATAAGCACCTGCTTTTATACAATAGATAACCTATGTAAGGAACCCAAATATTTATCCATGAACATAATAAGTGGTATGAGGAGCGGGGTTATTGAATGATGGGACCAGCTAAGGTGCTTGAATAGACTTGTCTAGTTGTTAACAACTCAACTTCAAATTTAGTAACTGCTGATTCATTTGGTTTCTTCATATTAGTTTTCAAATCAGGGGTACTTTTAAAATTTTATTTTTGTGGACATGACGTATAGTTCTGGGCCTTATGGCCATTGGGACTAGTTTTACATGTTCCTTGTCGTCGTTGGTAAGACTTTGATCTTAACTTCAAGACCAGACAATTGTCCTTTTGAAAACTTTCTTTAACTAATACTGTAGACTACCTTGTTTTAAACTGGATAACAAGCTTAAGAGAACACAAACATAAAACAAAGGAACCCAAGCTGCATACAGCTTACAAGATTTTGCAACACTTACTTGTAACGCTTGTATGCTAAACCTTTAAAAGCAGCTCGTGCGGCAGCAGGTTCAAGAAAAACAACCTGAAGGATAATAATTCAAGAAAAAAATTAACATAGAACCACATATTAACAACACAACATCATAGGAAACTAATATCATCGATCATTAGGATATTTCTTCCCCTCTGCAGTATCAAAAGCTTAGGATAATAAAAGTACACAAGACATCTGATCGTCCAAGTGTCAAAGAGGAGAAGAAAACCTCCAACTAATTAAACAAAACCAAAAGCAAAGTGTCCAATTTCATAAAACACCACAAAACTACTCTCTTCTAATCCAGGATGGTCAGAAGCCATGTCTGGCCAGTCATAATAGATCTTAAATCTTAATGACTCATATACCTGTTACATCCACCCATCCATCTCTGTAGTCTGAATTATCAGAGTCAAGCTGTGTTGCACACCCAGGCAAACTCCCAGAAACTATCAGACTACAAGGCAAAAACCTCCACTCTCCTAAACTTAGCAAATCCACATCCTCTATAAAATAAATCAAAACTAACAAATAGTCATTGATGGAAGAACGCATGAATGCATACCAAGGCCAATGTCTTTGTCGGAGGGAGAAGATTTTTTCCAAACCCCCAAATTTCCCAAACATCTTCACCAGTTCACCATCTGTAGAACCATATGGCAAGTTCTTAACCAGTAAAACATGGTTGCTTCTTTTACTACCATCAGTTTTCCCAGCAGCAAAATTCTCTAAAGATTCGACATTTACTCCAGCATTTGTAAGAGCCTTTTTTGTCTCTGCAATCACTTGAGTTTCTCCCAATGCAATACGTACAGCGAGATCATCAGCTTCCCGGTCAAGCAAATCACTCTTACTCACCCCCATACTTCCGAGCTATGTTCTCAATAACCTATTAAATATGACATGAAAATCGAAATGGAGCATCATCAAACAAAAACCAAAAGTAACTCAATAAAGCAGGGGGCAGCGAACATAATGATGCTATTCCTACTAGAATCAGGGAATCAAGAAATTTTAAAAAAAACAATTAAGGTTTTCCATGTACTAGAGAAAAGTATTCAAAATGATAAGTATGGAGGAGGATGGTAGAACAATCTCAAGACCAAAATAAATTATTAACACCATTCAGATGTCATGTCTTTCTGGAAACTCTGCGTATACTGCAACTAAGTTTAACATACCGTATCAGACCTCATATACAAACTGTTCCATGCTCTTGTATCTCCACTAGCTTCAGATGCTTTCCTCTCATCCTCCCTTCGTTGCTTAAGAGTTTTTGAACCTTGGCTTGCGGAATTATCAGCCCTATACAGTGAGCAAAGCCAAATTCAACCGTAGTGTGCAAGTAGAAAGTCAGGATCAATCCCGGTATAAGAGAAGTCGGAATAAAAATTCCCTAGCAAATGAAGTTGGGAAAAGAGGCCAATTGAAGATAACCACTTACCCTAGCTTTTCAGATGGATTTTTTGTTTTGCTGGCATAACATGCAACAGTCTTCCTTGGAAAATTGAACCATCTAATTCTTCCAGTGCCCTTCACCAAAAATAGAGGAAAGACAAATCAACAAACAAAATCATGTACGAACCTATATACATATAATTTTAAACATGTATGAACTAGCAAACAAAATCATAATGCACAGGCTCAAGCACCATAACAAATATTAGGACACTTGAATGCAGCGATAAAAAACAAGAAAAGTTCAAGGGAGAAAGAACTTTAAATCCTACAATTTTCTTTTTGAAAACAAGAAGACTCATGTAAGCTTTGAAGCAAAAAAGAGTACCTTTCTGCAGATTCCGGAAGCGTGTAAAGAACATAAGCGAATCCCTTGGAACGATTAGTCTCTTTATCAATAACAAGATGGACCTGTGCATCGCCAAATTTGCTAAAGACCTCTTCCAACTCATCCTCCGTTGCTGTAAATGGCAGATTACGAACAAATAGACGACCACTCTCAAGCACTTCTTCTTTCTCCTCTTTCGAAGTGGATAACTCATTGCTCTCGTCCAGTACTTGGCCATTAGCATCTTCTGAAGGACCTTCCTCTCCAGCCTCTTCTTCATAAACTTTACTTTGTTCCTTTGTATCTACTTTTGAGAACCCTTCTCCTTCTTCTCCTTCTCCTCCTCCTCCTCCTCCTCCTCATCACTGCCACTGCTTTCTGAATCCGACCATTCAGTCTTCACTCTGCTCTTGAAATAATCCATATCCGAAACGGCATCGTCTTTAGCAACATTGTGCAAATCATTCTTCTTAACACCTTTGTCTACCTCCATATCCACTGGAACTGATTTCTCTTCACTTTCCTTCTTGGCTTTGCCAACTTTCTCAGCTACAGGAGTTACCAACGTGTCGTTTGCCCACAATTTCGACTTAGCCCTTGGCTGCATCACCTCCAAAAACTCATGAAGCTGAAGATCACCACTCTCATCTTTTACCGACGGCTCAAGACTCCGACTTTTAGCGACGACACCTTCCTTCTCTTTCTTATTCTTCTTCCCATCTTCACCCCCTTTCGTCTCCTTCTTCTGAGAATGACGACTCCATGGCCGAGGAATCTCTGGATCCCCAACCTTACGAGCAATCTCACAAGTAATCCTGCAAGTATCGAGAAATGACCTGTTGTAGTATTTCATGGCCTCCTCAGCTTCGCTCTCTGTACGGAACCCAATGAAAGCGAACTGCCTGCTCTTGCCTTCCTTTGTCCGCATCAGCTTCGCGTCTGTAATCTCTCCTTTCTCCGAGAAGAACTCTCGGAGTCGGCTCTCGTTCACATGCTTGGGCAAATTCTTCACGCAAATCCTTGACCTGAAATTGTAAACCTTTTTTCATGTGAGTACCTGTAAATTTTCCTGGAAACCAAACAGAACGTTGGAGAATAAATTGAAACTCACATTTTGTTAGGAAGATTCAATTACAGGTCTCAGATTCTTCAACCGAATTGGAACGGACGATGGTGACGTTTTGTGAAAATCGACTATATTGATAGGGCAGGGTTTAAGGGACTCGAGCAGTGGCGATGGCGGTGTGGTTTTCGGTTTTGGGGCTTTTTGCCCCCAAAATTAAATTAAATTATTTTATTTATTGAAAAAAACATTTTCTTTTTATTTTTTATTTTTGTTAATCGTATCGCCGGGCGGCTATACTCCTGGTTTTAAAAATTTTATTCAAATTAATAGTATCGCCGCGCGGCTATACACCGTGTTTTATACTCCTTTTTTTATTTATTCCAATTAATGGTATAGCCGAACGGCACTTCGTGTTTGTTAAATTTTTTTCAAATTAATAGTATAGCCGCACAGCTATACTGTTAACATATAGTGTATGAAAAGCTAATATCCAGCAGGCTATAACCCCGTGTTTTTTTTTTAAATTCAAATTAATAGTATAGCCCCTGGGCTATACTTTTTTAAATCAAACTAATAATATAGCCGTGCGGCTATACGCCGTTTTTTAATATATTAATATTATTTCCAGGGTTACTATTTGCATAAAGAACTAAGTATTTTTCATTTAATACTCATATTATACTCGTATTATTCATTTTTTGTATAATACTCGAATAACACACATACGTATGTATTTTTCAATAATACTTCCGTTTTCCGTACACGTCTTAAAGACTCGGTAAAATACAAGTTTTTTTTCTATAAAAAGCAAACATAAAATACACGTATGTTCGTATTTTTCATGTTTAATAAATGTTTTTTTTGTAAATTTTCAATAATACACACAAACTTCACGTATTATACACATAATTTCCACATATTATTGATTAAAAATAATATATATTAAAATATTAAAATAAATTATTGTAAAATATTGCATAATGGCGAAATTTTCAGTTGTAACTTGTCAAAATTATCATTTTTCAAATAAATAGAACAAACGCCCGGCTATACTAGGTGTTTTTTCTTTTTATTAATAAATATTATCTTTGCACGCTATACTGTTGAAATATAATATATTAAAAGAGTATAGTGGCGCGGCTATACTCCGTATACTCCTCTTTTCTTTTCTTTTAATAATAGTATAGCCGTCCGGCCATACACCCTTTTAATATTTATTCAAATTAATAGTATAGCCGAGCGGCTATGCCCCGTGTTTTTAAATTTTTAATCAAATTTATAGTCTAGCCGCAAGTCTATACCACATGTTTTTTAAATTTTTTCCAAATTAATAGTATAGCCGTCCGGCGATACTTCATTTTTTAAATTTTATTTTCAAATTAATAGTATAGTATAGCCGCCCGTCTATGCGGTTGACATATAACTTGCAAAAATAGTACAGCCGCCCGGCTACACCCTGCGTTTTTTAATTTTTTTTCAAATTATTAGTATAGCCGCCTGTGTATTTTAAAATTTTTATTCAAATTAATAGTATAGCCGCTGGGCTATACGCCGTACTTTTAAAAAAAAATTCAAATTAATAGTAACGCCGTTCGGCTATACTCCATTTTTTAATATTTATTCAAATGGCTATACTCCGTCTTTTTATACTCCTTTTTTAATATTTATTCAAATTGATAGTATAGCCGCAGGGCTCTACTCCGTGTTTTTAAAATAAAAAAATCAAACTAATAATATAGCAGCGCAGCTATACTTCCTTTTTTTATAAATATATATTCATATTTATAGTATTTCCAGGGTTATTATTCGTATAAAGAATTTAGTATTTTTCATTTAATACTCATATTATACATGTACGTACCTATTTCTCAATAATACTTTTATTTTTCATATAATACTCGGATAATACACGTACGTATGTATTTTTCAATAATACTTTCATTTTCCGTACACGTCTTAAAGACTCGGTAAAATACAAGTTTTTTTTTATATATAAAAAGAAAACATAAAATATATGTATGTACGTATTTTTCATGTTTAATACATTTATGGACAATATGGTTGGTTGAAATGGGCCACCAAACCTCAAAGATGCAGGCGTTTGAGCACAACGTTTCATGGGACTTGTATGCTTTGAAAGAGGGCAAACCTTCTCTAAAACACCTGTTAGCTAGCAAAGATCTATGCATTACAAGGAAAATAAATATTTCATGTCTATATTAATTCTTGGTGTGTTCATGAATTAGTGATCTTTTTGTTGATATGTTATAGCATCTAACTCAAAATTATTAATTGACAATAAATAAAGAGGTTCAAAATATTATATTTGGTAAAACTTCTTAAATACCAAACTGGATTCTCCCAACGAAAATTTTGTAATAACACCACATGACAATGTTGCATCACACATAAAAGTTACTCCTAAATAAGAGGTATGACTCTTGGTCGAGTGCAGGGGCCATGGTACGAAATCTCATGAAAATGTTACATTTATATAGTGAGACTAGTTGGCTCAACATGATTTGGGAAGCATTTGGTCCTATCATGTATTTAGGTCAAATTTTACAGCCTTGCAACTTATGAGGGATTCGGGCCTGTCAATAGAAAACATACCCTGAACAGATTCAAAACTAGTTTTGAAAGTTTATTCACATTAATTGTTTTAAATCTTTAGCTACTTTTCTTTCCAACCAATATATATATATATAGTCCCCTTTCATTGAGAAATCCCTCAAATAATTTTATATGAGGAACACCATTTAGGGTACTCTATGATATTTTTTTCAATGATCCAAACCATCTATTTTTTAGGTATTCATTCATAGATCATCCTTGCAAAAAATTAGACAATTGAAAACCGTTTAGACATCTAATTGTGTCCTACAAAATCAATGAACACGGTGCTTCAAGAAAGTACTAAAATTTCAATAATTTAATTGAGTGAGAATGAGAAAATCAAATAAAATCCATGACACACACATATAAATGACATATGAAGACATGAAAACAAATATAGATTATATTCATGTTCATTGTAGACAATTTACATTTGTGAGAAGGGTCAATATAGTAAATATAGCTATAAAACAACTTAGATAACATAGATAAATATAATATTTTCAAAATGTTGAGAAGGATCAAGTGACCCTTGTGGGCCTTAATTGGCTCCGCCAATGGGAGGAGGTAGGTTAGGAGGCCGCCAACTCCCAAATAGGGCAGCGGCTAAGACTTTTTTCTTATGGTTTTCTCGTTTTCCAAAATGACTCCATTTAATCCTGAGTAATGCAGTCTTAATGAAAAAGAAAAAAAAATAAAAACATATCTTTATCAATTTTAGCAATCAAGATGGTGAAAGAACATACATAATTTTTTTTTTATTACCTAACCAATGATGCAATAATAAAAAATTCCATTTTTTTCGGCTACAAAACAAAAGGCGAATATATATGACATCAAATTGTCGCAAGTGCATGATGTGTCAAGCATCCTTCCGTTTCTACAAGCCGGTAGCAATAGCATTTCCTTCCCGGCAGATGGCCATACTCACGAAGGTCTCAACACATCACACAAATTGTCGAGATCTTCATGAGTATGGTTATCTGCCGCAAAGGAAATGCTATTGCTACCAGTCGACCCTAAGGAGGATGAGTCATATTGTGATGTTTTACCCTGGATTGAAGGTAACACCTATAAGATATTATTATTTTTATATAAAAAGGTGATCGAATTTTATTAGATAAATAGGAATAACATTATAAATGACACTGACTGTAAAGGGAGCCATCCCAATAACAATATGGTAGACATGAGTAAAACTTCCTCAATGACCTGAACCTAAACGATATCTAGAGAGAATCACTATTAAAAATAACTTTTCTATAACCCCTCTCAACCACCGTAATTTCCCCGAATATAGTCCAATGACATTAAGGACAAAAACTAGCCACTTACCTGCATGACTCTCCTAAAGAGACTAAAAACACCCATCAAACTCAACTAAGTTTCTGAAATCATAAAATAAAAAAAACATCATTAAACATGACCAACCTTTTAAGCTCTTAGGTTGTTCATGGCTCAATCCTCTGTTGCACCCTTTGTCTTTCTTCCCTAGGTTTGGTTTGATCTGTTTGGGACCCTTAGGGTTTGTTTGAATGCAAATTTTATTTTCGAACACAGCACCGAATCTTATAAATTTGTATAATTGATTCTCATATATTCTAGTTTGGCTCGACGTGATTTATGAATTATTTGGTCCTATCAAGTACATATTATAATTCTTCAATTCAATTACGGTATATCAATGCCAAAGGCCAATAAGAGTCTCGGCAATCGTAAGACAAGATCATTTTCTACTGGGCTGGGCACGTTAGCCAGTGAAATTAATAGTCATTGATGACTATGGGTTCCAATCATCCAGAGCTTTCTCTTTAGACATATAATTGAAAAGCTTAGCTGTATAGACCACTGCTTGGTGGTCAATTGCTTTTTCTATAATTCTTCACGAACTGATTGATTCACAATCACATGATAATTGATAAAATAATGTTGTGACATTCTTGCTAGAGCGTTCAGCTCCCTTGAGCTAATTATAATTATAGTTGGATTATCCTCAAAAGATTTCAGTTAAGTGGTATAATTTCAGTTGTAATTAAATTGATGTAATAATGTTTCAGAACCAGAGGCATCTGGGTAATTGGATATCCATTTAAATATGTATGTACCTGTTGCATTCGAGGTCATTTATGCTGTGTGGTATTTTGGTATTTTGCAAGCACAATGCAATTGCAAATAAAGCCATGTCCTATGCTTGAAAGAAAAACAGATAAGATGTAGATTAGACTAGTTGGTCAGTGTGTCCATCTCTGTGCACCCGAGTCGATCCCTTCCCCGTCCCTAATGTGCAAAGTTCTAAAAGGAGTGTTACATTAACAGGGAGGGTTTATTGGTCTACTAAATGAAAATTACAGCATGTCCCTCCAAATTTCCAATCTGATGCAGGAGGGGGACTGAAGAACTGATTTTGAAATTCCATATGAGAGAGCATTTAGCTTCGGACGGTGCCTTATACTTTAATTGAATCCAAAGCAATACTAACATCATTATTATAACACACAGAGAAAGTGGTCATGTAAAATGAGGAATTAGTTTTTTTTTTAAATAATGATATTCATTCAAGAAACCTAATGGGTTGTTTGACTTTGTATTGTTAGTCCTTTTCTCACGTATCTAGAGGCATTTTTGACACGATTGAGTGAAAACAAATTGATTGCCTTAGTTTAATCTTTGCACATACCACGCAGATAATGTTATTGTAATCAGAGATTACTTAAATGATGAGAGGAATATGGACATGTTCACCTTATATTTCAAGTCTAGTTTACTTCAACTTTGAATGGAAATTATATATAATTTGATTCAATTCCCAAATCTAGAAGCAATTCGGCAATGGAAATTATATATTATGTTTTATGTATTTTCGGATATCTCAAAGGTGCAAACAAAGGGTGATACTTCTTAGGTGCAGGAAAGGGAATTGTTATTAGTGTATGGTACGGCTAATGGAAGGCCTGCTTCTATCTACTTGGTTGATCCAAGAAACTGCAAATCTCAGCATTGGAAGACCACCTCTTAAAAGCTAGAGAAAGCTAAAGAGAAAAAGACAATTCTCTTGTACCATTGTTTATTTGGATTTTGATGTTTCCTATGATGAAGTCCAATGTTATAACCAACAGTGCTGGTTCTGTTACGAAAGTCTGTTTGATGAGTGGAAGGGACAGAAGCTCCAGCTTCACTCACATTTTCTTATAGTTGAAGAGAAGTTGGTCTGCAAATGTAAAAGAGTGAAGCTCTCAAATTCATTTATTGGTCAGAAAATGCCAGGGTCCTCTGGAAAAACAAAGAGGAAGATCAGATGGAGCAAACTGTATTCTTTTGCATGCTTGAGGCCTGTTACTGCTGAGCATGATCCTAGCCAGCAGCTTCTTGGTCAGCCGGGATTTTCGCGGGTGGTTTTCTGCAATGAGCCTCTGCAACACAAGGCTAAGCCTTACAAGTATCCCAAGAACTATGTTTCCACAACTAAGTACAATGTTGTGACTTTTCTTCCAAAAGCACTTTTCGAGCAGTTTCGGAGGGTTGCCAATCTTTATTTTCTGTTAGCAGCTGCGTTATCCATCACTTCTTTGGCTCCTTTTACTCCAACAAGTTTGATTGCCCCTTTGGTCTTTGTGGTGGGGGTTAGTATGATTAAAGAGGCAGTGGAGGATTGGCACAGATTCTTGCAGGTAAAACAAACAAATTTTTAGTTTTCTATTATTCCCATATGTTATCTTGTATTCATGTTTCTTGAAAATTTTAGCTTCCATTTTCACATTGCAGAAGGAGACTAGTTATGATTGCAAAATTGTAAAGATGTCAACTAAGGGCCCGTTTGATAACCATTTCATTTTTTGTGCTAGAGTATAGAGGAAAATGGGAGTGAGAATGGAGTGAGGATGAGATTAAGGGAGAGGATGGATGAGAGGGGAGGATGAGAGGGAGGAGAAACAAAAGTGAAAACAATTTCAAATAAATTTCAGTTTTAGTTTTGGTTTTCACTTTTGTTACTCCTCCCTCCATCCTCCCTTCTCATCTTCCCACTCAATCCCATCTCCACCTTTCATTCTCACTTCCATTCTCCCTCTTTTTTCTCTATACTCTAATACAAAAAATGAAAACTAAGAACTAAAATTGAAATGGTTATCAAACGGGCCTTAAATTTTTCGTTTCAAAATTGACTCCCTACTTCATAATCTCCTGCCTGCTTTAAAATTTAGTATGATCAAGAACCCCTTTAGCTTTCCTGTTCTGTTTTGCTAGGAGCCTATCATTTTTCCATTTTTCAAAATTGCAAGGGCTATATTGTTTACTTGTGACACTGAAATTCCAAATATGTGTCTGTGCTTTATATAATATTGATGAAACAATTTATTTTGTCTTCAAGGATTTGAATGTGAACTCAAGAACTGTAAAGGCTCATGTTGGAGATGGCAAATTTATTGACAAATCATGGCAACAGCTTTCTGTAGGAGATGTTGTTAAGGTTAACAAGAATGAATATTTTCCCAGTGATCTCCTCTTACTATCTTCCAGCTATGAGGATGGCATATGTTATGTGGAGACCATGAACCTTGATGGAGAAACTAACCTGAAAGTTAAAAGATGCTCAGAAGCTACACTTGGCTTGATCAATGATCAAGCATTTGGTTTATTCAGCGCTACTGTCCGCTGTGAGGACCCAAATCCTCATCTTTACACCTTTGTGGGGAATTTAGAGTTGAAAAATGAATCATTTCCCTTGTGCCCTGCCACACTTCTTCTAAGAGATTCAAAACTTCGGAACACTGATTATATTTATGGAGTTGTGATCTTCAGTGGACCTGACACAAAAGCAGTAAGGAATTCAACAAGATCACCATCTAAGCGTAGTCTGATTGAAAGAAAGATGGATCTTGTTATTTACCTTCTCTTTACAATGCTTCTCTTAATTTCACTGGTCACTGCATCCGGTTTTGCGCGGTTTCTGAAGTTTGAGATGGTTAAGTGGTGGTATCTTTCTCTCGAAGATGATGATCCATTCTTTAACCCATCAAAGCCAGAGGTATCTGGTTTCCTACAATTCATAAGGGCCCTTATTTTGTATGGCTACTTGATCCCCATTTCTCTCTATGTCTCTATTGAGGTTGTCAAAGTTTTACAAGCCATGCTCATTAACAAGGATATAGAATTGTATGATGAAGTTACACGTAAGTCGGTTCAAACCCGGACATCAAATTTAAATGAGGAACTTGGTCAGGTAGGGATGATTCTGTCAGACAAAACAGGAACTTTGACATGCAACCAGATGGAATTTAGGAAATGCTCTATTGCTGGAATTTCATATGGGGGTGATATAAATGAAATCGACCTGGCAGCATCTAAGCGAATGAATGTTGATGTTGGGTCTTATCGTTTCAGTATTGATGAATTTGAAACAGAAAGCCAAAGCTGTGAAATGTTTGAGTTCTCAAATGGGGACATTAGCACTGAAAGAGCTGTTCTAGGAGGACAAAGACATACGCAGAATTCTAGTGCAGAAAATTCAAGAATCTCTTATGTGGAGGAAGAAGCTGTCATCAAGGGTTTCAACTTTAGGGATGATAGACTTCTGAACAAAAAGTGGATTTATAGGTCCAACTTATCTGATGTGACAATGTTCTTTAGAGTCATGGCTCTATGTCACACAGGCATACCTGTTGAGGAGGATGATCAAACTCATAAGCTAAAGTATGAGGCAGAGTCACCAGAAGAAGTATCTTTTTTAATTGCTGCACAAGAATTTGGATTTCAGTTTTTTCGAAGAAGTCAGTCTGTTATGTTTCTTAGGGAGTTTGATCCTTCCACTGGAAATGAGGTTGAGCGGTAAGTCCTATAATTGATTTTTTTCTGGTTAAGACTATACTTCCTTATAAGTTCTTTATGGTAGCATGGCCAAGCATGATGTGATGGTTATTTTCAGGAAGTACAAACTTTTGAACCTTTTAGAGTTCTGTAGCGCTCGGAAGAGGATGTCTGTTATAGTAAGCAACGAAGAGGGTCAAATCTTTCTACTCTGCAAAGGTGCAGATAAGTACGTTTTCTTCTTTAACAATTCATCTACTGATGCCTGCACCTTCTTTTTCTCTTTTCCCTTCTTTGTTAATGGTGTCTTACATTCCTAAGTATCAGTCTTTTTGTTCTAAGTTGGAAAATCTCAATACTATTCCACCAACTAACTTATTTTTATTACTTGTGGTTGTCAGCATTATCTTTGACAGGCTTGCAGAAAATGGAAGGACATACCAACAGGCAACAACTCTACACCTTTCAAATTATGCAGAAGATGGATTCCGAACTCTGGCCTTTGCCTACCGGAAACTTGAGGTTACTGAGTATGAACAATGGAACTCAATATTTAAGGTGGCCAAGACCACAATAGGTCCTGAAAGGGAAGAAATACTAGAGAAAGCATCTGAAATGATTGAAAAGGATCTAATTTTACTAGGGGTTGCTGCTGTTGAAGACAAGTTACAAAAAGGGGTTAGTTATCTGTCTCTTTGACTGAAATACTGGATGGGCTGCATATATAAGGTGGACTTGTGTGGCATTTGAATGTCAACATGATCTTTCTCATAGTTGATACTTTCTTGTTTATGTCAGGTTCCAGAATGCATAGATAAACTTGCCCAAGCAGGGATAAAAATATGGCTGCTCACTGGTGACAAGAAAGAAACTGCAATAAATATTGGGTAAAGCTTTTGACAATCATTTACTTGGTCTATTTGTAAGTCTTAAATCTTCCAAAAGAGAAGCTAAACAGATTTTCTTTTGTTTTCCTTTTCCTACTTCCAATTGGCAGGTTTGCTTGCAGCTTACTTCGGCGGGATATGAAACAATTTCATCTAAGTTTAGGAAGAGAAACTGCAACTACTAACCAACTAAAGGTGGAAATTCACTTCAGAGAGCAGTAATATTAGAAAGCTTGCATTTGAATTTGGTCATCTAATACTGAGGAAACAATGGAAAATATACTAAATTTTGGAAACTCCCAATTATCATCCATCCCCCAGGGGACTTGTATGAATGCCAGATTCTAGTTTCTTATCAAATGCATCCCAACAATGACACACAAGTCAGATCTACTTTGCAGTGGCATTTTAAACTTGTTTCTCAAGAACCTAACATTTTAGTTTAGATGTTTTATGGGGATAAATTGAATTTGAGTTTGAAACAGACTATTGCAGTTCGAAAGTTGTCCACAGTTTTTAAACATCATCTTTTATAGAAGTTGAGTTGGTATTCACAATTTCACATATTTTCTTTTTTCTAGTTTCCAGGCGATGAAAGAAGACATTTTAAACCAACTTGAAAGTTTTCACAAAGTGAAGTCTGAAGAAGGTAATAAAGATGCACCCTTGGCTTTGGTAGTAGATGGAAAAGCTCTTGAAATTGCTCTGAGAAGTGATGTGAAGGACCAGTTCTTACCGTTGGCTGTTAATTGTGCTTCGGTTATATGCTGCCGGGTCTCTCCAAAACAGAAGGCTTTGGTAGGTCATTTCCTGCATCCTATTCATATTGAGTCCAATGGCTATGCATATTCATTCTTTTCATTTCATCAAATGTGAGTTAATCACACAAATGTGGCGATTCAGATTACACGATTGGTAAAGGAACACACAGGCAGAACAACCTTGGCCATTGGAGATGGGGCAAATGATGTTGGCATGATTCAAGAAGCTGATATTGGAGTAGGAATCAGTGGCATGGAAGGAATGCAGGTAAGCTTCACAGATGACTTTTGGCGTATTTCTGGGGAACCTTTCTTTGTTCATCTTGACTTTGCTTTAGGCTTGGTTTCAGATGCTTATTTTTGTGAAGTCCTTGTTTCTGATATGTTCCAATAGACTTGTATACTCTTCAGCTGGTTACTAAAAAAAACGTTTCTTGCCGTGGCATCCAAACTATGTCTACTTTCTAAATTCAGCATTTGCCATCACAATTTCGTACTACATTGACTGTATCCAACTGTCAAGTATCAAATCTATAGACTATCGTACACATGTTCTGCTAAAACGATATAGAATTAAATAAAAGATGCACAGATTGCACTTCCAATCATAGCTAAACATTTTCCTGGAACACCACCTGCAGGCAGTGATGGCCAGTGACATCTCATTGCCTCAATTCCGGTTCTTGGGGAGATTACTTATAGTTCATGGACACTGGTGTTACAAGAGGATCTCAAAAATGGTAAACTCTTCCATCATACTTAAATCAATAGACAATATATTTTTATATTGTAATCTGGATCTATGATGTTAGACTAAACCCTTTTCTCTGTCCAGATTCTGTACTTCGTGTACAAGAACATCGCTTTTGGGCTCACGCTGTTCTACTATGAATTATACACAAGGTTTGCAGGGGAGGTCTTCTATGATGACTGGTATATGGCCCTATTCAATGTGATTTTGACATCTTTGCCTGTTATATCATTGGGAGTGCTTGAGCAAGATGTTTCATCAGAAGTGTGCCTCCAGGTAAACAAATTAGACTAAAACCCCACACATAAATAAGAAAACACATAAGATTCTTGTATACAACTTCTGTATACATAACAATCATAACATATATCATCTCTTTTTTTACTGATTAGTACCATATTGGAGCTGACAGATTCACTCTACATAAATTCTGGATGAGATTCTTGATTGATTTTATTGTTCTCTAAATGGAACAGTTTCCAGCTCTTTATCAACAAGGACAGAAGAACATATATTTCACTTGGAAGCGCATTCTTGGTTGGATATTAAATGGCGTGGTTGCTTCTCTAGTCATATTCCTTGCAAACATATACACTCTGTCCCACAAAGCATTTCAGAAGAATGGTGCTGTTGCAGACATCACACACCTTGGTGCCATGACATACACCTGCATAATCTGGACCGTCAATTGCCAGATTGCTCTCATCATCAACCACTTCACTTGGATCCAACATCTTTTCATATGGGGCAGCATCTTGATCTGGTATGTGTTCTTGTTGATATACGGTGCACTCCCTCCTGCCTACTCACAACGAGGATTTCGGGTTCTAATTGAAGCTCTAGGCCCTGCACCATTGTACTGGACAGTCACATTGTTTGTTGTAGTTGTTTCTCTTCTTCCCTACTTCATCCACATCATCATCCAACGGTCGTTCTATCCACTTGATGATCATGTGATCCAAGAGATGAAGTATTTCAGGAAAGATGTTGCAGACAATCAAATGTGGGAAAGGGAAAGAAGCAACTCCATTAAGATGACTCAGATTGGATTTTCTGCTAGGGTTGATGCAAGAATCCATTTTCTAAAAGAACACTTGCACCAGAAGAAACAGTTGATATATAGATCAGTGACAAGCAGTCCAATATTTAAGTCACTGACAAGCAGCCCAGCCTAGTGACAACAATAACTACATTTGCTTTCTTCATCCTCTGGAAGGGCTAATTAGTCTTAATTCTTTAATTCATTAAACTTGTAAGCATTGTCTGTCTAGAATTCTCAGTTATATAATGGATTTGGCTTTGCCAAGATCATGGTTATTAAGCTAAGGGTGTTTATTTTATTTTATATATAATTATTTATTAGATAAATTCTCATTTTAGTCCATAAATCCAAACTTCGCTAAGTGTGGTTCAATGACTGTCAAATACTTAAACAAATCATATATCAAATACTAAAACAAATTATATATTAAAAAAACAACAAAAGTTACAAATTACAGGAGCCAAGTTTTTAAAATTGGATTGTGGTTTGTGGGCTGTAGATTGTATACTGTGGATTGTGGTTTTGGGCTGTCGAAACTTGAATGTAGGTTATAAGTTATAACATAAAATAATAAAATAACATGACCAAAAAACAAAAAAAAGGCCCTCCCTTTCCCTCCCAGCCCCCAGCCCCCAGCCCCCAGCCCCCAGCCACAACTCCTCTCCTACCCCGACCCCCGGAATCACTCAGCCCACCGGGGCCTCATTCATCCTCGGTATCTCTACAACCACCAACAAGTCTCAGACGCAGAAGCGTTTCTGAAGCGGCTCGACGGCGAGAATCTGAGACTGTTCTGGCCAGCTCAGCTTAAGCGGTTCGACGGCGGCGGCGCCTGCGGCTGTGTCTGAGAAGTCACAGCAGTACCCAGAAAGTAAAATCAATTTTTTTTTCTGAGGATGGAAGGGATTTTAGGGCAGAACAGGCTTGAAGATGTGAGTTGGCTATGCTCCCTCTCCGAGTCCGAGCTCGTAAGTTTTCTTTCACCATTAAAGCAACTTAATTTGTTGATTTATATTGTTGTTTGTGATGGGTCATATCAAATTCTGCATAAAGGTTGAATTTTTAAGGTAAAAAATCAGCGGTTTTATGCTTATTGATGTCGGAAATTGGAAGTAAACACACATATTATCGCAGGACATGTTGATTAGCTTAAAAAGCATTGTTCTTCAACGTGCAAGAATGATTGGGCATGAGGAACTAGCCAACAATTTTGATCTCAAGATGCTTCGAGCTCTTGGTATGTATGAGCGTCTCTCGTTCTCTTATTTTCTGCCATTGTTGATAGAATGATGGGTTTATCTGTGTTCTGTTATGTGTTGAGGATTTATGGTTGGGTGTAGTACCAAACTTTAAAGGTTTTCGAGAATCTTAGCTATCTAACTTTGAATTTGGCTTTATATCTAAGCTGTATATACGCATAACTCTGTGTGTATTACATTCTGGACTTTGATGCACAACAAGGGGATTGGACTTTGATGCAGTTCAGAATATGCTTGAGATTCGAGGTCTGTCATTAGGCTGCAAATACATATAAAATATGTCTTCCTAGCGTAGTCCCTTGCCACTATTGAAGCCTAATTCCATTAAAGCGCACACGCACACCCCATGTATTGATAGTTATTGTTATGAGATCCTCTTATCATCCATTGCTGCATCTACATTTATAGGGTTGCAAGCATACTTGTATAGTTTGATTTCAAAGTGAGATGGGTTTGGGATTGAAACAGATAAACGAATGAGTGTTCAGGTTTAAGGTATGTTTTTTTCAGACTAGAAAACTGAATATCTGAACCTGACCCATTTAGTTTATTTACCAAAGTATACTTTCATTTCTTTTACTACACCAAAATAGGGCTTTTCCTCTCTCGCTCTCTCTCTCACTTGAATATGAACATCTTTTGAACACTTGTACAGAAATTTCCATCTCAACCTCAAGACATTGATCTCATTTGCATCTCTCTTTGTTCAAGGTTTTGTCTGCTTGCGCTACTTTCTTGGAGTTGTGGCTTTGAGATTTGCAGCTTGGATTGCCCTTCCTTCTTTTTCAATGGTCCTCTTCATGATATTTAATATTTTTATGCTTTTACAATGCTGAAATTAGTAGAGGAAAAGAAAACATTCTTGTTTATTAGATGTGACTTTGTTTGTTTCAATTGGGAAGGTTTGGTTGCATACCTCAAATCCTAGTCAAATTGGGACGGGGTTTGGTGGGTGGGTGAGGGGGTGAGGGGGATGTTTTCCGGTTCTGGATTTGGGATGGCCTCACTATCCCAACAAGGTGTTGGAATTCCTCCCTCCTACCTGATTTGTATGCTCTTTAATGTTACACCTGCAGAGCATTTATCAAATTTGAAGTTAGTAATAGCTAGTCAATTTTTGGACTTTTTTATTTGAGTTTCTATGTTTGGCAGCTTAGAATTGTCTGACTTGTATTTCCTCGCTGAGGATTTGTGCAGCATTTGTTCTTATGGAATGTATCAGAGATAAGGTGAAGGATTTGACACTGGCCGAATCTGCTGCATTTATGGAAAGTTGCAATCTATTAAAATACAACCTTGGTGATATTATGAGTCTTGAAGAGATAAGGGCATGTATTGGGATCAATTCGAGAAAGGGTCCAATAAAAAGGTTAGTTGAGGCAACAAGGCTCAATATTGCTTCATTTTGGGTCACAATATGATGTTTGTGAGTTGTGCTTGTTTATATGTCTGTGTGAGTTTATCTTTTCTATGCATAGCATGTGTATGTGTATTTGTGCATCAGGGTGGCTAATTGTCTTTTCTGTTCCTAGACTGTTCCATTCACTTGTGGTCCTGGTTTTTCATGCATTTGGCATGAATGTATGTCTAAAAATGCAGACAACAATAGGCTTGCAGAAACAACTAATGCTTCTTGGTTTTATGCTGTTGATATGGATTTATACTTTCTTAAGTCTTAGGAACCAGGGATATTCTTGTAAAGTAAAATTTCCAGATTTTCTGGAGATGGGTTCTTTTTTCAGTTGATCTATAAGTAAAGTTTTGAGGGTTCATTGTATGAAATTTTCTTCAGCATCTTATGAAATTTACAATGCATATGGTGGTTGCAAAATTTAATACTGTTTTTAAAGCGAATTTATATTCTTTTTGGCTTGCTATTAAGTGGTCGAAAATGACACCAATTTCCTTCCCCTTGGCTAACTTGTTCACATTACAATGCTGCTCTCTCTCCCAGCACTCATCATTCTTGGAACACTAATCCTTCCCATAGTTGGCATAAACATGATGTTTCTTTACTTTTCTAGAAGTGTTCTTTCCTGCCAAAAAGACATGCAAAGGTTTTCAAAGGTCAAAAATGTGTTGCACATATACAATGCATCTGGTATTACTTTTAGCTCCTTGCCATCAGTGGATTAACTGTGGTCACCTTTTTTCTGTACCAGAAGACCACACAAAGAAACAACTATAAATCAGAAGAAACAGAAAAGTGAAACCAGCAAATCATGAAAGCAAGCGGTGCACAGGTAAAGAGGATTAGTCACATATTTGAAACAAAGCATTGAGTTTCCAGAGAGCTACTAAACCCTGCCTCTAGAAAATAGGTTGCAAAATGTACAGCTGTACTTGAGAATATCATTCACATATTTGAAATTGATCATTTTTTTCTTGGTTAGATTACATGTGAAGTCCAAGGTCTAAATTCCTTGGAATTTTGATATTCATCTCATGTAATTTTACAAATATGAATGCAAGGTTACATTACAATTTACAACTTTAGTCTTGTAGCTGCTTCCCATTATTTTCTTAGATGAATAGCTTTTGAATAAATATTAAACTCAAGATAGATTCTTTTTTTTCATTTGAAGTCTTGAATCTTAATGGGGTCCTGGGATCTTATCCCTCACTTTTCTGAGCATGTTTGGTGTGTGTGGGTGAGTCTATGAGAAGCCTTTTGTGCTGCATGGCATAATGAACTGAGACTCCATGATGGGGTTCATGGGATTCCTAGGGGACAAAGGAGGAAACTGATGGGCCTGATGGTCGAAGAAGCCAATTATAAGCCGTGCTTTGCCTCCATCACTGATGGGCCTAGGACCTCGGGTGCATGGGTAAACGCTCGTAACCACTTGCCCATTGCTTCAAGCTTATTACTAAGTCATAGGTGAATGAGGTCCTTGGCTCCTCCCTCCTTTTGCGAGACAGTACATGATAGTTGAGGCCAATGAACCTTTTGTGCTGCATGACTTAATGAAGTGAAACCACATGATGGAGCTTGGCTCATGGGTTTCCAAGGGTACAAAAGAAAGGAGGTGATGTTTGAAGCCAATAACTTAAATCAAACGGCTTTTTCAAGATGTGTTAAGTCATTCCTCCACACTATCTTGTGCTCTGGTGACAAGAGCATGATTTGCTTGTTGCCTCATGCTTTTGTTTGTTTGCTAGGCACCGCATGGCAATAAAGGTCCTTTGGGGCCCTCGTGTTCAACAAAATTCTTTCTCGCATGTCCAATCTTCTTCAACCCCATTTGCCTTCCCACTCCATTTGGGTCTTCAACATGCTTCAAAACACACTATATAATTAATTAATCTATAATTATACATAAATATACTTTTCTTTATATACTGGATCAAAGATACAAAGCCTCAATTGTGGAATTTCTTTTTGGAAGCAGTATATAGGTCCACTGAGCAATGGAAATTTCTCCAAAGTCAAACTCATCATGCCATTTACCAAGATATCTCCCATGCTTTGTTTTGTAACCTCCAAAGAAAGAGCATAATATTAAAGTTGTAGTTCATAAAGTGTGCTTAAGGCCAAATTCATGATTACAGATATTCCTACTTGTCCCCTTCACCACCCAATTTTTTTATGTTTTATTTTTCTTCTTCACATGCTCTTGCTGTGACGTTTAATTTATCGTATCCATTAAACGAGCATACAATCAACAAGCTATATCCCACTAACTAGCTAATTAGCTTCTCACTGTTTAAGATTGAAAAAAAATATTATATAAGATCGTTATAACACGTCATCATATTTCCCAGACAGTAAACTTAATCTCCAAAATTTTTACAATCACTCCATCTTTGAATGTTTGTCATATCAATTTGGTTTTATATGGAGGAGAATGTCTGTCAAGGAGAGATGCCACAAAAGTACATGTCAACAAGAAGAGACATGCATGGGAATCTTATCGCATCTTAACACTACAGATTATTATTTGTATATATTATGGTGTCGGTTTGATTACCTAATGGTCCCCTAATCACTTTGATTTAGTGGATAATGGGGCATTATTAGACGCAAAAGATTTGCTTAAGCATCAAGGGACTCGCTCTCAATGATATTATATCTTCCAATAAAAAAATCTCCCCACCATGTGATCACTAAACATGGGATGTCTGGACTAAAAAAGGTTCTTTCAAGCAATGGGAGAGTTTCAATTTCTGCTAATTATTTTTCATCATTATTATATATCATACGTGTTTTTATATATGACTTTGGATGAATGACTAAGATGAAGACATTTCAAGGTCAATGTCATAATGGCCAAAGAAAAAGAAATATAATTACTTGAAAAAAAATATTCGATGAAAAGGTCAGTGTCACCGCGACAATCCTTTGATTTGTTCATGTCAAGCTCCAGGCAGGATCTTCCAACTGTAATCAAGAGAAAATCTTGGTGACATTACTTCACTGTAATTAATTATACTTGTTAAGTATTCTTAAGTTTTTTTATTTATTTTTAAAAGGCAATTATATAACATCACTACCATACTCCACCCCTTTTATTGGTGATGAGAAGATTTAGTTGATAATAAATCTGATTACTTAATTACACTGCTTGTTTGTATACTTTGAAAAAGCATGTGATTCAACCGTAGTGCATGTGTGAGTGCTTAAACTATTTTTCTATTAGTGTAGCCTAGTCGATATACAATTGGATGATCTTATGTGTATTTTTCCACACAAGACGTGGAGTACTTCTGCTCATAAGTGCTTTTAGTAAAAACACGTTGAATGCTTTCTGAGAAGGTCAGTCCATAAAAAATCTCAAACATAATTTCGTATGTAAAGCGCGTTTGTATATTAACCATATGCCTTGTCCCATGCTGCATGTTAGAATTTCTATACCTAGGATGCCTTATATAAATTCACCTTTCTTTTATATATTGCGAATCACTTTAGCCATGCAATTGAAGATAGTCTAGATAGACATGTGAGAAAGTCAAACACTCTTTTTGTGCATGAACCTTAGCCGATGAGAAGGACTTCTGCAGAATTAGCTAGACTGCCTTATAAATTAGGTGGGCAAATTAAACATCTTAGGCTATGCACATGTGCTCCCTCCCTCGTCGTTGGAGAGGCACTGGTCCTTTAGGTTTTAAACGTGATAATGGAAAGCATGAAATCCATATAGTGGAAGGTGCTTTTGGGGACAGAAAGTTGATCATTTCTACCAATTTGGGACCCTTTCGCTTTGAAAACACATGCCTTTTTGGGTTTCTAAATTTGAAATTCTTGTTGCTAATTCCCTCCTTTTCTCTATCTATACCAACCCAAATGGTGTCTTTTTTTCCCATCCAAAGATCCCCAACGTGATGTCCAAGTCCAAATGGATGGAGGTTGACCATCTAATGGCTGTCATGTGATCACTGTATATTGTCTGGAAATATTTTCACCGTTTTGACCAAATAACACCTAATTTCGTGGTCCTCATAGACGGCAGGTAATTGGTTGTTGATTTCTCCACGAGCCAAATGATTGAGACAACCAAACTCACCTGCCAATGGAATACTTGTTTGCTCTCTCATGGCCTATATACGGATAAGATACTTAATACTCATACGGCACGTTATGTATGTATACCAAATATTAGGTAATCATATCTTTCAAAATAATGTACAAGCGCTCTTTCACATAATATTTCATGTTGAATTCTTTTATGTTGTTAGAATTAACAATCTGATAACATAATAGTTCAACAACCGGCTCTATCTGTCAAAAAAGAATAAGTAGTAAATTTGAGGTGATTAACTTTTAAACTTAAATGTTGATTCGAAGTCAAAAATTAAAGCAAATAGGGTGGACAAAATTACAGCCGTACGAAATTCATTCTCAAATTGGAGCAGCAGAACATTGTCAAAGCAACCACATGATTAATTAGTAGCATTTACATAGTCATATTTTGAAAATTTACAACAGAACAACCACAATCAGTTCAAGACTTTTCTTGGGCCAGCCATGATTTGTCCTAATAATATGGATTAGACATCAAGAACTCGGGTTTTCGAAGTAAGAAATTTTTTGAGGTTTAGGAATCCAAAAACAACTGATTATTAAGAATTAGTGATGATTTGCACTAGTTTAATTAATTAATTAATTAACTTTTGGATAGAGAATGATTTGCATTATTCAGATGTGCTATCATTAACTCAACAGTTGCTAACATAAGAGAATTTAACATTTGCTAATCCCGTTATTAAACAATTCGAAATTCGGGTTGCAATACGGGTTCGGATTAGGGTAGTGGAGATCCATCTCCCCACAAATTTCAACGACCATTTGACGTAGTTTTTTTCTTTAACCTTTTCCAATCATATTAGCTAGGGTTTACATAGTGGAGCTCTAATCAGTGTTCTTGAAACATAATCATTGACCAACTGCCAGTAGACCCCTTAGTTGACTGTTAAATAATTATTGAAGCCATAAACTCAAAGATCTTCCCATTGAACACCTCATTATGAGTTAGTTTGTTTCTGGGACCATCTGTACGCATGTCCTCCATTGCCTTGCAAACTTTTTTTTGTAAATAAAAGTATTGATTTAGGTGTACCTAAAAAAAAGTTCCTGCAAAGAATAATCTTTTTAACGCTGTTATTACTAGAATATATATGATATATGTGGCTTTAATTTTTAGGTGTACCTAAAAAAAAACAAACAATAAGACTTCAAATTAGAAGCAGGGATTTCGAACCTCTGCATTTAGGTTCTGTCCATTTATCCGCATTTCGGTAAATCTAAGCCGCTCAACCAATCTAATGACTTAACACACACACACAACACTTCATCAAACTTTTAAAATTTTTTTTTTTTTTTTTTTTTTTTTTTTTTTTTATTTAATTTTTTTCAAAATTTAAAACCTGTAAACCTTAACAACGTTAAAGTTTAACGCGAGCGTGCTTCTTTTTTTTTCTTTCTTTTTTTTTTTCTCGTGATTGAGTGTAGTTTATTATGGACTACAACGTGAACAAGAAGAAGAAGAAAAAAAAGGTGATTTTCGTGAATTCAATTTTATCAACTAAAATGTGTACTTTTTTTTGTCTCAAATGCTCTAAAATTCTTAGCGAGAGCGTGTTTGATTTTTTGGGAAAGATATGGAATTTAAGATGCATGCGAGTCGACTAAGCTGGATATGCTTTTGAAAGAGTCAGAAAAGTAATAAAATGATACCCAAAAAAAAACTTATCACGTGGAAACTCTCACGTGGTTTTAGTCAGCATATGCTTACTAAGTGGCTATAATTTTTTGGTGAATTCCTGAATTAAATTCTTAATGTAATGGGACAAAAGAAAAGAGAGGTGGAGGATGTGCCGACACGACAGTTTCCAATGGTACATGTCTATAATTATGTATACATATATATATATATATATTTTTTTTTCTAAGACGTTTGTCCTTCACCTTTACTAAAGTTTCAGTAACATTACAGAAACCATGGTAATGAAACGTATCAACATGTTATCGATACATTATTATCGATAATAAAAGAAAAAGTACTAGAATTCTCGATATATAGGTATATGTAGATTTGTATCCTCTAATGGGGTTGACTTGAGTTGTATCATGATGTAGTGTTGGAAGTTGGTTGTTAGTTACAACATGCTCATGTTAACATGCGCACACAACACAACCCAGACACCACACATGCTCAGCCGCCAACCGCCGCAGTAAATTCTATATGCATGCATGCCTCCCTTGGTGTCCCGATCGAGCCATTAACTTGTCAAACAAAACCACGGAATGATGTCTTACAATGAACAAGAAATTTGCATGCTGTCATGATTTGGGTAAAGATCGCCATCATCTTTATAATCCGTTAGAGAATTTTCTAATGATTTAACAGCCGTTAATATTTTTTGCTTTTACACTAGACCTGCCATCTCATGGACCCAAGTTGAACACGTGGAATTTTTTCCAATTTCAATAGGGACCACCTAACTACAAACCTGACAAAAGAAATGAGAAGATTAATATACAACATGCTAGACCTCGTCATGGACCAAACTTGGACTTTGAATATATATATATATATATTTGTCAAATTTTGAATGCACCTAACCAAAACCTAACCAAAAAAAACAGGATAATACTAGGCATAATAACGTAATTGACTAAGGTGTGCAGTGTCTTTATTTGTTTGGATAATTCATCACATACACTTTCTTTGTCATGAACATTGTCTGGTTTCAATCTAGAGGGGAGAAAATTGTCTGGGGTTATTGCTCCTCATGATTCAATATGATTTACGATTTAACTTCTGTGGTACGATTAATGCAATGATTCAAGTTAATGTGACCATGCCAAGGTTTTCTAGTTTGTAATCATATTGCGTCCCATTGGAATGAGGAGTGGGAGCACTTTGATCCTCTTGCCTTAAGTCAACGGCAATTACTTTTTACTCAAAAATTCACTAGGTTAAAATTAAAACATTCAGCATTTCAATTATTCGGCATATGATTTTTTTTTATTTTTTTTTATAACAACAAGCAGGATTTCATTAATCCATGGGTAAAAACAAGAAGAACACACCTCAATTGGAGGTTCTTGCATAGAATAAATCTGGAAAAATTAAATCCATGAAGATAGTGCGTAATAACCGTACAAGATCAAGCCCAGCTCACTCAGAGTTGATAGAACAACATATCTTGCACTAACAAGAAACCAAAAGTGAAATGGCCTAACCGCTCAGCATCTAGTTGGACGAAGAAAGTCACAGTACCTCCAACATCTCACATGATCCCACACCCAGTAATGAAAGATCCACCCATATCTAACAACTCCACCTCCACAATACAAAGGAACAGTGAAAGCCAGTCCAGAAAGACTGGGGAGAAACAAAACCCAACACAATTACTCAATTATCGAAATATTGCACCTAGAGATAGAACATATAGAATGAAGTTGTAAAGATAATGACTAAACTATTTGAAGTAGTTTGTAATTTGAACTCATTATTTGTTTGTCACTTCTTTCTCTTAAATAAAAAAAAAACCACAAAAAAAACTATTAGAGACTCCCAAAATTCTTTGATTTGGACTTAATTATTACGTCCCAATATACTTTTTCTTTTCCCTTTTCTTAAAGACAACGACTGATCCATGGGGCCGAACTGTATCTTCAAAAAGCAGTACATTTGCAATCTATGCTACCCCCATAAACATTTTACAAATAAGTAAAGAAATTAATTTATCTCATAAGTAAGAAGTGCATGCGTCGAAATCAGTTATACTTTGTTGTAATTAGAGCCCACTAATTGATTAGAAAATATGGTAATTACCATTTTGCTAAAATATGGTTTGTGGAAGTTGGGGACCAAAGTGTCACCCTCCAACTTTTTGGAGCGGAGTGCCTAGAAATTTCCCTTCTAACTTTAAAACATCATCTCCATTCTCCATCTCAAAAGAAAAAGACTTTGGAACATTGGATTTTGATTTTGCTTATGCATGCAAATCTGGATTAATCCACCGTCCAAACTCCAAATCCTCTGATATAGCCTTAGTATATTCTTATCCAAGAACTGCTATATAAATTTCGTGAAGTCACAATTAATCATATCAACCAGTTGTGCGTATTTGGTTGGGTAATTTCCCTACGGAAGTTGCGTTTGGAATTAATTGTGATATGTATGGTTATAAGATCCGTAGAGGATGTACTTTGTAATGTATTTCTCTTTTAGAAGAAAACAACTTTAGTATATTCCAAAATTTCCAAGTGTCCCACCACAAAGTCCATAGGTTCACACCAGCATCTGGTTTTTGGTTTTGCTGCTCTCCATGGCGCTGCACATAAAGATATACGTCGGAAAGTGGGAAATACAAGGCATATGGTACTGTACATACATTGGATCCTCAACTATATTATATGAGCATAAAATATTTTTCTTCTTCTTATGATTAAGATTTAGAGTTACAGTTGGTGAATAAATAAGTTTTGTTCAGCCAATGGCACGCTTCACATTCACACTAGTGGTGATGGTTGACATATGTGTAGACCTCAACGGTACGAAACCAACCATCACTCATCACACACACCAAAAAGCATACTTAATAATTTAAATTTCATTTTTCTTATTATTTTAATTTTTCAAGTTTACTAAGGGTATGTTTGGGATTGTTTTTAACCGTGTTTTCTAACAGTTAAAAGTGTTTTCTAGGTCAAAGAAATGCATGTGGTTTTTCATAAAATAAAAAACCTAAATTTTTGGTAAAATTATTGACGTACTATGAATGAAAGCATTTCTAATTAAAGTGTTTACGAGCATAAGTATTTCCTATATCAGTAAATCCCAACTAGGCTAATAGTCTAATAGGATTAGTACATTATAAAATTAATTAAGCATGTTATAATCTATGTTATCTATATGAGAAAAAAAATAAGTTTAAAATGGCGCCAAATTATTAGTCATGTCAGGATAGAAGTTTTTGGTCGACCAAAATCTAAAGGAGTTTCAAGTAGAGGACCCACCCCAGATGTAATGCTGCCTAGGCCTCTTCTTGTTTATATATTGCCCACCACCTCCCCACTTCACACCTCCTCATCCTTTTTCTATTTCGGTCTTTCAGCCTTTCACTCTCAGCCCTCTTTCTCTCTCTCTTTCTCTCTTTCTCTCTCTCTGCTTTTTCTTCTTCAACCAAATACTAGCTTGCTCTTTGTTTTTGTCTCTCATCAGCTTAGATAGGGGCCTTTGTCTTTTTTATTCAAAGGGCAAAGCAAGCAATTGTACCCTACAAAACTAGGACTATCATCAATTGCCCTACAGTTGGGGTTTGTGTGTTTTTGCAGCATACAATTGAAGGGACACGTGGCAGCATGAAGGAGAATGGCAGCCGGAAACAGGGCGCGCCCTCACCCTGCGCAGCATGCAAGCTTCTGAGGAGGAGGTGTGCGCAGGATTGTGTGTTTGCTCCCTATTTTCCTGCTGATGAACCCCAGAAGTTTGCCAATGTTCACAAAGTGTTTGGTGCCAGCAATGTCAACAAGATGTTACAGGTAATTCCTACTCACTTTTTCTCAAATACATGAAAAGGGTAGTTTTGGAAGCAACTTTATAACTTATAGATGACAACAAGAAATGCATATTCGAAGAAACTACACACCTTATGTTACGAGATTGTGAATCTCATCCACACATTTCGGTAAGGATCAACTGACAACGCAGGTATAGGTCTAACAAGGAAACAAAAGAGCATAATTTGCTTCCAAAAACCCTTTTAGTCTTGTGGGAGCGTTCATATTTGTCAATTCGAAGTGTTCATATGGAAAAAGAAGTACTGATAAGTATTATCTAGTTGTTTTGACAACACAGATGCTTGCTATTTGGGTCCAAGATGAGCCAAAATTGCTAAACGGTTAACAAGACATTGAATCTGATAACGGGGTAATAAAGTCAATTTATGGATACGATATATACAACATTAGTTCTCACCAAGTCACCTTTTTCACTTTCCATTGGGAAGAAAGAAAATCTATTTTGTATTTTTCTACAAACTTCTTCTAAGGCTGTTTTCTTCATCACGTGAAGTTGTTTCTTGCGTCTTATTATTTTATTCTATGTAAAAAATAAATAAATAACGAAAATTATTTTATTTGGGCACTACTTTTCTCATTTGGGTCCATAAAATGCGATAAAGAAAAGATACCAAAATCCAAGATAAACAAAAGAAAGCTTCTTCTTCCTTTTCCTTTTTTTTTTTTTTGGGGTTCCATTCTTTTTCCTTTTTCGAGAAATACTCTGAAATAGGAGAAACACTTAGTTATAACGGAAATAACACTATTTTATTATCTCTGGTCAATAATGCTATGTCACGTGGAAGTGTTATCACGCATATCATAGCGTTATTGACTGGAGATAGCAAAATAGTGCTATCTCCGTTTCATAAAAGTCTTTCTCCTCAAATAGCACTATTACTTAGTAGTGTGTTTTTGAAACAAAACTATTACTGTAGCAAATTGTCCTTGTATATATATGTTGTCGATTGTGACATTACATCGATACCAAATAGTCTACGTATTGTCAATTTACTTCAGTACTAGTGTTATTTGAGAACATTGCTACAATAATAGTGCTATTTAAGAGTTTTTCCATTCTTCGTTTCGAGTGAGACGTGATGCCTCATAGATTTTTATTTTTCTTTTTTTTTGTTAGTAGGACATGATGCCTCAACAAATAAAGTAACAGACCTTAATTTGAGACCATAAAATTTTGTTCAACCAAAATGAAAAAGCATGGCTGATGACGCATGATTAAGGTCCAGAAAAAGAACATAGAGTGATGTGATCGTTACATCGACCCAACTTTGTAGGACCTATGGCCTTTAATTTGGCACTTGGGTTCAGACCAATGTTACAAAATTTTGGAGCCATGGCTAAGACCAAGCTAAACTTTGTGACACTTGCAGGAGCTGCCAGAGCACCAGCGTGGAGATGCAGTCAGCAGCATGGTGTATGAGGCAAATGCCAGGGTGCGAGACCCAGTTTATGGGTGCGTAGGGGCAATTTCGTCTTTGCAGCAACAAATTGATTTGCTCCAGACCCAACTGGCTCTGGCTCAGGCAGAGGTGGTGCACCTTAGGGTTAGGCAGACTGCATCTTTCTCCAACCATGGGCTGAGCCCGGCTAGCCCAAGTAACAGCGGCTCGCCGTCTTCCAAGTTCATGGGCTCTCAAGCCCGGCCCATTTTCGACATGGATATGATGGTGGACCATACCAGCTTGGGACTGGGAGAGTCCATGTGGTCATGCTAAGCTTAATTATTTTCTAGTGTCTACTACATCTAGAGTAATTAATTTTGGTAATCATGTTTAATTTTGCTTTGATACTTATGTAATCCTTACTAATACACTGAGGTAAATGTAAGTGACGGTAATGACAGCAATGCGGTGGCGGGCAACGGAAATGGTGACCGGCGCGATTCGCCCGCTTGGGTATGAGAGGGGGGTTTTTTTTTTTTTTTTTTCTTCTTCTTTATCTAATTAACTAGATTGTAAATATTAATTTAACTTTCATCTATTGGGTAATCATATATTTGCTTGTGGGACTTTTTCTTTTTGAATTGGATCAAAGTGAGTTGATGACTTCGGCCATCCGCCAAACCTATTTATAGTTTGGGGAGTAGAGTTGGGCACAAAAATTTGAAAGAAGATTGTATTAGTTTGAAGATTGTGGATCATAGTAAATGTAAGGGATGGCTATATCTATTGGCATGAAGATGTTTGGTGAGCTATTTTTGTCTAAATATATTGTTTCGTTTCTTATACGTAAGGAGTCATTTCTTTTTACAAACAAATTAGGGTACGATACATTTGAAAAATAATTTATTAAAAATAAAGTTTTTGAGCAGTCAAATCGTGATTAGTTTGGAAAATGAAATTACCCTTTACATATTTTCCATATTTTATCAATCGTTAATTTCCTAATTTGGGAGAAGACTTTGGTCTGTTTCTGAATTGCATACATGCTTTATTTGGGGTCCAATGGGAGGGGCTTGCTTTTTTCCAATGGCTTGCTTGATGGGATTGAGGTCTTGTCTAAGAATTCCCTTTCGACAAGTGAACAAAATAATCCAATGGACCACATTTAACCAGCATTTGCATGCCTTCGCCGAAAGAAGATGTCTACGTGTAAAACATATTATCCATTTCTTCTTTGCTAATCCATCGTATTAGCAAGTCATTGGACACAAATGCTTTATGCAATTACATACACCAATGGTCTCGTATGAGGCTCATGAACATTATGGTGAAATGATTTCCGAATGAGGTATATTAGTTACATTCGTATATGAATAGATTTTTTTTACAAAAAATTATATACTGCGAGTAGTGATTTTTAAATTTTTTTTACTATTCTAAGGGAGGGGGGGAAGGTTCGAACCCAGACCAATTGAGTGATAAGAGAAAGGGCCAACTACTAGGCCACTTCACATACTTTGGAACGTACAATTTATATGTGCACAAATGAAAATATATAAATATGGGGCATTTTAGTGCACGGGTACTTTTAGGAATCTGGGAAGTATTGAATCAGTATGAAAAGAATCATTCTCATTAAGCTGTTTACTAAACATATGGAATTAGTAAAGGAATGGGGTTGATTGTCATTGTTATTGTTTATTAATTTTCATGAATCAGAATCCAAATTAATTTGATTACTAAAATGCCTTGCATATTTTCACCGCAGTACATGTGTAATTTTCAAATTGGCTAAGGAGACCAAATTAATCCTTCAGCAAACTAGTAAGGCAGTGTAAACATGAGGAATCAATATACTGAACAAGATGAACAGTAAGATCCCAGTTCAATGATAATGTTAATAACACCTTTGTCCATTTCAAATGAAAAAATAAACTCCAATAACACCTTGGAGCGTCTTTGAACTTCTTCTCAGCGTGAGTTTTTATTTTTTTGGGGTTTGTGGTGTTTTGGAATTAAGGTAAAGTGGTAAGGGTATTTTTGAAAGTTAATAAGAGAAAACAAGAATGAGAATTGTATCGACTACCCCCTCTTAGTTGATTTGATACCTAGTTTTGAGGAAATGTGATTATGGATTTTGAGGTAGGGCCCACTTATTTTTTCATTACTAATTGCAAGTAAACATATGGGAAGTCAAGACTGGAAATCATTCTCTTTCCTCCCATACCTATTACTGATACGTAAACATTCCCTTAGTGTCTAGATAAGTGTGAGTGAGCAAAATAGGGATGATTTTGTAACACTTATTATTTGGTGTGTATGAGAGGTGAAATGTTATGTGAGCAGTGGGAATAAAAGATTAGAAGTTCCCAATACATAATAAAACATGAAGGTTAATGTTCATCGGGGTGGTCGTGCCGGAGTGGTTATCGGGCATGACTAGAAATCATGTGGGCTTTGCCCGCGCAGGTTCGAATCCTGCCGACCACGTTTTTTTTACCGTCAAAAGAAGAAAACACTATTATAATTTATTTTTTTTTTTTTTTTTTTTTTTTTGGTTTTCTGTGGTCTTGAATAGTATTTTTTTTTTTCTTTGGGTTCTGGGTGTTGGATCATATATATGTTCCGATTTCAATGCCCAATTGTTGTTGGCTTTAAGGTTGGCAAGTTTTTTAACATCTATGTCCATTTTATATGTACCATATTTTGGATCATCAATGAAGTTTTAGACCCCAAAAAGAGAACTACTTGATTGTATAAATTCGATTTCTTCATGGTGATTGGAATTTGGAAGCAACTTTAAACCATAAATTTAAAGTGACACATGAACGCATGCATCCTAACTCCTAGGTTCGATTCTCCTCTCTCCCAATATTGCTCATATAAAATAAAAAAAAGCTACACATGACATGAACACCATATGACTGTAAAGTGTTTGGTACCACCACTGGGACTGTTAAGCAGATCAGTTTGAAACACAAGCATTTGGTACATATAATAATTCCAAGTAAAATTTTACAAATTATACAAGAAATTCAAAACAAATAAAAGCCAACCCAAAAGCTTAAACGTCCTTGGCAACAAGTTCACCGTTCACGAACTCTCTGTAAGCAGCCACAGGCCAGATGAAGCCTCTGAAAACCAAGCTAGTGGCCAAAGGCACATCAATGATGATCTCCTTCTGCGTTGGCTTCTTGTCATCCCTGATGGCAATCAAGTAGCTCCTGCCAACCCACCCAATCCACCCAGCAATGTACAGGAACAGAATTCCGGGGGTGATAAACTCACCCCAGTGCCTCTGGTCACCGCTGACAATCAAATGGGGAAGCCCATCAGAGCCACAGAGCAAACCCTGCTTGCCATAGTTGGCAAACCTCCTCTGAGTCTTCTCTATGGTGGCGTTGATGGCCAGGGCTGGTGCACTGTCAGGTGCATAGAGCTTCAGTGAAGACTCAAGCTTCTTGATCTGCTGCTTCTCACGCTTGGCAAACTGCTTGGAGTCTTTGCATGGGGTGAGGCCTGAGATGTCTGCCACTGCAGGCATGGGAGCTGAGCCCAGGAGGATGGAGGACAGGGCAAGTGCAGCAGAGAAAGCCTGCATTGGTGATGCAGTGGATATTTTCTCTGGGGTAGGGTTTGGAGTTTGAGAGGCTGAGCAGAAGACCATGGTCCTTGGCAGTTTTGTGGCCAATGGGGAGCTGAGTTTTGGCTTCAACATTGAGAGGTTTGTGGGAATTGTTAGAGACATTTTTTTTTTTCTGTTTTTTTTCCTCTCTTTTTTTCTTCGGGTTTTGGGATTGTGATGAGGAGCAGAGAGGAAGGAGAAGATCTGGAGGGGAGAGTGTGGAGGGCAGGTTTTTAGATTCTTGGAGGAGATATTGGTGGTGTAGGAGAGAAGAGGGAGAGTGGATAAGGGGGAGGGAGTAAGGAGGCTGAGTTGGATGATTGTTATTGGTTGTGGGTTGATTAAGATTTTCTCTCAATCTATCCTACCAGAAAAGCCATCTGCAGATAATGAGAAAGTCTACCATGACTTGTGGGTATTATGTCCTTTCCATTAACTTTAAAAAAATGAAATTTTTTACCCTTTTTGTCCTTCCTAATCTTCAAATTCAAGAACATGTGCATTCCCTATTATCCCAAGAAAAGAAAGTATTACTATTATCTTTAGCACTGCTAATTTATGTTCAATAAAAACATTTTTTATTATATATTTTGTGTCAATATAAACAAGCTTTCTTTCTTCAATATTTATTACCAATTCGATGAGGCGAAACATCATAAAACAAATTAAAATTTGGAAACACAGCCTACGTATTAAACTCTACCATTATTATGATGGTGTCTTGGAAATTCTGTGTTGAGTTATTTGTACACTGTACTTTGGAACACGTAAAAAAAATTTGACGAATTTTTTTGAATGTAACAACATTGTTTACAACCTGTGGCAGATAAGATCTCAATGACCTTATGACAGTTATCGGGTAGCCAGGAAGTTTATGCTCTGACTACATACATGACTGCAATGCAGCATCCCAACACCTCAACTCAAATTATACAGTATCTAAGAAACATTTGTCGATTTTAACTTGGACTCTTGAAAACTCAGTATTATTACTGGCCCTGGCTGTAAGGTGCCATAGAGCAGGAAATCGCTAGTCACATCTCAAACTTCTACGCCTGCATGTTTCTCTAGAGCTTCATCGGGTCGCAAACGAATCGGTAACCAAGATATGGTGCTTGAAGTTTCTTTCCCATGACAAAGGTGGGCTTGCTAATGATAAAAAAACTGCACAAGAAACGCTTGTATTCCGTGTAAAGATCATAAATCTCGCCACATGGAGCTTCTTTTGTCGAATGATTACAAACTTGGGACCCGAGTCCAATATAAAGATGCAAAAATCTCGACTCCCAGAACTTCAGCAATACACTTCATGATAATTTTTGGATTTGTCAAAAACCTGAAATCTGAGCCTCAAGGAAAATCCATAGAACATAGACTCAAAGGCAGCCCAGCCCCAAATCTTCAATTTCATTTATCACACAAACTCTTTTGGATTATCGGGTCACAAGCCAACCTGGTTTTACTAGGACATCTTGCTTAAAGTTGCGGCCAGTGACTGAAGTTGACTCACCCTGACGACGGAAACACTGCACAAGGAAGGAAGTAAATTTTGAAAATTCTGTGTTTAGCCATGAACAAGTAATATGGATAACTATAAGAACTAGATGTGCTCAAGACTTTTGTACTAAAGCAGAATGTTTGAATACTGGAAGGTTGCATAACACTTCCAAAGATCTTATTGCATGTAGCAGGTCACCGAACTGGTTTGCCTTAATTTCCCTTGCTCAATATTGTATGAACACGTGCAAAACAATTCTCATAACTTAAAGAGTATTCTCTGAGGCCTGGGTAAAATTTTTTGAATCATGTGATTGATCAAAACAACAGTCCCTACTCCCAAAAGTGCATGTGCTTCCCAGTGTCTCAACAGTGAACCACATGAGACATCTTAGTAATGCTATAACAGTACAATACCAGTTTTATTCTGCAAAGCTTAGGAAAGGGGGACTATTGAGATTCAATGAAATCATCCTCATTACATGATTAAAAAGTCAGAATCACCAACCTTGTAACAGACTACGGTGTCATCTGGGTACATAGCAAAAAGTTTAGTTCCAAGCCGTGCATGACAAGAATCACAAAGGCTTTCATCATTGATCTGCACATGCCTCGACTTTTCCTCCAATATTGCTAAACTTGCATCAGTATCCAAAGCACGGGACAGATTATGCACAATCTGAAAAAGCAATCATGTATCAGCTCAATAGGGGATGAAAAGCACGAAAACATGGAAGAGGCTTCATGCAAGAGACTGATTTGAGTAAAACAGATATCTAAAGATAGCTTGCCCAGCAATCACAATAAAAAATTAGAATGACTAATTCAATTATCATATTATGGAGGAAAATAAATGAATACTGCAAAGCAAATGAATGAAATTTTTTTTGACCTTATAGCTTAATGACAAGAACCTGAAACACAAGCAAAAAACTTACACGTCCTTGACGGTAATGATGAAGCCGAGCTCTCAACATTCTTAATATAGTTTCAGAGGCAAGTTGAAGGGGCATATCAGGGGACAATCTCTGCAACATTAACCAGAAATTTTGTACAGAACATGAGAAACATGATGTTTCAAACATCAAATATTTGGCAGAGTCCTCAACAACAGAATTCAGCTATTAACAAAAGCAACTAAAGAAGTGTATGTGCATCCATGAGACCTTCCATTTTCTCTTCACCTCCAAATTCCCAAAAACCTGAGAGAGAGAGAGAGAGAGTCTTTATACCTCTAAAACTTGCAAAGGATCCAATGATTCACCATGATTGTGAAGTAGTCGTACAGCTGCTTTAAACATAGGCTCTTTACCATCTTGTGGATCCAGATACATATCAAGTAACCTGATTTTCACAGCACAAACAAGGAAAATCCAGAAGCAATTTTAGATACATCAGAGGCATACTTCACATGTGTGTGCTTGCATGTGTTTATGTGTTTTTGTGTGCTTGTTCGTGCACATGTGGGGGAGAGAGAGAGAGAGAGAGAGAGAGAGAGAGAGAGAGAGAGAGAACCAACTGCATATAGACATCTGGCCTCCCAATCTCAGCACAATATTGCTCAGCAGCTTCACTGTTTTCCAGCTTCCTAAAAAGCCATTGTATATTAGTTCGCATTGCACCAATTCGGTTTTCATCTATAAAACAATCATTTTTTCAAATTTCAGCTCATGCCACTGAATCCCATGTATTTGGGATTAAACTACAGTTACTACTACGTTCCAATATGCCTTGAAGTGTAATAAACCATTCTATTATCTAACCTAATTTAAACCATAAAACTAGCAGAAAGAACAGAAACCTCTAAGCGAGAACATAGATCAGCACTTGCCAACTTACTATTAAACCCCACAAATGAAGCATATTGGACACCGCAGAAGGTGGTAGACAATATAATGGGGAGAGAGAGAGAGAGAGAGAGAGAGCCAAAAGCTAATCACTTATATGCTATCTGAAAAAATATCTTAATATTTCTCAATACAATTTTATGTGTATAATATAAGTTCTTACCATTATTACTAGTCATAAACCTCACGTGATTCAAGAAATTGCTAAACGCATAACTTTTCATACTTCAGAAAAGATGATATAGAAATTTATGAAATGCACAAAAGAAACACCATTGTCAAGGTAACAATGAAATTTATCATTGTTTTCTATTTCTTGAAAAAAAGAGGGATGGTGGACATTCACATACAAACAAGAAGAGCCTCAACTTGTGCCAAATTAATGTGAAATGATAACCACATGAGGTGGCATAGGATATATTGTTGCGAATATTTTAGAAAGGAAGATGAAACTTACAAGGCCAAAATTTGGAGCACCAATGCCTCTTGCCCTAGTTTTTTATAAAGAATAGCCTGTGGAATAATCCAGAATCAGAGACTAGCAGTAGTAGTATCAAACAAGAAGAAAATCATTTTGGCACTACAAATTATCAATGCCATCCATGAGTGACCAACAGCTAAAAAAGCAAGCTTAATAATTAACTTGTCCAAGGCCTCAAAGTACATAATCATCATATTCAGCTAGCCATGGTTGAGAAGCAGAATTCAAGACAAGGTCCAAAATAAGTAATGACAAACCTTCTCTGACCACAATTCTGATCCCTCAATCAAGTCAAGAACCTCCTCTGGGTCATACAAGTCGGAAGCCTCTAAAAATATCTGCAGTCTTTCCCGAACAGGACTTTGAAAGATCAAACTTGTCCTATGATCAGAAATGTTTGTCTCTTCTATTCTTCCAGGATCAAGGTTTTGAGAAGCAATTTCTGCTTGAAAAGCTTCAATTGCTGACTTGGCCAGTGAGAGAGCATATAATGTGTGGAACTGACTGTCATACGATTCTTGGTCTTCAATTAACCACTGAAGGTACCTGTGCAGATAAAGAGGTTAAAATCAAATCTGTGCAGTGAGGATCAATTCACATAAGGAAGAACTTTTCTTTTCTTTTTGAAAGTAACAAGTGCAAGTAAGAAAAAGCAAATGAAGAATATGACAAATGCATTTGATAAAATAAATGACACAGCTGGAAAATGAGATAAAAGAATAGCACTTTGACAAAAATATTGCACAGGTAGTTTATCATGGTTACCTTGCATTGTAAGTTATAATGGTAACTATATGATTCCACTTTGTGCTCTTACAAACTGTGGCTGACACCATGAAACCAAACTCAATAATGCCACACAATTTTAAAGATTATTCCAAAAAAAAACTATGGCAAAGTATGAAATGCCAGTTATTTACAGCTCTTTTGCTGGAAGAGCTCAAATATAATGCAAAACTGGACAACCAGGGAATCAGTTTCATTCCCTGGCCAAAGAAGTAATTCTCAGAAGCTGTAGGCCAAACAAAAGAGATTTTCTGACTTCAGATGGACACAATTTCATTTACTTCCAAATGGTTATAGTGAAAAAATCTTTGGTACAGGAGGTTAAATGAACAGTACAACGACCTCAAATCCCCAACTGCATACATGTTGACACTATATGACTTTCTACCATCATCTAAACTCTCTCAATTACATGGGGAAGATGTAGTGCAGTCCCGGTTATTGACATACCTTTGGAAAATTTCTACCTTCTTTGGATCAATAGCTGCAATAACTTCATCTGGAATAAAAAGAGCGAACAATATTGAAGGATCAACCACAGAAACAATTTTTTTCAAATAAATAAAAACAGGTTTATGCATGATCAATAGCCATTGATGCCATACAGACAACAAAACAACATGTTAACACAAAAGTCTAAGATGTTTTCTTATAAAAACAAATTTCAAAAAGCTCATATAACAACAATTTAATAAAAAAAGAGAAATTTTCTGGTGCCTTGCTTCATAGAGATGCTCAAAATGAATGCATAGATGAGCACATTCTGGCTCAATTGACGGGTGGAGAGACATAAAGGTGTAAACCTCTTATAAATCACTCCCTTAACAACTGGATAATTTCCTTGTGCTTTGGTGCCATTTAGGTCAATTTATAATTTCCATTTTTTTTTTCATAATCCGTTATTACTAAGATACTTTTCCTTGGTGGCATTCAATAAAAGTTGCAAACATAATTATAATTGACAATGAATTGTCAAACCAAATGCAAATGAATACTAAAATTCTGAATTGAACTTGATGGAAACTGAAATAGTTCTTTTTTTTTATATCAGAAAAAAAAAGAAAAAAAGAAAAAGATTTTATTAAGAATAAGATGAAACGTGGATACAAGTACTCTGTAGGAACTATTCATAAGAAAATTTACACAAGTAGCAACTTCAGGTATGCTTAACTATGAAGTCAAAACCATATTCATCAGGGTATGAACAAATCCCACCTGGTGGAAGTTGATTCACTCTTTTCTCTGATGTTAAAACCTGAACTGCAAAAACCTGATTGATGTCTGCAACCTAACAAGACCAACCAGCTCCTTATTAAACATTGGACTTGCGAAGCACAACACCTTTAACTTTCTCTAAAATAGTCAAAATTGTGAAACTACAACAAGACAAACCATCCAAGATAGAGTAGAAACAACACTGCAGATGATTAACACATACCCATCCAAGATGTTGTAGAACAAGCCCTGGATCAGAAGACTCCTCAAGAAGCTTTGATGCCTCAGCTGCAGCAGTCTCCTTACCAGAGACAATATTTGTACCACCATCCTGTGAGCCACTCTCCATGACGGGGTCTTTCCAAAGGCCAGATGAATAATGTCTTGCCAAGATGCGCCAGATACCAAGAGCCTTCGAGCTCATTCCTTTACTTGCATATAGGAAGGCAAGTGTACGTAAATGCCCAGAGTCATCTAGCAAAGTTTCCAACTCCTCCTGCACCGCCCATGCAAGTTCTACAGTCATCCTTCAAGCAGGCTCCAGACAATGGCCTCTGTTTTGCAATGCATTGGAATGCTAAGATTGTTTACCAACATCTTCACAGTGCATTGTCTTGAGGCCTATAAAGTTTGTTGCTTTTGATTCCAAAACTAAACATAAATTTAATGTCTCCAAATCCAGGACATGTGCATGGTTCTTACAATTGCTACCATCATTTGGTGCCCTTTCTAGCTGGTTAAAATCCCAAAACCGTGTCTTAGAAATTAAATACAGACGGAATCTCAACCCGGCCCCCTACAATATGAAAATGAAGCTTTTCCATAGTCCAATTTGAGGGAAAATTTATGTTGATTTCATCTTAGCTTTTCTTTCAACTACAGTAACCATCAATCTCCTTTTCTTATCCTAAGAATCACTACTTCATTTTCTCTGATTTACATACTGGTACAAATAAAAAAAGCAGACATCCTGAAGTGGATGAAGGGTCTACAATGACAACACTAGTTTTTCTTATGATTCAAATAACAGTTAATATACTCAATAGTTCTCAAAACACCATCTGATAACCTTTTTCCATCCATTTCCTTTGGTACTCAACCAAAACCAAATCTTTGGCACTAGATCATATATCATCTTCTTTTTTGTTTTTTACTTTTTCTAAATTCTAAGTAGTCGTGTACGACATGAACCATTCATATTCACAGGTTCCTTCTAGGAAGAAGACTAGAAGTACTGGAGGAGGAAACAGGAACTCCCCAATTAGGAAAGTTGTAAAAGTACAAATCCTTGGGCATGCTAAACGAACATATCAGAGGAAATAGCAACGGTGAAAAAAAAAACACAAATAAGAACACATACCACAACGCAAGAATTTGCTGATGATGCCAGCTTCTCCATGTCATAGACATTATTTAAAGCTCTATAGAGGTACATTAATAGAGTGTCAACTCCCTCCTTCACTGATGGAGTCAATTCTTTCTCACGAGAAACCTCCAAATACCTGTAGCAAGAATGTGTATACAAGAAGATATTATGATCCAAATGCTTGTTGCCAAAAAAATCAAATTCTGGATAAAAAAATGCAACAGAAATTAAGAGGAAAAACATTTGGCGAATAACCAGTGGTATGCAGTCACCTAGTAATTGATTTGATGGCAGACTCCAACAAATTATCTCTACTTGGCGGATTCAGGAGAAATGCATCATCTACCACAGTTTCTACACCTGCTTTCCTGAGAAATATTGCCCTTTGGATTGCCAACAACCCGTCATCTACAACATCTTCCAGAGGCGCAGGGGGAGGATGCAAACCCCAATAGCGGTTTCTAGGAACCTAAAAACACAAGTTCTATGCTATGGTTACAACATTCAGAAGGCTTACTAACACAATAGTCTGCACCAACATTCAAATTATTTGAGAGAGTATTTTCAGTGACTACTACAAAAGCACAAAATAGTTCTTTCATAGTTGTTCACATTCACACTGTAGTATTCATTGTTACATAAAACATATAAATGGTAAATCAAGTATCATTATCCATTTTTCCATCGAACCACACATTGGCTTTTTCTGGTAATTTAACATTCCCAACAAAATGCAACGAGAATTTTAACCTTGATATTCTAATGAGTATCACAGTCCACGTCCTTAATTGCTTACAACGCATTTTTTTGGGCAGTTATCTTCTAAAGGAAGCAAGTTTATGATGCAATCAATGAGCTTTAGAGCAAGCCAGACTCTCCTCTCCTTTTCTATTAAGGTAGAGACAATATAGGTGACTATAGGAAGGCAGTATACATGAGATGAATACCCTAATTATGAGCACAAAAGACCATACCAGCAGTGACCATCGATTTGGATCTCTCATTATGAATGGAATACTTCAGAAGGCTGCATGGCCTCAGACTGCAAAAAGTGATTCACTGCTTCCTCAAAATGCAAGTCGAAAAGCAAGAGAAAGCCCACTTGAGCATGAACAAACGAGAGCATATCCTTTGATAATTCACCCTCACACTCAAGCTCCTCCACCAAGGAGATGGCTTCCTTGAAGTTCTTTTTTCTCAATAGATCTTTAATCTGTTCTTCAGAAGGTAATTTCCGAAAGCAAACAACCTAGAAATTTGCAACATGGAAAGGACATATAAGAAAACTATGAAAACCAATCAAGCATATGCATCACTGTCAACTCTTAAAGGTTAATACTTGATCGATCAATTCTCAAACAAAACAGCACAAGCTGCAGTGACAACTGTGTTCACGTGGAAAGCTTAAAGTTTATGAGCTCTAGACCTATATAAACATTTTCAGGTAAAACGTACTTAAAGTATTTTGCAAACACATGTTTACGATTATAAACACGCAAATCACTCAAGTCTGACCAAATATACAGATACTATAACTTTAATGAGTCTATTTGGCTTTAATCAAATTCAGGAGCAAAATTTCTCAGCAACAGACTAGACAATTGAAACTTGCAGGTTTTTTGCTATCTTAGTCTATGGAAATTATAAATGTATAACAAATCCATAGAATATATATATATATATTTTTTAACAAAAGCTAAAACAGGATGCAATCATGTTCCCCCCAGTCATATGTCATACACAACAGTAAAATAACTGGCAATAATTGATCATAAGGAAACTCATACTTCCTATAACCCATTCCTCACGAGTGTATTTCCATGCAACATGCTAGATAAAAAAACACTTTAATGAAGGTAACCTCAAGGAATCACTCAACAACACAATTCCTTTTTTTGTACCCAGTTCCGAAAAATTTGTTTATAATCTAGTCATATGAAAACCCTTGCACACTGAGTACAATCATCAAACTGATCTTAGCTTAAATGAAAAATTAACTGTAAAGTTAACCATATAAATTAAGAAACTATTTAACATGCGAATTTATACTTCCACTTCCTCTTATTACTCATAAATGCAATTTATCATTCATTCCAAGTGATAAATACAGCACTGGTGTAAAAGAAAAGAGTATACAAACTAAAAACAGAAACATAGAAAGAAAAAAAGGGAAAAAGTTGTACATGTCTGTAATGAAGCTGCAAAAAGTATAAATGAATCATTGGATCAAATACTTTTCCATACCTTGGTGGGTGTTGCAACAACGACAAGATTTCCAGTTCTATCTTCCTCATCTGCAACAACGCATGGCCCTCCTACCCCTTCGCCACCAAAAGTGACCATCTGAATACAAGTACCAGTTTTCTTATGGTACAATTCCAGCTTTCCATCCCTTGCAACAACCACATACGAAGATATCTCCCCAATAGAATCTGGGTTACTATGGAACACCAAGCTACCACCAACTGGCTGCCCATGTGCATTAGCTATGATGCCAACATTGTCCACCAACAAAAGCAAATTCCATTCTTTACACAACAATTTAAGTCGTGGCAGACTAGAACCATCAGGTAATGAAAATATTACACCACTTTGTCCCGTAACGCATGAAAACAAACTATATCCATTAACCGTACTGACAATTATCGAATCATTGAGCCATACCATGGCCATAACCCCATCAATACACTGAATTTCTTTCAGAATTACAAAAGACCCATCATCAATGTCTTGGTCACTTTTACCTACTCTATTAATCAAAACAAGCTCTATCAATACCAATCTTTTTCCAATCACGACTGAGAAAACATGATTGTCTACACGCTGCTGCACTGTTTCCTTCATTTTCAAGCCATTTGCTCTGATCCCACTTCCCAACTTTTGCAAAAATCGCTGACTTGTGCTCGTATACTCTGACGAACTGCTAAGAGCTGACAAATTCGAAGACTCTGATTCACTGCTTCGCAACCTCCTTGTGATAACAGAAATTCCTCTCAAGAAACTCAATCTCTTCACAGGCTGCAACAGAAGTGAATCAACCGTAAACAAAAACCCACCCAAAAGCACCAAAAGCTTCCCAAAGTCACCAATTACTTGTATAGACTCCACCGAGGAATTTCCGACCACAACTTTTCGCAAAAGAGAAATGTTCTGCAGGACTGAAGGGCTGTTGGAACGATCAGACCGTGTTTCATCATTGGGATTGCCAGGGTTTACAGAGAATAAAAATAGGGCTCCAAACTGAGTCCCAATGTAAATTAGACACTGGGAGTCAGAGACCGTGTAGATAGCGAGGGATGTAACTTGTGCACGAGAGTGGTCAGAGAGGTTGAAGAATGACAGTGGTTCTAGAACAGTCCGAGCACTAAGTTCGGGCTTGGCCATGGATCAAAAGACTAGTGCTTGAACGTCAGCACCATAAGATACAAGACACCCTGAAATTGCAAGTAACTAAACACTAATCACAAAGGCTGAGCACTATAATTCTTAGAGCTGTATACCATCAAATAAAATAAATAGGTAGTATACTATAACTCGAATCATTAGAGCAATCCCAGGTTGAAACTAGACTGAATTGCACAGATAAATAACAATCCGCATTGTTCAATCTTGTTTTCCTTGCCCAACATTATCTCAGACACAAAGAAGAAGAAATATTCTTGTGCAAATTCAATCCCTCGTGCCTTGAAATAATACCCCCCAATTCCCTACAATGTAAAATACCTAAACCCATGAAAAAAAAAAGTGCTACTTTTTCCTTTCACACACTAATTAATCATTTTGCAGATCGAATTGAATTTCTAACAAAAAGAGCAAAAAAAAGATGAAATCTTTTGACAGAATATTCATACTTGGGAAGGTATACGTAGATCGCAGGAAGTCGACAGAGCAAGGCGAAACTTGCAGAAGCTTCGATGGTGGGAAATGCCAAACTGTTTTACGAGCTTGAGACTTTCACACCTACCAGTAGAATCACCAAAAACGTCAAAGGCTCTCTCTCTCTCTCTCTCTTATATTTTATTTTTCTAACGTTAATTCCTATAGGCTATATTTCCTCCACCGCCTTCTTTTTCTTTTTTTTTCTTCTTTCTTTTTTCTCTTTTAATTCGAATATGAGCTTTCCGTTGCAACTTTGGAAGTGGTGGTGGTGCGGTGATGTTAATTTTTGGCCAAATTTCTTGTAATTTGTTTCCGATTAAAATTAGGTGGAAATTATATTACGGCTAAGTCAATTCGCTTTCTTTTTAATTCGGTTCTTATTTGATTTTCGGATTCACGTGGTTTCAATTTCAGCAAACATACCCTTATAAATGGTTGCAATAGAGTCCAAAATCATGATTTTGAACTCATTTAAAATTTTGAAATTACCACCATCTTACAGGGAAAAAAAAATGTAATTTGACTTTAAATTATCTATAATCAAATTTTCAATTTTGTTTTGTGCTAATATGTCTTTAGATTATGTACCCCTTTGCATACCTGAGGCTCCCCCTTCTTTTAATCAAAACAATTGCTCTTTTGTGATTACATTTTCACTCTTGACTGCTTGCCTTATTTTCACTACTCAATCTTTTATATCGACCTAAGTCCATGGCTGGAAAGTACTTATTTCTTTGAAACTTTCAGTGTTACGGTCACACCACCACGTAAGTGAATCCGTAACATCACGTGATGATGTGACGGTCATATTGAAAAGTTACTAATTTACCATTCTCCCCTTATGGTACTTCTGGAAAGTGAGAAGATTTGCCAAGATGAGCTATTTAGCTCTACCATCCATGAATCTACCAGACTAAGAGAATAATAATCCATGCTTGTTTCTCTCTTTGCAAATGTGGAAAACCAATTGTCAAAGTGGATGCACAAGAGTTGCAAGCAATATAGGCTTTCTGTCAAACAATCTCAACACAAACGCCAGACCAGAAGATGAAAATATGAACATGATCCTTAGCGCAAGAAATGAACACAAAGTATGGAATATTAACTTCTAGTAAGAATCTCAATCAATCCAATCCATCATGGAAAAGAAAATGAAGTGTAAACCCCATTAAACAAACAAGCAGCCAAAATAATATGAAGGCAACTACTGTCAGAATTTGGAAAAGGTTAATTGAGAGTTCGAATTGGCAATTACTAACTTTTAGTCTGCTATGAATTAATCCGAGGATGAATGCTGTATCCCTATTCACACCTTACCCAAGCTTCAAGGCTTGTTTGCTCATTGAAGTTAGGCTGCAGGATTAACCCCAAGATTCTGTGACATCCTTACCATGGTAACCATCGTCGGTGTTTCATAGCCGACGGTTGTGCCAACGCTTGTGTGTGAGGTTCCACCTTCGCTCATTGTGAGAATCTGGGTTGTCATGTCACCCCTAGTTGTGGCTCTCTGCCATGAATGTGAGCTCAACCCAGAAAGAACATAAGCGCGCCCGGTCTGTGTATACGATTCCACACTTGCCATTCTATCCCTGATTTCTCTAAGCTCAGCTTCAAGCCAATTACAGAGGCCATCCCCAGCTTGTGCTGCTGCTGTTGTTAAGAGAGTTGATCTACGTTGTGCCAAAATGGCCTGTGCACCTTCTAGATTTCCCATTTCAGCCATCACTTGTGCTTCTGTGATACCTTCGGCTACCAAAATTCTATTCCTCTGCCGATCAACCTCCAAACACACTGCCTCATCTGCAGAGGACCAAGCTTTAGGTCTCAGTATCTCTACCCTCTCACCTACCACCTGGATTAACTCATTTGAGCCTAGATCTTTGTACAAGCATGATACATCCAACAGTGGTGTCTTTTTCACGCCTTCCCTATTTCTAGTTCCTGTGGATATTGGAACTGAAAGGTACACCAGAAATTGTTTCTCCTCTTCTGCGTACATATTTCCAACGTCAACAACACCTTGTTGAGACTCATCAGAAATCTCACTCATATGTCCCCCTGATGGTATTGACACAATCTGCACTCCCTGTGATGCTGACCTAACCGTGAGTCGAAGTTCTTGAGCCACAACACTGAGAAGACCACCAATGCACATAGCAAAGGCATCCTGTATCATAGCAACTGATTCAATGAAGGAAAAGGTGCCACCAGATGAATCAGAAATAGCATGCATAGTAGTGGCATCATGGTCAGTGCCAAATCCAAATGCATGGACTGGAATATTGCTACACCGTACCGAAGCTGGCAATTGGTTCAAAAATTCAGACACCTGGTTTGCACTTGAAGTAGTCTGTGAGCCATAGTTGCAATTGTCTCTGCCATCAGATAAGAGGATGATGCTAGAAACCGGATTCCTTTCACGGCGTTCTTCAAGGACCTGAACTCCTTTATTGAGTCCTCCCACAATGTCAGTTCCACCATTTGCTCTAAGAGATTCGACTGCTAAAATGGCGCTTTCACGCCCATCAACAGTCATTCTTCGCAGAGGAAAAACCCTTTTAGGAATAGTTGAGAACGAAACTATGGAAAGTCGGTCATAAGGCCCCAAGTTTTGTATGACAAATTTGACAGCACTCTTGAGAAGGGCAAGCTTTGTGCCAAACATGCTGCCACTTACGTCCAGAACTGTCACAAGGTCAATGGGGGTACGGCCATGGTCATTAGCATCTTGAAGAGGTGGTGCTCGGATGCTGACAAGAACAGGAAATGTAGGGCGAGATTCTGCAACAGAGATAGCAGAGTACTCTGTATAACTCTTGATTGCTACAGTTTGGGGGCCAGAGAGTCGGGTAGGTGAGGTGGATGGGAGAGGTTCATCATCTGAGAAGCTAAGCGGCTCGGGATGGACCCGGGGCTGCAATGGGAGGTGAGACTGGTGACGATGGTAGACATTGGTATGGATCTGACCCAAGTTATTTTGTTGAGGATCTGCAGCAGTGGTGGGAGCTTGGAAAGGTACAGCATTCCACTTGGATCGGCAGATTGGGCAGCAAAGGTTTCCATGTTTGACATTGTTGGCAATACAAACGAAGTGGAAAGAGTGGGAGCACTCAGCAGTGAAGATGGCTTGGCCTTGCCCTGCTCTCACGTTACTCAGGCAAATGGCGCAATTTTTCTGTACACAAAACAATTTAAACAAAAGTCAGTCATCATGAGATGGCCATACCAATGCAGTTACCTTTCAACAACTGTTCAAGATTAACACAAAATGAGAAGACTTTGATCAACAAAATTGAATGAAAAGAACTTTGCCACATAAATAGACTTTTATACATCAGTATGTTAAGCAAACACAACCTATCAAAAAAGCAAATTCGGTGCTAACAAGAATCCGTATCAGCATTATTCTATGAGAAAATAGAAAACTGTCAGTATGGCACAAGCTGAACAATGCAATCCAGCCAAAAGTCATAATAAACACAGCACCAGCATATATTTGCAACATGGAAAAGGGGTGAGGGAACTGTGACTTATTCGAATAGGGAAAACCAGAATTTCATAACCTAAAGTGTAGCAAATTATCTTTTTGTATTACAGATAATTACAGATCAAATGTGCAACATGTTGTCATCTTTTTGTATTAGCAAGACAAATTAAGACATACGTAAAACAATATTCTTTTACAATGCAAATAATTAAAAAACAAAAAGGAAATTCCAAATGTCCAACAAAAATTCTCGAACTTTATAAAAGAGGATATGATATGACATAATTATTTGGGCGTGCAATATAAGCATGTAGCTTTTGACTTATTCGATTTCTTAGCCTCTATGTCATTCACTTTTTCACAAAACGGAATCACTGAAGATTTGCCTAACATATCTACAAGACGCTTCAAATTATATTGGGAATAATTAGGGAAACTTGGACGACCTTTAAAATAGTATTATTAATTAATTAATTAAAAACCCGCAGAATTGAGCCTTAATGGCCAGTGACTTGACAACACACCTAAAGAGAAAGAAACGTGATCAAATGCCCAACTGCCACATTCCCAAACTGCCACCGAAGAAACGGCCAAACCAAGACAAACTGGGACCGTAAATACAGGAATCTAATAGGGGCAAATTGGTCATATTGGCGAACTAACTTGATTCTGTTTCGATAGTCAGAAAACGACGGCCTGTTTCTTTGGGAAAGAACAACTGGCAGTCTCCTCCGAGGTTTCGCGGCAAATTAACACTCACTCACACGCCGGAAAGCTCGCGGTTAAAATCTCGCCGGCGATAAAACGAGACGCGAAATAATGAAAAAACAGGGACTGAGATCCCGAGATTAAGGAACAGATTTTCCAGAGAACCAAACAGGCACACAATGGCAACGTACAGAAATTAAATTATTTAAATTAAAGACTGAGCGAATTAAATTGAAAAATATGATGGTGATTTACAATTACTGACCTTGGAGAGGCGAGAGCTGAAGCTGCGAGAGAGCTTGGAGATGGCGGAGGAGGAGGAGGAGGAGAAGGAGGAGAGAGACGAGGGAGAGGGCCCGACGGTTGCCGAGATTTCTGGGGTAGGAGGACGAGGCGGCCGAGACGACGAGTTGGATGAATCGGACGAGTTTAATGAGAGCTTGTGACTCAGAGACTTCTTCAGCTTCCGCCACGTAGCGGCCATTGTTGTAATTAATAAGAATCTTTAACAACAGAGAGAGAGAGAGAGAGGAGAGAGAGAGAGAGAGAGAGAGAGAGAGGAAGAGAGAAAAATAGAGAGAGTTATGTTCTGGTTAAGCAGTAGATGTGGTGTGGTTTATAGAGAAAGGTGTGTACTTTTTAGAGAGAGAGAGAGAGAGAGAGAGGAGTTAGTCAAAGGGAATCAGGAGATGCATTAGCAAAAATAGAAAGATTTGATTTTTGGTTTTCTTTCTCTTTTTCTTTTTTCCTGAATTTGTTATTTTCTGATCAATTTTCAGTTGCTTCGCTTGTAAGAAATTATTTACCATAATGTGAGTCATTCAATAAAAATGTGAAATATTATTATCCCTTTTCTTAAAAAGGGATTAAAGTCTGTTTTTTCTCACCAAAAATTGTTTCAGTTAAAAATTGAATAATGAAGCCAATGGGTAATACTAGGGGTGGCATTTTAAACCGAAAAACTGCAAAAACCAACCGATAATTTACCGCAATGAAACCGTAATCGCAGTAAACCGAACCGCATTTGCGGTATTAAGAACCGAACCGCATTTGCGGTTGCGGTTGCGATATTTGATTTTCAAAACTTGCGGTTACCGCAAACCGCAAAGTATAGCCGCACGTATGATGAAGTTGAATTCTACAAGGAAATGGAACATATGACAACTTGTAAGTAATTAGTTTATTTATGCTTCTTCTTATAATAAAATATACTAAACTATGTTGTTTTATTTGTAGATAACATTGATGCTCAAACAACACAACGGGGTTCTTCAAATCCACTCATCACCAACACTTGAGTTTGTAAGATTGGTGCATTGCATTTTCCTTTTAGTTTGTAACTTTAATTAACTTTGAATTGGATTTTTCTTTTTGGTTGTAACTTTAATTTATTTTGCTTTGCATTTTCCTTTTGGTTTGTAACTTTAAAGGATTTGAAATTAGAATGCTTGAGAAGTTAAACTTTAATTGGAATGCTTGGAATTGTAACTTTAATTTTCTTAGGTTGTGAATGCTTGAGAAGTTGAGGAGATTGTGAATTTATATATGCTTGAGAAATTGAGGTTGTGTATTTATTTATTTAGGTTGTGAATTTATATTTTTGTGCATGCTTGAGAACTTGCGGTTTTAAACCGCTAATTCGCGGTAACCGACCGCATTTTGCAGTTTACCGCAATGCCGTAAACCGCAAAACGCGGTCGGTTTGCGGTTTCAAAAATCACCAAACCGCAAATAGTCGGTCGGTTTGCGGTTTGAGTAAAAATTCGCGGTTACCGAACCGCAACCACCCCTAGGTAATACCATAATGGAAAAGTATGTTTAGCCTAAGACCGTTGGTCTTAGATTCGAAACCCCTAAACATCAATGTGTGTAAATAAATTCCTATCTCCCTTCCTATCTTTGACAACAAAAACATTAAATAATAAAAAGTGTATGTGACATGTTTACTTATCATAAATAGATATTGGAATTATTCAAATTCCTAATTTTCCTGTGTTTACTAACACATGGGTATTGCAATGATTTCAATTCGTGACTTCTTATGCATTTACTAACCCATAATGGTTTGTATAGAGCTTGAAGGGGCCATTTCATGAGCTAAACTCTACTCATACACACATGTCATCCCAAAACTACTGCCACGTGGTGAGTTTATAGAGTAGACAGATGTGCAGCTTCCTCTATTATTTACTCACATGAGGTTAGATGGCCTTCCTGTTCATGCATCTCTTGGTTTGATTCAATAATACTGTAATTCACTCACATCGCACAATTCCTTTTAATATTTTTAATGTTTGTCATTTTAAATAATTTTACAAATATAAACAATAAATTTCCATGACATTACCGCATGCATTTACTTTGAATATATACCTTTGACCTAACCATAGTTAATTTCTCGGTTAATTAAGCATATGCTCCAGCTGGTTTAATTTTAGTCAAAAAGAAATTATGTTCACATAATGTCCCAATCTTTTTCCTTTTTTGGTAAATATAAAAATATCAATATTCCATACTTGTCAATAGAAAGCAGCTCAGAATCAGAATTGCATTAACTTTTTTGGTAGAGAGAGAGAGAGAGAGAGAAAAAGAGATGGTTTTAACTTTTTAAGTATAAAGCCAGCTTTTTAGTCCTGCATTTCTGCATCTACTACAACAATGAGCCGACGTCGTTTTGGTCGTAGAGGACTACGATGCCCATGCCCATGGGTAATTTATTTCATTTCATTGTAAACACAAATTAAAGCAAATTTCTAAACTCAAATTGAAGAAAATAAAAAAGAGCTCGTGAGCTGGCTTCATTTCATTGGCTACAATATGATACAATATTTGGGAAGCTCATCATGAATATTATTATATATTGACTATATTCAATATGGTTTTTGACCTATAAAATTGCCAGGGGGGTCATAAACACAAGCCAAAATTGTATCTCCACACTCACATTTGACTTTGGAGCAACCAACCTTCAAGCTCTGCCTCCAAACCATCTGTGTATAATGCAAGCAATCTTTGTTATGAGCACAAGAATTAGTCTTGTAGTTGTAGTAACTTCTCTCTTGTGCCCAAGCTGCAACTGCATCACTTGGCTTCCAGTCTTGTCCACTGCCCCAGAAAAGGTTCTCACCAAATTGGCTGTTTGAGTGAATCAAAGAGCAATCTCCTTGCCTTTGGTGTGCCCACCAAGAGGCGTATTTCTCTAGCTTTTGGCTCCATTTGAGAGGAGGGAGGCCAAGCTTTGATCTTTGAGTGTTGTGAGGGATTAGATATTGCTGGATGGTGTTGTTGGGAGTTGTTTGGGGTAGCCTGTGGGGCTTAGAAAGAGATGGCCAGAACAATGTGGAAAGGAGGAGGTAGGTTCCTAAAAGCCCACCTGAAAATAGTTTCATTGTTTCCAATGGGGGGAGAGAGAGAGTAAGAGAGAGAAGGAGAGAGAGAAAGAGAATGTGCGTTATGGGTGTTTGTGAAGATCAGAACATGATCTAATGGTGTATATATAGAGGATTTTTTATTATTGCTAATTACTCTTGATCATCATTGTCAAAACCTATAAACAAAAACAACCAATCCAAACATGTGTGTTATCTTCTACATTGAAACTATAGTAAGGTGCATTGTTTGGGGAACAAAAATTTTATACAACTCAGTAACACATATGAAATACAAACGAAAAAATCGAGCTTACATAATATCAAGTCACTAACAAATGACCCAATTAGCGACACATTAAGATAACTAACAAGGGAGAACCTGTTTTTACGCATTAATTAATATTAATATTATTATTATCATATTATATATATATATATTTGTTGGTATATTTAAGAAGGAATCATTTCACATGTTGTATTGGTTTTCCCCTCTTTCTTCATAGTGATGATGATGAGAGGAATCATTTCACATGTACTCGCACATAAAGGAATGTGAAGGATGAAAACCCTAATTTTTTAAAATATAATTATCAATTTTAATTAGTATCAGATCTATTTTTGTATAGTTTTAATTACAATTTGCAACAGATTATATTTTAAAACTGATCTAACACTGAACATTATTAGCACAAATTTGTAAGCTCACATAATATTTGTTCTCTTTATTGTAGAAACACCTTTGACCAACACATGAGTCCATGTGAGGCAGAGAGGCACCAACTAGCGCTATATATCATTCATGACATGGCTTAGCTTCTGACAAAAAAAAAGACATGGCATAGCTTTGCATGCATGCATGCAGACGGCGGATTCATAAAAGCGCAAAGAGGCACAAGTGCACCTCCCCTCACTTGAAAATACCATAGAAGTCAGTCATCTTGAGCTCTTGGTCGGCTGGGTGGCTGGGCAAGAATGCCCACAACCTGTTTGTGGAAAGGCTGGAGTAAAGAGCAACAGCAGCAACACGATCAATTTTTCTTTTTAATGATCTGGCCAAAACGAATCATTTTGGACCTGATCAATTAATACGTTTTAAAATCTCTGTGTGCAATACACGTGTTTAGTTTTTGTTCTATTAAAGACCACATCATGCTGCAGCTTTAGTTTGAGGGTAAAAACACTTTGACATATATTAAAGCACATATTGAACATAAAAATGTTGTTGAATTATTAATGAAATTATTTGTTAATTTAATCTTCGACACAAGGAAATAAATTGCAAGTTATTATTTTCTTCTTTTTCTTTTTTCTTTTTTTCTTTTCCCTGAATATATAAATTGCACATATGACAAGCGAATTTTGTTAGTTCATATATACATTACAACATTGGAAATCCAATTAATCAATATATTCAAATCATGAATGTGCATCATGCAAGTTTTTCAAAACAAAAAATAAAATTCATCAGTTAATTTTTTATGAATTATGAATAATAATAGTATCATTTCAATTATACAGGTTATTTTTGTCTAAACAACTAACAATTTCCAAAGTATATAAATTTTATTTTATTTTATTTTTTTGTGTGGAACAGTTAGCCTTCGAAATGTTGCACCTCCTCTTAAAAAATCATGAATCCGCCATTATGCAGGTGCTTATATTTTCTTTATTTATATATTTTCAACACCAAATATATAGGCATGCAATGCAATTATGGTTATAGTGGCAAAGATACGAGTTTCTCATCGGCTTTGTGCTTTCTCCGAGCTTTTGGGGGTGAAGAAATATAGTTCTTTTTGGTTTGCAAGCCCATACATCTCTATGAATGACAAAACAAGAAATCTCACAATTAATTTAAAGTTTACAAAAAAAGAGAAAGATACTAAAATATTTGAAAAAAAGAAGAAAAAAAAGAATGAGAGGATTTATTCACACAGAGAGAGAGAGAGAGAGAGAGAGAGAGAGAGAGAGAGAGAGAGGAGAGAGAGAGAGAGAGGGAGAGAGAGAGAGAGAGAGAGAGAGCAGTAGGTAAGACCTAAGGCACCGGTATGGCACCGACCAAAGGCCCTCCAATACTAGAGTTAGCCAAAAGAAAGAGGAGTTAGACTGACAAAGTAAGGACATAAGTGTCGAATGACTATTACCTTATACCCTAGGGGCAATGGGCTCTATTTATAGACGTTTTGGGGTATCCCTTTGGTGTAAACCTTCGATGTGGGACTTGTGGGGGTAGCTTGGGAGGCTGGAGTGGCAATTTCCGATACGACCCGTTACACGACTCGAAACCCACACAGAGTTGGTTCATCTAGAGTTGCATGAATGAAAGAGCAAGATCAAGTATAACACAAATTATTTATGTGGTTCACCCTTTAATGAGCTACATCCACAGAGTTGGTGGGTATTCTCATCATGGTAATAAGGAGGTTACATATGTGTTACAATGAGTTTGGCCTACTAGATAATTGCCTAAAGAAAGAGTCTAAGTGTTGGAGAAAGCATCTTTATATAAGGGATAAAGGGGCTTTCTCTTTTGTTCTATTCCAATATGATCAAAGGAGAAACTGTATAGTACAGTAACCAGGCTAAATTGCAACTTGCCTAGTGTGAGTACATGTGAAATAATACCTTCTCAATCAATATACCAACAAAAAAAAAAACTATTTCGCCAATAATAATAATAATAATGTGTAAAAACATGTTTTACTTGTTAAAAAACTTACACGGTATCTTAATCTGTTACTAACAGTTCATTTAAAATTTTCGTTTGTATTTCATATAAAGTAGTTTGTATAAAAAAAAAAAAAAAAAAAATAAAATAAAATGTGCGGCCAAAACAAAAAAAAAAAAAAAAAAAAAAAAAAAAAAAAAAAAAAAAAAAATTTTGTAAAAATTTCTAGTTCTTCCAAATTTTTCCAAATAATGCATTACTAGTTTCCAATTTTAACAAAGATTGCTTGCATTATACAGAATTACAGATGGTTTGGAGGCCGAGGGTTTGAAGATTGGTTTGCTCCAAAAGTCAAATGTAGGTGTGGAGATACAATTTTGGCCCGTGTTTATGAACCCTCTCTGGTAATTTTATCTTCAAAAAATCATATAGTGAAAGTATGCATGTGATCAAAATCAATGGAAATTTATTGTTGTAATTTTAAAAAATCCTTTCTTTTAAATGAACTGGGTGGGGTTGGGGAGGGGGGGGGGGGGTACATTTGTCAGGAACATGAATATATTTTTTTGCACCAAATCACGATTAAGATAGTTGCCCTATCAGTTTATTTGCACCAACATACTAATCTTTACAGCGGGAAACATCAATTATTCAATGAACAGGATCCGGGCCCACACCACACCCCTTTCCTTGGTGCCCAAGTAAAACTGTAAAACGAGGTAGGGTTGGCTCATGGAGAGACTCCTCCATTTCAATATTTCTTGGAAACAAAACCAGCAAGGAAAGAAAGAAATTCGTAGAAAAAAGTTACACAAGGCAAGGCAATATGAAGGCAGTGCGAGTGAATAAGATCCGTTCTGAAAGCATGCGGGAACCAATTTTTACAACGAATCTCTCCGTTCTCAATATGAAGGCAGTGCGAGTGAATAAGATCTCCGTTCTCAATATAGGTCCGTCACTGTGTGTAACGGGTCGTGTTAGAAATTGCCACCCCTATTCACATTAATTATTATAAAATTTAAAAAAAATACAATGACTTAATACTAGAGGTCTCTAATTCGAATCTCCACAACATCATAGTTGTATGTGTATGAATAATCCTTTTTTCTTCTAATTTAGACTATCTCTTGTACTAAAAAGAAGAAATAAAATGCAATGGCACATTTAAACAAAATTCCCTAGCATTCGTCTTTCTTCTGTGCTGTCACCAGCTACTAGATTTCAACTTAAACAGGAAAAAGATTCAACTTTCTGTCACTGTTTACCAAACAAATTAATGTGGAAGATTTGTTCGAAATGTAAAAGTGATTAATTGGAATTTTTGTAAGTATGATAATAAATGAATCTATCTCAATGTGGAGGTGTACCTACCAGATACAAACGCCCAGTAAATGCTCATACTCATAATAAAAATGTCAGTTGCAGTGTTTGTTTAACTTTTTAAAGGTTGTATCATCAGGATTCAGATCTGTCTCTGCCAGAGTATTGATGGAGATCCCACCACCATCCCTCTATCATAATTAGATTTACCATTTGGAGTTTGATTTTTAGGTTTCAATCAAGTTATGTTATAGATTATTGCTTGGTTAATCAAGTTATGAATTATATTTGATTTTTCTTTTTTCTCAGATGATGAAGATGATGAGGGCAAAGAACAAACGCTCAAGATATAATTAATTTTTACCAGTTGGAGTTTGATTTTTGTACTTTCTATTTTGATTTTTAGGTTTGAATTATGGGCTGTCATTTTTTTTTTTCATAGGAATTTAAGTAAAACTTTAGATATATTAAAATATAAGGCTAAAGTTGATTTGACGTGTTATTGGCCCCATGCACTTCAGAGGCAGTTGACAGTGAACTAAAATTTGTCACGAAGCTGTGGGGGAAGTAGAAAAGAGACGTTGCGAAAGGAGATGGGATTTAAATCTCTCACACTCGCTCTCACTCTATATTTACTCGTCTTCTTCTTCTTCTCGGGCAAGAGCAAAGGCGACCATGACCTCTTTGCGTTCATCAAAATTTTCAGAGAAGAGGGCCTGTTCTCTTGCTCCGCCCAGATGATATTTGTGGAAATGTGGAGAGTGATGGGCAGAGGTCTTGTGAATAAATGGGGGAACGTCCCCCACAGCAATCTGCACTATTTCTTCTTCTTCTTCCTCCTCTTCAAACTTTTCTCAGAATCATCTTCTTCTTCTTTCTCCTCTTCAAACCAAAATGTCCAGTGCTTACAAATGGGCTGTTGAACGGGGGCGGAAAGCTCTGCAGTATGGGAAATACCAGCTCATGTTTGATGACCTCAGGCGCAACCCTAAGCAAGTTGAGCAAGTCAAAAGTCGTATGAAGGAAATTGAAAAACTCTTCTATCATGACAAGGAACCCATTTTCTGTGAAACTGTCTCCGCGGTTGTGGGAGCCAAATACCTACAGGGCAAACACGGATGGCGCGGTAAGACAATAACATACAGTTCCCAAAATGCTGACAAGGAAGGAATCATCAAGCAGGCTAAAGAACTAGAACTGAAGCCCGTAGCAAAGGATTTGAAGGGGTAAATATTTGTTGATTTTCTTCTGTTGATTAGAGCCCTAGTGCTATTGGTGACAAATATGATGCTGAATTTTTCTTCTTTTTTTTTTAAAAAATTCCAGGGATGACGACAAGTCCGCTGCTGGACCCAGTGGCAGTCAGAGGTTTGTAGTTTTGTTTTCGTGCTTTCCTTTGTCTTGTTGCTTCGTGTTGCTTTGTTTGTAATGTCTCAGTTTTGTGTTGCTTGTCTTGTGTATACTATCTGGCTTGTCTTGGTTTTAAGTTTTAGAGTTTTGCTGCTCAACTTGCTGACTTTCATTTCCAGGGATGGAAAGTAATTTGGATTTGCTGTTGGAGTTGGAGATGGGTGGGCACCCAAGAAAATTGTTGCTGTTGCTGTTGTTTCTTAGTTTTATCGTTTTCCCTAAAGGATATATGTACTGCCTAGACATTATCCCGCCCGTTGTTTTTTAGTTATATTTTTTTTTCCTTTGAGCTCTAAAATTTTAGTTGATTGCTAGATATCTGTTGTGTTAATGAGAGAGAGGAACATGAGAAATATATCTATGAAGACCATTGCTTTTCTATGTCATAATTTCATATTCTTCTTGCTGCTTTTCAAGCCAGTGCTGGGGATCATACAAACAAACACACTGAATATAAGTTAGTATCTCAAAAAACGTTCAAATAAACACTAACTGTTCCATCCATGGATGAGCTTGCCAACAAGTACTGATCATCAAACCGAAGCGATGATGGATACCAAACTGGAGTATCAAAACAGAGTGAGCAGAAGATATAAAAAACATTAAAGAACAAAATCATCTTTTTTTACTAACCTCCTTAGTGACAACAATATTCTAACTTTTCTAGTTTCCTCTAAAGCTTGAAAACAATTCCTAAACATTTCTCTCGCATTTTGTAAACAAGACTCTTTAAACTAGAATTTCAAATAAAAAAATAAAACTGATAAAGGAGAAATTGAAGCCTTCACTTAATGAGTAGATAGATAGTATTCAGTCCACTACAACCAGAGATTGAAAGGGTAGGCCATAGATGACTGCTTCCATGATCTGTTCGGGACTCCTTTCTTCGATTTCCCCATCAGTGTCCAAGAACCACTTGACCAACTCATCGAAGTAGTAGTGTAAGTAGTACACATCCAAAAACTCTACGCGTGGCACCACATCCCCGTACCCTTTTTCCTTGAACTTGCTCTGTATTGCCTCATAATCACTCTCCCCTGGATATGCCAAGTTGTCGCCGGTGGTGATCACAAACACCTTGTTGATCATCTGTTCCGGCTTCAAATTCCCATGCACAGCAACTTGCAGAACCAAATCAAACACCTTTTGAAAATCAACCTCCCCCTCCAGGTCCCGGCAGTCCATCCTCCTCACAAACTCGCACTTGGCCTTGAGGCCATCGCCTTGTGGTATGTCATGCAGACTAGGGTTTCGGCTGAAGTTGATCACCTTTCCTTTCCATGCCGGCTCTTCACTCAGTTCAGATACTAACAGTCCCAAGCCCACGGATATATCCCCGAGCTCATCACTCATTCTTGAGGGGGAGACATCACAAACAGCCAAGCTGTTGTTCAAATTCTTCTTCTTCTTCCTCTTACTGACATTGCCCTTGATCATGTCCCCCAACATTGCGTTCCATTGAAGCTCAGCCGCTTGCCCGAGATCCTCATCGTTCGCAAAGCGTATGATCTGATGTGGAAGCAGAGCCGCAGGGTTCTCAATCTTGTACGCTGAAGCTCTCAGGTCCTCCAAATATACTTGAGCCATGCAGGCCTCTTCCGAACACTCCGGGCGATAATAACCCCACCTGTTGGACTTGGGATCTATAAGTGTAATTATTAGACTGTCAGAGGCCTTCCTCAAGGGCTCCACAACCTCCTTCCTCAGCCGCTCTCGAAGTCTGTAGGCGTAACCGGCCTCCTCCTTAACATCTCTTTGTGGGTTTGGATGCTGGAAAACCCTCCTCGCAACGCTCTCGCACAGCAAAGTAGCTCGATCGTCGAGCCACTGAGCCGCCATAGTGATCTCCAAGCACTTAGAAGAAGAAGACTCATGATCATGATCATCAACATTAAAAGTATTCTTCAAAAGTTGAATATCGCGGTTGAGGCAGTGGGCGAAAAGATCCGAAACGCGGTCGTGTAAGAAGCGATAATCTGGGTCAGTCTCGTACCTCTGGACAGCCACCTTGTCAGCCATGGAGAACATCATCTCTTCGAAATTCCAATCACCCTCGCTTGTGTTGATGTTGTACCTGCTGGCCCTCCTCACGTCTTGGCCTGCAAGAATCCTGTAGAGAATCTCCACAAGGTCACGCATACCCCCGAAATACCCGAACCAGCCTGCAATAGGCAGGAGGTTGGCGACGAGGGTCTTGGGATGGTTGTGGTGGAGCCAAAACGCAGCCGTGTAGAAGCCTTCGGCATCTCCGCGACGACGCCTGTCTAGGAGGTTGCAGATGAGTTTGAGGGTGATTAAGGGATTGTGGGACCAGGCAGCCGGGAGGAGCTGCTTCAGATACATGCGGTTGGCTTCTCCTTCGGCTAGGGTTTTGCGTTGGTGGACGTTGAAAAACAAATCCTGGCAGGCGTTCTCGTTCTTACTGTACTGGACTGTTGTTGTTGAGGGTGAGGGGGGTGGTGATTTTAGCAGTTGTAGCTCCGGAGGAGGAGAAGCCATTAATCTTGTCAGTCCGCCGCCGACGACATTCACGTAGCTGCCGCGGCATGCTTTCAGGACTGAGATGACTTTTACTGGCATGTTGGTTTTATGATGGTTTTTTTTTTTTTTTTTTTTTTTTTCACCATTAATTTTGTGAGATTTTTGAATTTCAATGAATTTTATTAAGAATATTAGTGTTAGATATCATTAGAATACATATATAATTTATACATATATAGTTTCATATATATAATTTATTAAATATTTTATAAATATTAATATTTTATTAAATATTTGATACTATTAATAATTTATTAAATATTTGATTACTATTATTAATTTATTAAATATTTGATACTATAATAGAATCTGTCTCCGAAGATTTTGTTACTTAAATAATATAATCCAACCAAATAAAAAATAAAAAATATAACAGCAAAAAACCTAGCACTTGTGATGTACTTTATTGGAGCGGGCCCATACTTAGAAGTTATAGTCACAATTCAAAGCTAGTTTTTTACGTCTTTTTTATAAAAATTATGGTCCGATTTAGTTTCAAACTATTTGATTTTTTTTTTCCTAGTTAATTTGTAGCTAATAGTAGGTAGGTCAATAAGGTGCAAGTATTGAAGCTAATAAGGTGCAAGTATTGTTGGCTTGGGTCTCTCCTGAAATTGGTGTGGTCAAGTCAAATATAGATGGGTCTTGCAGGGGTAGTATTGATGCCATTGGTGCTGAAGGGGTCCTGAGAGATCATTTAGATCAATGGATTGGTGGCTTTGCTGTCAATTTAGGCAAGGGAGAAGTGCTTGAAGCTGAGTTGTGGGGTCTGTTTTTTTATTTGAATTTGGCTGTTGAGAAAAAAAAGTGGATGATATTGTTATTGAGATGGATTCAAAGACTGATGTGCTTCTTATTCAGAGTAAGGTTTTGAATGCTTTTCATCCTAATGTTGGGTTGGTCAGTAGTTGTAAAAGGCTTACGAATTTCGCTACAAGGAAAACTCCTTTTGGCGACCACCACGTTTGGTCGCTAAAAGCTGTTATTTCGTCGCCAAAACCCTTTAGCGACGAAATAATTTTGTCGCCAACTTTGTCGCCTTAGGCTCGTGGTTGAAAGTCCCAAACTACGAAAGGCGACGAAAATAAATTTTCGTCGCTAAAATTATTTACGCAACCAATTGATTTCGTCGCCTTTAATTAATCAGTTGGTCGCCTATAAAGATGGGTTCCCACGAAAATACCAAAATTTGCCGCGAACTGAGGATGGATTGGTTCGTCGCTGATAGGTTTGGGTGACTATCTGATTTGGTCGCTAAAGCTTACTTAGTTGGTCGTTAAAATTTGTATATTTTGGGTGTTTTTAATTATTTGATTTATATTCTGTTTTGTGGTAATATTAACCTTTTGCATTAATATATTGTAATTTTGAATAAATTTAGGTAAATAGATCAATAGAAAATGACATGAATAAAAGTTTCTCTCATTAAAAATTACACGAGCATACTAGTTATTGAAGTACACATAACATATCCAAAAATAGTACATATAAACAAGTGAAGAACTCCACTCAAAGACTGGAGGCCAAGCTCCGTATATACTTGCCCTCGGTAAACCCAAGTTCCGTAGTAATTATTTCCCCGCTCTAAGACTAGGTTTCGACTGAAAAAAATGCATGTAGTTGCCTTCTTTAATTCCAAGTTATGTAGTCATGATCTTTAACACCTGTGGGATAGGGACTGTAGTCTAATATCATGGAATTCCCAAACACTCTGTTAATTGTTGCTTGATCTTCTCAAACTCATCAATCATATTCCTTTACAAAAGAAATAAAACAAGGAAATGCCAATGGTCAAGAAGATGCCAAAACCAAGAAAAGTTATAAATAAATAAATATATATATATATATACCAAAAACAAAAATTTTCGACAACACAAATTACAAGAAATCTTGCCCAAAAGCTGAAATTCACAATCTTAACTAAATAAGCCATTAAAAAGAGTTTGGATTTACATAAGAAAAATGATCACTAGTCATCAATATTTAAGAATGTTTGAGAATGGTATTTGAACAAACTTAATAAAATTTGAATTCATTTTTCATACCTCTCAATATCAACTGTCTAAAGCATACCTTTGTGATAATAACAAATACCACAAATGAAGGAAAACAATTCCGAGAAACCAATGTAAAGACTACTATCATGCATAGCACAAAACCATTAGAAAACATAAATCATATATAAAATCCAAAGTATAATCCACACCTTAACCAACAAGGGTTGCATAACTTCTCAACACAATACAAAACACGTATGTCATTTTAGTACCTTTAAACAAACAACACCACAATGACATTGACAACTACCATAGCTATTAATAAGAAAACAAATAGAACTGAGTGTAATTTGAAGAAGAGGTTCTTACCTCAAATGGTCCTCTGTCCAAAACCACAAACCAAATCCTTCCACCTCCTCAAATAATTTGACATGCAAAAATAGGATATTACCTCAGTAAAATTAGACTCCTAAATGATATTGTTCTAAACACATTATAAGATTGTTGAGGCCCAAAATATTCACGGTTCGGCCCAAATAAATTCTCGGCCCAATGCGATGCTTTACCAAGAAGAAACCCGATTTGGGCATGCGAAAGTTCATCATATGCGCTTGCACACATGCCACGCCAAACGACACGCCATGCTAAGCAAGGAATTATCATTCCGCACCTAATCACGCCACAAGCTTAAGTGGGCCCCAAGCCACTCAAATACCCAGGGCTTGCTTGAGTGGGTTGTGGTATGGATGGTAATAAATTGTCATAAGGCCCATTGATGGACCAAGAAGTGGAGGTTCCGGGTTAGTTGGGAGCCTTGGAACCCAAGCCCATTTCTTAGGCCCAAACATGTGGGTAAGCACAAGAGAGGAAATAGCCCAATTGCTTCAACTAGAGTAGCCCAACCAAAATAACCCATTACTTTAGATAGCCCATAAAGCCCAAATACTTGGTGAATTTAACCCATTTATTAGATGACTTAGCCTTCTATATTAAATGGCCCATACCATTTGAATAAAAGGAGTCCAAGGCCTTCAGCACTTGGCTGAAGCAGAAGTCCACGAAGAAAGCCAAAGATTCACATGTGAGGGGCTGCTGGGAGAACAAGTTCCAAGTGCAAGCATTCAAGAAACCAAGGGGTATTAGCACGCAGGGGAAGATGCTATCCCTTAAACCAGCAGGTGCACCCATTTTCTTTCCTTCATCAGATTTGGCAGTGAAAAGAGGAGGAAAGAAGAGAAAGAAGATGGGTGAAAATGGAAGCTCTCCTCTGAAGCTGTTGAAGCCTCGAGCTCCCAAAAATCCCTGATTTTGTGGGATTGGGCAGAACTGATTTTTGCCTCCATGAGGTAAGTCAAGCAAGAGGAGACGAAAGGAAGAGGAAAGCTTAGCTAGATTTGAAAGAAACCATTAGGGTTTCTTGGAGAAGACCCATTCCCAGCAGCTATAAATAGGACCCATTCTACCCAACACAAGACAACCCACAACCTTTAGAGAGCAAGCTTTCTCTCTCACATGCAAACCCAGGAATTTTCGTGCTATCCTTCCTCATTTTCCTTTATTTCCCCTGTTTTGGCAGATTGACAGAAGCTTTGACAGAGTCACTGTCAAGCTGCTGGAAACTGCGAAAGTCACCCAAAACTCTTCACCATCCTTCTCCCTCTTCATCAAAGCTCCTTAGAGCCTCTCTCCTTCTCCATTAGAACCTCTGTACCTCATAGGAACCCACAAATCTCTCTCTCCTAAAGTGCTAAACTCATGATAATTTTTGCTCCCATGCCATAAGTCACTCATGCCAAGCTAGAATATTTATTTGTAATTTGTTGTCATTTTCATTGGTGAAGGTAACCAAGGAGTTTCCTAAGGCGTCATCACCCTTTCGAGACATCCTTGGGGCTTGATCTTCGAACTCAGACACAAGGGGACACTTGCATCAGATTGCTCTTTACAGCAGCCCAGCCCACTTGCTGCCAGGAGAGAAAAAGCCCCTACAAAGATAAAGAGAACCACAAACCCAAATAAGGCAATCACTCATTGGTTTTAATGTTTTCAATGCAAATAGAAACACTAAACGACAACTTTTTCAATTTCCACTTGAATACAATGAAGAATTGAAATAAAAAGATATCTAAATGTAGAAAAAGAGGATTGAATTGAGATAAAATAACATGAAAAATTCTTTAAAAGTGAAAACACAAGCTAACAGAGGATGATCCTAGTGAAAAACTAGAAGTCTTGAATATATTTCTTTAACATATTTTCAAGCCCAAGACACAGAATTTGCTTAAGCACATAGCCCAACATTCCCCATTTTCTAGGCACTTCAATTTGGTCTTCAAACATTGATAAGAAAAAAGACAATTCAACAAAAAGGGTATGAAGTAGTTTGCAGTAAATCATAGATGACCAAATACATATTTTGTTAAACAATTTGGGCAGGAACACTTCAATTTGGGAAATTCACTAAAAAATTAATTTGAGTCGAAATAGTGTGAAACTTTCCAGATCAAAACTAGACACATAAAACTTCATCACATCAAAATTTCATGGCATTCGAAGTTAAGAAAGCATGTCAAAAACAAAATCCAAACCAGATTGGGTTGCAGAGTTTTCTGCTTCCTGCAACATAACAACTACTTTAAAAATTTGCCAAAAATCCAATTTAACTCCAATTTGTATGAAACCAGTTTTGAAATGCTCATTGAAATGTCTAATTATAAAAAATATAGATCAAAATATAAATTCGAACTAGGTCTTCTGGTCCATAACATAACACAAGATCACAGATTTCTGCACAACCTCAAATTTCATCAACCAACCCAAATCTTTCAAAATACACCACTTATCAGCTTTAAACATCAAAACACTAAATCATACAAATGTTGCTATTTACTATTGAAAAAGTATTAATCTGAATTGACCAACAATTAAAAAAAAAAAAAAAAAAAAAAAAAAAAAAAAAAAAAAAAATTGAATTAAAACAACTAATGAAATTTTTACAACAAAAACCAACAATGGCAGCTTCAACAATTACGCAGCTTCTCCTGCACTAAACAAACAAAACTCTAAAAGAAATACAAAGTGTATAAAAAAAATGGACAATTTGATATATCATTGACAAAACGTACAAGAACACAGTGCAATATTGAATTACAAAGCACAACCAATTAAAAATCAATAATAATAACCACACACACACACAAAAATAAATAAATAAATAAATAAAAGAAGCTCACAGACAAAGGCAAAGGAACCTTGAAACGAATACACACCCACATGACCAACTTCCAACTTCTAACTCTTTACTTCAATTATATAAATGAATTGTTATATTCTTTCTTGCAACATACAGTAAAGAAATTCAGATTTAATCCAGAAGTATCAAGCAAACATTCAGGACTTGGAAAATAATCAATCAGACTCAAAGCATTAAAACATAAAAAAATGAATTAACTACTGGGTACATGTGCAAGTGAAACATCTCAAATTTGACACAGAACCCACATCAAATGCAAAACAAGGCATTCATATCAGATACAAAACCCTACTCAAATTTGACATAGAACCCACAATAACCACTTGAAAAATATAAGTCATTGTATTCAGAAAACTTGGATTGTTGAATGTTCAAGCATTTAAGATATCAAAAAGGAAAAAACAAGCACTGAAATTCAGTTTCGATTTAAATTCCTGGGCATCTATTTCCGATTTTCCTTGATTATTTTCTCAGCAACCAAATGGAATCTAGAACTGAAAATTAGCGCTCAAAAGAAAATGAAGGTAAGATAGACAAGGTAGACTTACCAGAAGCTTTCTTTGAAACACGCAGTGAGGAGGACTTCGGAGATGGAGTTTTCATATGGCCGTCGATTCCTGACCATGGTAGGCAAAGGCATGAGAGATGGAGGATCGCTTGCTGACGTCGGTAGAGGATTGCTCTGCTGACGTCGATGGAGGATTGCTTTGCCGATGTGAGAGCAGCGGAGAGTGGGTCTGAGAGGAAATAATGAGTTAGGAACTTTTTATTTTTATTTTTGTATTTATACTCTCTAGATTAGCCCCAAAAACTGTTTGGTCGCCCATATGCTAACATACATAAAACAACGTCGTTTTATGGTTCAAGCACAATGATCTGCGACGAAAAATAAAATGGTCGCCGACCCCCGAAATTTTTAACCGCCAATTCTAACTTAGCGACAACACATTAAAACTTAGTGACCTAATATTTTCGTCGCCAAAAGTTTTAGAGTTTCGCGCCCACCCAATTCAGTAAATCGCGACCAAATATATGTTTGGTCGCCAAGTCCTAGCCTAACCACCAAAAACTTTCGTCGCCCTTAGTTGATAAATTAGTTGCTATTTTGTTGACTCAAGTCATGATGGGTGTCTAAAAATCACGAACTTTTTGGCGACTAACTGGAAAAATTTCGTCGCTGATGCCCTTTTTGGCGACTAAAATATAGTGCCTCGCTAACAATTTCGTCGCAAAAGAGGTTTTTCCTTGTAGTGTTTGTTTCGAACAATCAAGCTTCAACATATCTATAGAGAGAGGAATGATGTAGCTGATGGGTTGGCTACTTGGAGTCATAATCTGTGTAACACCCCGACCCTAAATTAATTATACCTCTAATCTAATTATTAATAAAGTTTGAAATTTCAATTTTGCCCTCGGGGTAGGGGTAATTTGCTCACTTTCTAATCCAGAAGGATTTTGGGGAAATGATTGGAGCTTTCATGTAGGTCGTACCGAGATGAGTATGTAGACACGTAGTGGGCTCGAATCGGAGTTGTAACGAAGAAGTTATGATCAAGAGAAGCTCAGTGGCAAAATCGTAAATATTTCGAAGTGTGTTAAAAAAAATATTGAAAATCGTTTCTCTCTCTCTCTCTCTCTCTCTCTCTCTCTCTCTCTCTCTCTCTCCCCCCCCCCCCCCCCCCCCCCCCCCCCCCCCCCTCAATTTTTAAACAGTCGAACGGCTATAGGAGTTGGCCGCCACCACGGTCCACCACCAAAGCTGGGACCAGTCCCAAAACGACTGACTCCACCACAAACCGAGACCTCTGGATTTTGCAAAAATCCGGCCAATTTTCATCCTATTTTTCTCAAGCTCGTTTGAAAGATTTCGGCCACCATTTTCGTCGATCCAGGTATACTTTCTCATCCTCTTGAGGTGTTCTAGCTGCTGGATGTGTTGTTTAGAATTAATTTCTTTGTTTTGAAATGATTTTAAGAAATGGAAGTTTTGGCCGATTTCAGCCACTTCCATCAACTTTTTGGGGTAGGTCCAAGAACAAAAGTTGCTCCACTCAATGTGCTGATTATGTAGGTACAGGCCTTGACCGACGGTTTGGAGTTTTTCCAATCGCCGAAAATTGCTATGGACATCCACGCACTGCCAGCACGTGGGCCACTTTGTGGCTTGTCCTAGAGTCCTAAAATAATTCTCATGTCGTCCCGAGTACGACGGTATACTCGGATTTCAATTTGGTTATTGTTTGATCGTTGATCGGATATCGCATATTAGTCCTTATCCGGATTTTATATGTTTGGACCGTTAGATCAACTTCATTTCAGTACATGTTGATCTAGACGCCCCTAGGATCGTGTAGGATTTTGCAAATCATGAATCGGAGCCCCAGATTTTCCGATTCAATAACTTAAAGAACGATAATCGTGTGATTGTTAGTGATCCGATTGCTCGGTCGATGCCAAACTCTTGTGACATGTTTAGGAAACTCTATTGAACCTTTAGGAACTTTTGAATTGTAAATCGGAGATTGTGGATCATGTGGGCCCAGTTGACCATCGGTTAACCAATATGACTAGGTTGATTAGATTGTTGACCAAGGGTCTTAAGAGACCGTCTCGTCTTTTGTTAATTACTAAGATGGCCTTAGGGATTTTACTAAAGGACGCGCACCCACAGTGAGTCCCGAGAGCGAGGGTTTTTATTTAAAGTTCAGTGTTGTGTTCGATTATTCAGTTAATCTTGGTTTTCTCTCAAATAGGTTCTTTGGCGTTATGAATCACTCTGGACGATAACGCAGAGGGTTGAGTGTGCTTTGGACTGTGTGTGAGTGGACATTCATTTTCTAAATAGTTTTATTAAACTCTTGGATTGTGATTATTATTTGTGTTGTTTATGGAATTGATGATTTATGGTTACTAGTTTTCTAAATAGATTATTATGCATATTTGAATTTGGTTTGAGAACGGTTTTGAAGGATTATACATGGCTTGAGTTAAGTTAATAAATTATTTATGGTATTTATTTTCTGAGCGTTCGGTTTTGGTTGAAATGATTTTTATTTAGTTTATTTATGGTTTAGTACTTGAGGTTGATATTAAAATGCTTTTATATGATTTAATTTTACAATATGTTTCGGGAGGATTTATAAGTGGTAATTATGCGAGTTTGTCGATTAATTATTTAGTAAGGATTTTATTTGTAGGTTTTTATTCGGTTTTACTTCCTAGAATGTTTTGATAAGTTTTTATTGGTGGGAAGTCAAGATGGCGAAATTTGGGTTTATTTAACGGTTTAAAAATGGGGGTCTTGTTTATTTACTTAAGTGTGATGCATACTTGAAATTAGTTTGGTTTTGAAAGATTGGTGTATTATTTCAGAAAAACGAGAAAAAGGGAGTTTTTATGTTTAAATGTCGAGAAGTGAATTTCAAACCCACCCTAGGTACCAAGACCCGGTTGCTTTCCACAATTATTGGTTGCCTTCGGAAAAGTATAATTGGTGCCTTAGGAAAAGAATATATTGGTTGCCTTCGGAAAAGTGAATCAGTTGCCATCGGTAGAGTCTATGCATATGACTAGGATTGTCTGTACCTACATAGAGACTGCTCTGTAGGTGTCCGGCCACAATATATTGCATGTACCTGTGTGACTATGCAGGTGTCCGGCCAGTGGTTTGCTTGTACCTGCAATAAGATTATTCTGTAGGTGTCCAGCCAGTGAATTACCTGTACCTGCTTATATGGGTGTCCCACCAAGATTTTCCCCCGCCACCTGCCTGATTGTCTACACATGTGGTTAATCGGTTTTCCCTATTCTCCGGTTGCCCTTAGTGTATTGCATGTACTCGTATCACAAATGCGAGTGTCCAGCCAGTAATTTTTCCCAGGATGTTCCCCTGCCACCCTATCGATATATTACATAGGGTTGGCCAGTTATTTTTCTCCATAGGTATACTTGGGTGGAGAGTTTTTGTATAAACTGGATTTCAGATGATTTGTGTTTGAGCTTGTTTGTTTGAGCTTGTTTGATTTATTGAATTCAAAGAATGGTTTGAAACTTGATTATTGTTGAATTATATTTTGAGTTACTTGATGTATTATATTTAAATGTTGTTTGAAGTACAAGATTTGGATCAATGGTATTTTACTTACCAGTTAATTCCGATTTTATTTTACCTACATATGTATTGACTATATTTTGTTCTTGTATGTGTACTTACATGTACATTAGTGAGTTTTCTAAAGGTTTGCGAAAACAGAGGGGTTAGTATATTCTGTATAATTACTTTCAAGAAAAACTTTCTTTTTGTCCACTCACGCTTTTACTGTTTTGCGCCCCCAGGAAGTAGATAGCTTAGAGTTCGGACATCCACGTAAACTACTTCGGCATACTTTATTTGCTGTTCTCGTTGTTGATTTGGAAACTAACCTTATAAATTTAACTTCAGTAGTTACTATGATATTTCCCACTTAGGACTGAATTTGAGGGCGGAGGCCATGTGAAATTTGTGTGTGCCTTATTATCTTGTGTGTGCTGCCAGTTGAGATTATTCGATTATAGGTATTTGCAGGTGTTAAGTTGGGAAAAGTCCATTTTATAGGGGAGACTCTGCAGAAATTTTAGTAGAAATATCGACTCATTGTTCTTAAAGTACAAGTGAGAGGTGTAGAGTTAGTAGTGGGCCCGACATTGTTCAAGTGCCGGAATATGTAACAGGATTCGACATGAGTTTCGAGAGGGAATTCAGGTCGGGTCCTGTCAATCTAGATATGGGCTATTACTACTTTGAAGAGAGTCCTGTCTAACTTGATTATTTATTGCTTAATAATTCTTTGGGAGCTATTGAGACTCATCTGATTAGTATTGATTAGTTGTCGTGTTGGTGTTTGGGAGTTTTCCCCCTTTTTCTTCATTTAAAAAAAAAAGTAGGTAGGTCAATCAATATTTCTAGTGTTGTGCCAAAGTGACGAAAATCAACACAACTTATTTATTATAATGCCTCTTAGAAGTATGACCAACTCTCACTTTGCCATGAATTTTTGAGATGATTTTTACTGCAGAGGTTTTATGATGCTTGATTTTTACTCAATGAATTTTGTGAGATTTTATTTATTTATTTATTTCCATGAATTTTTGAGGATCTCCAGCGCAGATACAAATCGACAGACTTCGGACGGTAGAAAAGTCCAAATTAATATTTTATTAAAGGGAATCTTTCCGAAGATTTAGGCCTTCCATCCTCCATCGACCATGTCACCACATTGAGCCTATTATATATAGTTTGATTTAATTCATGTATCATTATTGTGTTTTTGTGAGAGAGTCTTATTCTTTGAATTCTTAGATCTTTATCAAAAACGATTAGCTGGTGTTAGGTGTACATTTATTACTTTGTTTACTGTGTTGATTTTAGCCTTTGAGGTAAATAAAGAAAATACATTAATCCAAATTTAATGTATTATTTCATTGTAATTGAATTTCATAATTGAAATTTTGAATTATTTCCTTGATAATAGGTAAATATGAGATAATATAAGTATTATAGGTATTTTTTTTTGTAATATACTTGATAAACAAGTGGTATACATGCTATATTGTGTGGATCTCATCAATACAACCAAAAAAAAAAAAGTCTTAATGAATGCAATAAAGAAAAAAAAAAAGATTCTTTCCCTTTTTCAACCTGTTGAATATAATGCGAGTATTGCATGCAACTATTAATACAACTTTTGCTTCCAATTTGATCATGAGGTGGATCAAAGCGGACCATGCTGCTCACCATTAATGTTGAAATAATTGGAAGAAAATAATATCCAAATGAAGAAGATATTTAGCCAAATAAAAAAATAAAATAAAATAAGAATGTATATTTTATTTGGCGGCTGGGTGTTGAGGTGTTTTATAAAATAAAAAATCCGTCAAAATAAAAACAGTAGAAGAGAAGGAAAGAAGTTGCCCTACTTGTTCTTGTTCACTGTTGAATTTGAGTTTCGATGATGAAAGCAGTGGCGAAAGTGCGAATCATCTCCCCTCTGCAAGTATGTCGAAAACATGCCAATTGGGTTCCTCCAACTCCACCTTCCTCTCCCACCTTCGGCAACCCCTGCCTCGATCTCTTCTTCCGCCTCGTCGAACCAAACACCCCGGTCAAGCGGCAGGCCAACCTTAACTATCTGAACCAGTTCCTTCCCTTGGCCTGGTCCCACAATCCCCTCACCACCCTCAAGCTCATCTGCAACCTCCACTACGATCCTCATGGCCCCGGCAAAGAACATGCACAAGGCTTCAACTCGGCGGCGTCTTGGCTACACCACAACCACCCCAAAACCCTGGTCTGCAACCTCCCGGCTATTGCCGCCGGCTTCCGTAGTTTTGAAAAAGTTCTCGTCATTCTGTACCGGATACTAGAAGGCAAAGACCCACATTATTCTATTACCTTACTCACAGAAGCCATCGAGGAGACAGAGGATAAGATCGCCATGGCTAAAAAGGCTCTTGACAGATACGAGCGCGACCCCCATTATCGCTTCTTGCACGACCGCGTTTCCGATCTGTTCGCAGACTGTCTCAAGTCTGATATTGAAAACTTTAAAGAATTGAAGCAGAAGAAGAGCCAATCTCAATCTGATGATGATGATCACAACTACTGCTTGGAGTTAACTCGGGCTGCCAGGTGGTGCCCGCACGTTGACTCCTTGTACGATTGCACCACTCTGCTCTCTGAGAGCATTGCCAAGAAGATTTTCCCACGAATTTCATACCAAGGATTTGAGGAAAACGAGGCCGATCACGCAGACAGAGCCCGACAGCTGCTGATGAAGGAGGTTTTGTTGCCCTTGGAGGCCCCCTTGGAGGAACAGTCGGGTTATCAATTTGAATGGAGGACCAATCATCGAGCTTCCTGCCCGGATCGCAAGTATTTGGAGGAGGTGAAAGCCGGAGGCAAGTCCAAGATTGAGGCCGGCGCTATGCTTCCGCATAAGATCATAGAATATGTTTACGATTGTGATGAGCTGCGCCACGTGGCCGAGCTTCAGTGGAAGGTTATGGTGGAGGACGTCTACTTGAAGCAATGCAAGTTTAGAAACTGCTTGGCCATATGCGACGTTTCCGGGAACATGATGAGGGTTCCTATGGATGTGTCAGTGGCTCTGGGGCTTTTGGTGTCTGAACTGAACCAGGAGCCAGCATGGAAAGGAAAGGTGATCACTTTCAATCGAAACCCTCAGTTGCTTGCAATACAAGGCGATGATCTTAGGTCCAAGTGCGCATTTGTGAGGAGGATGGACAGCCAGGAGTGGCATTGCAAGGTTGATTTCCAAAAGGTGTTTGATTTGATTCTTGAAGCAGCTGTGAATGGGAATTTGAGGCCAGAGCAAATGATCACTAAGGTGTTTGTGTTCACCATCTACTTTGACTTTGATGAGATTTCGGCCAATCAATGGGAGACTGATTACGAGGCAATAAAAAGCAAGTTCAAGGAAAAAGGATACGGTAATGTAGTGCCACACTTGGTGGTTTGGAATCTGAGCCAAGACAAATCGACACAGGCGGTGCCTTGTACACAACCAGGGGTGACCATGTTGAGTGGCTTCATCACCAACAATTTGGTCGAGTCCTTCTTGGACAATGATGGGGATATTTTCCCTGACCATGTCATGGAAGCAGCTCTCTCTCCCAGAAAGTATCAATCTCTGGTTGTAGTGGACTGATTGACTCATAGGAATGAGGAGGAGGAGCATCGTCATCAGTTTTAGTTAATCTTGCTAGCTAGCCACCAATTAATGATTGTTACTACTTTAATTTAATGAGAAATTCTAATCATTTTAATTTAGCTCAACAATTATTTCTTTTCTTCCTCTCCTCCCCCCCCCCCCCCCCCGTCCGTTTGGTTTTTGCATAAGTCTGCCAATTACCACACACTCTCTTTTCCTCTCTGATCTGAACAAGCAAGAACATAAATCATACGGTTAAATGCAAAACTCGTCCTGTGTTTTACTATATTGGTCAATTTAGTTCCTTGTGTTTAGAAATGTTAGTCCATGTTGTCTATTCCATTAAATTTGTTGTTAAATACACATGATAAAACTTTATTTCGTCTTTTAAAAACCTATAAACTTTTTGAAATTAATTATAAAATAAAAACTGAATTAATCTATAAAAATTAAAAATTCATTAAAAGTAAAGAATGCTGCTAAACGAACCTTAAAATTAACTGAGTACACCCTATTATCTAAGTACACCCTAATATTTTAATTAAAATATAAAATTAACTAAGTACACCGTATGGAACTACCAATAATATCCCTGGTACACCCTCATACTTGTAGCATTATTTTATAGTTGATTTTTAGCTTGATTTTTTTAATAGTGTTTATAAATCTTTGACTTTTCATATGGATTTATGCTTCTACTAAAACTGTTGACACTTTTTTTGCAATTCCAAGTTCTTGCAATCACCACCTCTTTCGTTAAAAACACAATAGGACAAATGGGAAATTAAATACAAATTAGCTCATAACATTTTTTGTGTTGGAAGAAGCCAAATGAACAAAAAGCCATCATAATTACCCATGCACGAAGCTGAGACAAACGCATGGAGATTTATCCATGGCTCCAAAGAAAAAAAGAAAAAAAAAAAGACATGCTTTTGGTTGTTCAGAGAGGGTCTAGGTAAGTCAGATTGATTTTCATATTCATAAAGAAACTTTGACTTTGACTTCGATTCGGTTTCTTTTCTTATTGCTGATTGGGTAATTAGGATGATAAAAGATTGTTGGAGCGTAAACACAAAGAACAGGAAGAAAGAAACAACACAGACGATTGCAAAAGGTTGGCAACCAAGTAATCCAAGTTGCCAAGAAATAGTTCTGAGAAGAACGAAGGAAGACTTCATCTGCTCCAAGCCATTGTGACTCGCGGATCACAAAGATGAGAATCAAGTAATCTTTTGATTACGGTTGAATATGGTTAGGAGGGTGTACTTATTAAAATTATATTTATTTCACAATTCCACATATCATTTTTGGTAATTTTATATTAGAGTAAATCAGTAATTCAATATATATTTTTGTAGTATGGTATATTCAGTTAATTTTAGAGTTCATTTAGCAGCACTCAAAGTAAATTGTAACATTAGATACAAAAAAAATCTTGAAAAAGAAAAAAGAAAAAGATGTGGTTGTCTGGGAGGATAGGGTCTGCCCAACGAATGGAGAAGTGGGAAGGAGAGTGATGAGCAGAGGGGCATGACCAAGGGTGAGAGAAACAAACAAAATCCCACAGGACACTACCTACAGAACCATTCGAAAACAGATGAAGGTAAGGTTGTTCTTTTGAGAGAGAGAGAGAGAGAGAGTGAGTGGGGTGGATCAGAGTTGGGGTGGTGCGTTCGGCCATATTCCCGTCGTTCTCGACATTCTGTCTCGGGTTCTACAAGGCAATGGCCAGCAGCAGGTTGATCAATACTCTTGGACCAGGAAGGAGAAGAACCAAAACTTTCAGTCCCAACAGTTCCAGTTCCAGTTAACACAAAATGCAAGGAAGAAAAATAGGACAACTCGTTCTCTTCCTCTCCTAGTCCTAGACAGATTCGGCAAATCAAGGCGGAAAAAGCCAAGGAGAAAGCGAGCGCCTTGTTGAAGAGAAGGAAGACGGCTGCCATGGCCAACAAGGCTGTCGAGAGGTACCACGGCGACTCGGATTACAGGTTTTTGCACGACCGGGTTTCTGAACTTATGGCCGAGTGCTTGAAGCATGATGTCCAAGAATTCAACCAGCATCAGCAGCAGCGTCGTGAGCAAGAGCATAACCAAAAGAAAAAGAAGATGAAGACGTTGGACCTGAACATAACCCGGTGTGGCTGATTGCTTCCGTTTCATGTCGCCCCTCATGGATCAACTGCTGTATGAAATTGTGGCGATGAAGGTTTTCACACCAGGAGAATCAGAATTTTCGAACCCAATGTCTGTGCAGCGGCAGCTGCGGAAGGAGGTTTTGGTGCCCTTGAGACGAGCCTTGTCACCAGCCAGCCAAGAAGGTGCCACTGCCAACAAGTGGGGTTATGATCAACGCCTGGTGTACGGCCGAGAGCCGGATACTCTCTCTGTGGTTCACAAGTATATGGTGGCGCTGAGAACAGCCATTACTGCAGCCGAGTCAAAGTCCGAGTCTGTGTCCGAGAGCATGATTGAGGCCGGTGCTGTGCTTCCACACGGGATCGCACGCTGCGCCGTGGAGTATAATGGTCTTTACGAGCGAGCAGCTGAGCTTCTGTGGAAGAGAATGACGGAGGACGTGTATAAAAAGCAGGGGAGGCTGAACAACTGCTTGGCTGTGTGTGACGCGGGGGCGTTGGTGTCGGTGGCTCTGGAGTTGTTTGTGTCTTAACTGAGCCAAGGGCACTGGTAAGGAAAGGTGGTGAATTACAGCAAAAACCCTCAGCTGTATTTGGTACGGGGCGAAGATCTCAAGAGTTCAGCTTTATGCACAGTGTAGAGGAGTGTGAGGACTGGGAGGTTGATCTGGGGAAGGTGTTTGATTTGATTCTTGAAGCGGCGGTCAATGAGAACGTGAAAGCAGAGAAGATGGTGAGGAAAGTGTTTGTGTTCACCTTCTTTAAACAGTTCAGCGACGGCTGCTGGAAGCCTCGCGGCGGGGATTATGAGGAAATCCAGAGGAAGTTTAAGGAGAAGGGGTATGCCGTGCCGCACTTGGTGATTTGGAATCTCATCAGTGTGGGGTATGCGCCATGGCGTACTGAAGAGCCAGGGGTGACGTTGTTGGGTGGCTTCTTGGAGGCCATGCTCAAGTGCTTCTTGGACAATGACGGCCAACTTGACCCCGACCAGGTCATGGAATTAGACATCTCCGGCCAAGGCTATCAAACTTTGGCTGTCTTCGACTGACTGTAAGACGTCTGATTGAGTTTTCTTTATAAAAATGAAAGCAGCTTGGCATTTTGATATCTTCTCTAGTTATATGTAAACTTGTTTTTGGTTATTTTGTTATCAACTACAATGCTGAATCACTTGTCAATGTTGGGAAAAAATCCTGTGCTCTGTTTCCCCTCTCCCCTGTTTTTTGTTTATTGCATTAAGTCTGCCAATTTTCAATTCAGATCAGAAAATCAAGAGTTCAGAAAAAAAATCTGAATAAATAAATAAAATTTGTATTTAATCAGTTATTGATTCAGGTTACAATAAATATACACAAACCCACATGCCCAATTGGGCTTTTCTCCCCAACACAGTTCAAAATTCACACAAAAACACATATAAAAAAAAAAAAAAAAACACACTCTTTTGCTCTCTGATCTGAACAAGAACAGAAAACATATGAAGAAGCTAAAGAGGAAGAGGCTTAAACATTGGCAGAGTTGTCGTGCTTGAAATGATGTGGTGGAGGAGATGAAGGCAGAGAATTATTAGCTCCTGGTGGTGGAGTAGGCACCCCATAAACCTGAGCCGAGGAAATTGCGTCTTTTCGCCCTCTGGCTCTTCCAAAGAAGTAGCACCCAAAACCAAGCAGTATGGTGAACAAAATAAAAGGCAGAGAGATCACCACAACCATACCCATCTTTAGTTTCTTTTCTTCTCTCTTCTTACTAGCTCTCTCTAACTACTTTCACTTCTCAAAGCTTTCTTCTTTCTTTGAGTTCTGATAAGACTGACTGGGTGAGTGTGTGTATATATATATATATATTATATGGTCTGGTGCCAATCTGGAAGTATCGGATTCTGTCCACAAGAGCAAAGCAAGTTCCACCATTTAAAGTTCTGGAAAAGGGCAGGCTTAACGTTCAAATTTCTAACGGCTACTTTTGGTGGGGCCAATAGAAACGAAGAAAATGTGGGCCTGGACTGCCTCATGTGATCTGGCGGGTACACCTAGGAATATGCTTCCAAGGAAAAGAAAAGAAAGACTTCGTATGTTTTTTCTGGAACCCACCAACCGTTCTATGCAGAGTCGGCCCATGGCATGTGCGAGTTATGCGACCGCACAGGGCCCCCAAAATTTAGGGGCTTCTAAATGTTTTTAAAAGTCCAACATTATATTATATTTGTGGGTATGTGTAGTTTTTTTGTATGTAAAAGAAAATTGAATGAATGCGAGTATGTGAAAATAGACGAATGATGATCTTGATTTTATTTGTGGGTTCTAACGTAATTGATACCACATATTTTGGTTTAATTTATGATTCATAAATTTTAAAATTTGAAAAATTGTTAATTTACTTGTACATATAGGGCCTCATCAACTTTCTTTGCACAGGACCTCCATATCTAATGGACCGGGTCTGGTTCTATGTCACATGTTTAGTCCGCTAAAGCCTACATGGTGAATCATTGATGTTTCTTTCTTTAGAAAACCGTTTTTCCATATTTTTCTGTTGCTGAGATTTGCTTTGGTGCTGAGTTGCTTGTGGATCAATTTGAGTTCATTGTGACATTTTATTAATCAAACAGTTTCACAGTCGTTCACATACGCTGAAATGTACTATTTAGCTATTAAAGTCTCTAAATTTGCGAGACTTTTGCTTATAAGCGCTTATGTAAAGTTGTTTCTTTATTTAAAATTTACTGTGCTATCAAAAAGAAAAAGGAACATCCATTTCTTTTTCTTAATTAAAAGAAAATCTATAGAACATGTATTATTATTCCATGAGGAGGATGAAGGCAACCAGATATCTATAGAATTGTATCTTATTTTATATATGCATCACCATTGCTAAAAACTAGAGGCAGAAAAAGACCCAAAGACAAGTACAACATTTAGGAAAGTTTTAGCAGTAAAATTCACAGATTGACAGCAAGGGCAAGACAATGGCAACTTCTTAGTTCTCACCTGCCTTCTCCTATAATGCCAGTGAGCATTGGTTCAGTGACATTTACCGGAGACGGCGAAAGGTCAATCCCAGGGCTAGCACCAGTTGTGCTCCCTTCAGGCTGACAGTTGAGAAGAACATTGCTCTCAGTTGATGGGGTATCATTATCCATCAAAAAGCTACTTGTGGTTACATCTCTGAAATCCCAATCTGTCAAATAACTTGGCTTTGAAATAACAGTGCTTGCTTCAATATCTCCTGAGAGCATTGCCACTACGCGTGACATTGATGGCCTCATCATTGGTGATGCCTGAGTGCAGAGGAGAGCTGTTTTTATCAATCTAGTTGCTTCCTTTTCATCAAACTCTGTCAATCTCGGATCCACCAGCCCCAAACTCTGGTCGTTTTCATGTAGAGTCCATGCCTGAATACAAACATCATGTGCATGGCAGTGTTAAAAAGGAAAAAAGTAAAGAAGTTTTCACAACAATGCTAAAATAAAAGTAGCTAGGCATATTGTTTTCCTACCCATTCAAGAAGATAAATCTTTTCACGATCCAAGTTGTTGTCTGAGTTTGGCCTCCCGCTGAGGATCTCCAAAGCAACAACCCCGAAACCAAATACATCAGCCTTTTCTGTCAGATGTCCGCGCATTGCATACTCCGGCGCCAAATAACCTCTACAAGATCATGAAATGGTTGCTTGGATTACACCCTAGTCACGATTAACAATGTATAACTTAAACGAGGGCTTACATTGTCCCTGCAACCCGGGTGCTAATGTGGGTTTTTTCGTCATCATAAAGCTTTGCCAATCCAAAATCTGATATTTTTGGGGAGAGTTCTGCATCGAGCAAAATATTACTGGCTTTGACATCTCGATGTACAATCCTGGGCCTTGACTCCTCATGAAGGTAAGCAAGTCCTCTTGCTGTTCCCAACAATATATTGAAGCGGGTAGGCCAGTCAAGGTGCAAGTCATTTCTTCCTGAAACATTACATGGAGAAGAAACAATGCATGTTAACAACTAATAACAAGTAGAAGAGAAAAAGAAAAAAAATTGGATGTAACCTTAGAGTACTTTAAACTGCAGAGTATTCTGGTTTTTTGCAAAAGAAAAGGCAAAGTAGCAAAAGAATGTGCAGGTTTTTAATTTCATATGATTCGAATATTACTCTTTTGGTTTCTTTAAACTTCACTCCTCAGCAGAGAAAATTATAACAAAATGGTTGCGTAAAAAACTTGGATGAACTTTTAGAGTCCTTGAAACTGCAGAGTATTCTGTTTCTATAAAACCTACCAAAAAGTGCCTGATCAAGGCTCTTGTTTTCAAGATACTCATAAACCAAAATGCGCTGGGTTCCTTCGATGCAGCATCCATACAATTTCACTAGATTGCGATGTTGGACTGCAGATATTGTAGCAATCTCGGTTACAAATTGACTCTTCCCTTGGTGAGATGCTACTGAAAGTTGCTTCACAGCCACTACCCTCCCATCAGATAGTGTACCCTATAAACAGAAATACAATTCAGTGACATGAAAGGGAAGTAAAAAGAATCTATTTTGCTTCTCTCTCAATTTCTTTTTGTAAGAAGTCAAAGTCATTACTTTAAAGTAGCAGATATTGATGTAAAATAGATTTCACCTTATAAACAGGTCCATATCCTCCCTCTCCTAGCTTATTTGAAGGATTAAAATCTTCTGTTGCAGCTCTCAACTCAGCATAACTGAAAGTATTTGGTCGGGGGCCTAATCCTAGAAGAACTGCATATTCAAAAGAAAGTATGACATATGTTTATATTTCGAAACAATACATGCTACTATAAAATTTGTGTTAATGTCACAACACATAAGTAATTTCTTTCAAAGGCTTCATGCTTATCAACACTAGAAAGAACCTAAAACCTCATGCAGAATTAACCACTAATAATATGCTCTTTTACCTTCATCGTCATCTTTTTCTGATTTTTTTCTCCTCATATATAGAACTGCAAATAATAATAGCAAGCTCACAACCCCAACAGGGACTGCAATACCAACTATCAACCCATTCCTGCTATTCTTTCCTGGAGTAGTTGGTGGAAGCCCAGAAACAGTTGGTGTAAAATCTGACCAATGAAATAGAATAATTGTTCAGTGTCAATAATTTAGCAGCAGAAAGATACATGTAAACCATTCATAGGAAATCTTCACAATTTAACATTATATTATATACCTGAAGCAGCATGGACAGTCGATATTAGCGGGCCGTAATCACCCTGTTCAGGTATGCAACATGTTCCCTTACCAGCCCAGAACAGATGAATATCTAGGTAATTCTCTGTCACATTAACCTTGAAGGGTCTCTTAACTGCTCTGTTAACCCCACCTGCCTCCTTCGATATGTCGAAGTCCTTCCTTATGAGGTTCCCCTAGGAAGCAAATGAAGAGATAGTTAAACAATTCTGTCTAACGAGGTTGCCTTTACTTCAAATAGTTCATTAGCAGCCTTACTTGAATATAGATATCAAATACACGCCTTCCTAGACTTTCCCAAGTTTGTTTAGCGCGGCTGTCAAAAACCGTTTCTGCAAATTGCAATGTTACAGTATAAGGTCCATTCTGAAGACCCAGGCCATAGTATCGCAGTGAACCTGGGGACAACCTTGAATTCTGGAAAAGCTCTGGGGTCACATCTGTACCGGTGACTTGCGTAAGGGTGTTTTGCACAAATGATGGATTCTTTTTTTCAGCAAACAAACCCACATTGCTAACAGCCCATTTCTGTGTACTGGTTACATTAAATGTTGCTGGGCCAAGATCTGAGTCGTCAGCTTCATACAATATGCTATCACTTCCACTCATTTGTGATCCTCCACACTTGATTGAGAAGTTTGCATCTATAAAATTGATTAGTGATAAAAACTTCAAACTCAAGAATCATACTGATGTTTCTGAATACACATTTATAACCAGATATGCTTACATAGAGAAAGCAATGCCTATTGCTGTAACATGATCGTGCATTAAAGAAATAAATGCTAGTGAAATAAGAAGAAGATTACATCGTGGGTATTTCGATTGCATGGAAAATTCCTCTGGGAGGCAATTCAATCCAGGAAGACTGTAAAAACAGAGAACAATTATTATTTATCATGATAAAACTGTAGTGGAAGAATCCATTAAACTGCAAAAGTGTAATAGCAATCACTTTATGTTTGAACTCTGTCTAAAAAAAGGGTATTTCGATTCAACTCACGTTATGTTTGAACTGTCAAATGTGAAGTTGTTGACCACTAAATTCCTGCATAAAATCATTAATCAATCCACATATGAAGATGAAAATTTCGTGTTCAAGATCTCAACATATCAGTACTTAAAATCCATCCCTTCTAATTTATTGAATTTCATTCATGTGGTATTATATATGCACAATGAAGGTGATTTGGACCATAAAAATGAAGGTGAAAGATAAAAAGGAGACATACAGTTGCGATATTGTGGTTACCCATGGGGGAAAGCTTCCTGAGAAATAGTTGTAAGACAAATCTCTGCACATAACAATACAGAATGAGAAGGCACAAAAATGCATGAAAGTTCAAAGGAATTTAAGTAAGAAAAAGGCTGCCAGAATGCGCGCAAACACACACACAGAGTACTGGTTTCATTGCCAGTACATATAGCATACTTTTATGACATTAGGACTTACATAGTCTGAAGTTGATTGCTCTTTTGGCTTGGAAGAGGTCCAGACAGACTATTGTTTCCAAGAAATCTGGCCATATCAATTATAGGAGGCACCCAGAAAAAAAAAAAACAAAAAAACAAAGAAACAAGAAAAAGGTCAGATGAACGACTAAGTTTCTGAGCAGGAAATTCAATGGCATAAGTACAGAAAAGGGGAATAATGAAGGCAGGGCCTTATTACAAATATGTAAGAGAACTCATGTTGAACAAAGAACTTGGGAGTTCGCCTGTTAAATTGTTGAAACCCAGATCCCTGCAACATGAGTGATAAGTTAGAGGAACAATTAGAATGATAAGAAAATTAATTGGTATATTTGGGATTCAAGCTTATATATCTGCTGTAAACATTGATATTCTCCAAAATCAGTAGGGATGCTACCATTGATTAATGTATTCCGTAGAACTCTGTTACACCACCAAAAAAAATTAGTGGACAAGTAAATGGAGTAAGATTTTCAATTTGAAAAGGAAAACGAAGTTTGATCACAGTGCGTGAATGAATGAGGTGTTAACTTACAAATCAGTTAAGTTCTTCAAATTTCTTATGAAATCCAGAGACGAGCTCATATAATATATATCACTAATTCGCCTTCATTATCATACACAAACATAAATGATGCCCAGTAAATGGAGGGGAGAGAGAGAGTTTAAAATGTATTAAGCATTTGCCCTTACAGAGATTCCAATGAAGTCAGTTGAGAAAAACTGGTTGGTATTGGGCCTTCAAAAGAGTTCCCTTGAGATGCTTGTGAATAAAAGACCGATCTCAGCCATGCAGATCTGCTTTCATAAAGTTAAAAGTTTGCCATACTTACAAAGAAGTCAGTTTTCTCCAATTCCCAATGAAAGAAGGTATCTTTCCTGAGAAAGGATTGTCTGATGCATAGCTAAAATTCAAAAAGTTGACTCATAGTAAGCTCATCCCAGAATAGAAATCTCAAAGTACTGAATAAACAAAAAACTTACAGGATTTTCATGTTGATGAGCTTAGCAAATGTTGAAGGAATTTCTCCACCGAGTCCACAGCTGTCCATGTAACTGTGAAAATAATAAACTGATTGCTATCAATTTCATACGATAAACGCATTCCTTGCTCATCGATAATGAATTAACATAAACCACTCCTTTAAGAGAAAATAATTACACATTGCAACATGTGATTCAAATTCGATGAGTTAAATGAAGCACTCACAATAGCCCGAGATTGACTAAGTTACCAAGTTCTGGAGGGAGTGTTCCGGAGAAATTATTTGATCCAAAGGACCTGCAACAAGTCATGTTGAAGAGGTATAGAATTAAATGATAGGGGGTTCTATATTTAACATGTCCCAATAGAGCATTTCTCATTGTCTCATTGTGTTTCTGCTCCTTAGATGAATGAATTGAAATATCAATTAAAGATATTAGCACCCGTTTATAATTCAGGATTAATTTTATGTATAGTACTATGTGCTTCTTTTACCATATGGTATAACTCACTTGGGAGTCTATGTTTCATGTCCTCCAAGAATAAATAAACCAACAAAATTAATTGATTTGTAAGAAATGCAATTCCAACTATATATATCAAAAAGCCAATCAAAAAGCAACTAGCCTTACCTCAAATCAAAGATTATAACTAGTAAGTAGTTCCTTAAAGCTTAAAAAATGGAGAAAAAGGAAAATAGAAACTAAGTCGATTGTAGAAATTGTACATGGAATGAGACTCATCAAAGTATTTGACAGAGGAAAAATTTGTACTAAAACAAATGTTCTTTCACTACTTACAATAATGTCAATGCAGACATATTGCCGATGAATGCTGGTAGGGGACCGGTGAAATAATTCTGATCAATTTTCCTACAAGAATTGAAACAAAATGCAATGACCAGTGATTAATCTCCGAGTATAAAAAATATTCGTGACAATTTTGAACGGTAAGAAACTTGTGTCTTTATATGAAAATGTAAACTGTGATAAACCAAACAACAGAGAAGGGGGTTGGAAAAACTTCATACAAATAGGTCAGATATCTTAAAGCCACAAATTCTTGTGGAAACACCCCTCGTTTGTTCAGAGCATAAACTCTCCTGGAAAGAAAAAAGATTGAGCCGTTAGGCACTTAATATTACAATTGATATATCAGGCATGATCTGCTTAGTTTTCTAACACATAATTAATGGAGTTGCTACAGTCAACAACACAAGACTAAAGAGTGGAGAGAGAGAGAGAGAGAGAGAGAGAGAGAGAGAGAGAGAGGAGA